AAGGATATTACGTCACCACCTGGAAAGGCGCAGCTCAGTCAGCTGTCATTTGTTTTGGCTGAGTTTTTTGTTTGCTTTTGTGTTGGGGTCTCTGAAGCTTGGGTAGATGGCCAGGAACTCTTAATTTAGGTTAGAGTTAGACGGTCCTTTAACTCGGCGCTGGTATTCCAGATGAAACTCGGTGATAAAGAAGTGACTGGGAGCAGGTTCTGCTACGTTGGCCCTGTGAGGGTGACGTCACGGGCTGTGGATGAGTCATGTAGCCGTGTTGGCGCCGCAAATCTCAAGATTTTCAATATTTCCCTCAGTCATAACTTACCACTACACAAGAATACTATTGGAAACCGTAAATAGATAAGATTTAAAATATAGATAAGTAAATCAGACATATAAATTTAAGGACAATTCATAATGTGGATTAATCAAATTGCAAAATATGAAAAAAATAGTCTCGGTACTCACAGGGTGTGTAGGCATGGTGTAGCGGTGAGGGAGAAGGGCGTACACCACACTACGCTACTCATGCACGATCAACTCACATCACTGCTGAATCATCTTCCTCTGAATAAACATAGCCCTTGTGGAATAAACTTCTCCACCTTATATGCATCACATTATAAGGCGGTGAAATTGAATACAATACTTGCATTTAAACGAAACTTTTGCTCAACAAAATGTCTCCTACGGCCCCTGTAGGTAACGTTTAGTTTTAAAATATTATGACACTGGATAATTTTATTTGTCATTTTTAATAATTAGTAAATGGATATAATTCTTACTGTATCAAACTCACGCATCACGAAGCTACCAGAAGAGTGATATAGTGCTTAATAATAAACAAAGAACGCTGTTATTCACTATTTCACTTACACTTAACGTTGTTGTCACTGTTTGTCTACAGATAAAAAAGTAATTAAAACATTCAATAAGACTGCAGTAGCATCTAGTTCAAACCCACCATTACAAGCGGGCGAGGTGGGAGTCATTATTGCAATTAGCGAGATAAAACCTTATGGTAATACTATGGCGATACTATCTTCTTTAATAAGTCTTCGTGGCGCCGGTACATATCTAGCGTGTCTTACTATTTAATCAATTAATTCTGAAATAATGACGTTTGTGGAATAAGAAACATGGATAAAAAAAATGATGCGAAAGAGAAAATGGGGCATAAAAAGCATGGAAAATAAAATAGATATTAGGAATAAAAAAAACATCATTAACAGAGGAGAAAGAAAAGAAAGGCGTAGAAAATAAAACAAAGGCGAAAGAAACGATATTGACACGAAATAAAAAAATAAAAAATCACCTGTAATTGGGAAAGTAATAAAGAAATTAAATATTAAAATACAATTGTAGTAAATAAGGTAATGAGAGAAGAGAAAGTAAATAACAATCTATTAACTTCAAAGATATAAACGAAGAGTAAAAATAACCCTATGACTCGTTTTTTATTCAATATAATACCAAACGCTACCTGGGTGGTTAACTTAGATTAGATTGGGGTTAGGTTAAGATAGGTTAGCGTTAGGGTAGGTTAACGTTAGGGTGGTTAGGTTAACGTTAGAGTGATTAGGTTTGGTTAGATTAGGCTATGTTAGGGTGGTTAATCTACAAGTGAAATAAGCTGGGGCTGATCTTCAAGCGATCCGTTGAAGAAAACACGTTCGCTCATCAATTTTTTTCGTCCTAACTACTTACTGTATTGTAAATTGTCTTAACAACTTCGACGCAGTTTTCAGTTAACCATTTGTCACAGATAAAGCGAGGCAGCTGTACTGTATATGTATGATCTCAGGTATGAGTCAGCGGAGATTTAACACGAACTTCAGGGAATCGGATTTCATACTTGGAAACAACTTCACTTAACTGTGCCGGTCAGGCTTACACTCGGACTGGTTGTTGTTTGAAGATTCGTCCCCAGCTTATTTCACTTCTTTAATTAACCTCTAACGCTACTCTTACCTTACCTAACACTTATCTAACTTAACTTAACCCCCAGGCCAGGTAGCCTTTTTGGTTGTTTAATCATAGGTAAAATACATTGGGCAGGGGGCGAATCTTCAAGTGATATTTCTTTTTAGGTGGTTCAACTGATGGCTATTAGGCACCGTTCACTAGGACTTAAGAATTTCTTTAACATACGACTCATTATTTCCAAATTTCCCTTCGTGGTGGCTAGTCACATGGGTGTTTAGATAGTATAAATGGTGAAAAGGCTAGCGGCTAATGGTCCGAGTTTTGTACGTTATAATGTATAATATTTGTGGAAAGTGGCTATTTACGTACATCTTAATTATTATACAATGTCAAATTTGAGTCTACATATCGCTAATTGGCAGGCTTGCTAATAGCTTATATTACCTTCTTCCTCGGAACACCTGCTGGGCAGTCGGCGACACCATTCATTGCCAGAAAAAATATTGTCCATTACAATTTTCATTTAACAGTTGCCTCCTTTTGCAGTTGTGGAATTACCATCAATTCTGTGATACAAATTTATAATGTAATATTAATTACAGTAAGTTGTTGTATAAAATACGATGGGCAAGAGTAATTTATCTTAGATATTAATCGTACAGCTGGCGTGTCAGTACTCGGGCACTCACACACATTCTAATAAGGTTTGTGTGTAAGTACCACATCTGTTGCGTTTATATTTTGCTTTTCATTAATTTATCAATGACATGAAAAACACCTACATGATAATTGCAATGCCTAGGAATATTTACACACATAATAAGCGGCGTCGAATGTCTGGGTCTGGCACGTTTATAATTTGATCAATGACGTCATTAGCAGGAGCTTAACGAGAATGTTGTTTATAATCTTACACCACTAGATTTTCATAATTACCTCAATGTCTTAAAGCCTTCATTATGTATCAGATAAGATTACCCAATGATACTAATTCATGAGAGGGAATGGGTAATATACGCAGTTAAGTCAGCATGGATTGACGAGTTCATTGGTATTCGGATAGCTACATAAGCACGGGAGCTCCTGTCGCCATGTTGCAGGAGGCTACCAAATATGTCAGAAGGTCCCATCTACTTGCAAATTCCTGCGTCAGCAGATAAAGAATAAACGAATTGGTAAACCCATGTTTTTCTTATGTTTTTAAACCCTAACATCCCTCTTAATTAACCGTATAGGCTACTTAAGGTATCCAGCTTATAATTAACGACTAGAAATAATAAAGTACTTCTAGAAAATTAGTAGTTTTCGTTATACATAAATAGGTCATTATTGGGTCATCCATAAAACCCACTACTGAACCTTGAACACCATAAAAAGGTTTAAATCCCAACCCGGTGTACTTTTATGTGGATAAGAAGTAACATACATTAGAAAAATCATGGGATTATCTGAAGATTAGCTTCCAGCTTATATCATCCAAACCTAACCTAACCTTACAGCCCAGGTAGTGCTGGGTATTTAATCATCAGGTGAAATAAGCTGGTAGGTTATTCTTCAGGTGACCCAAATCGTTTAATTACTGTTCTCTTCATTTTCCCTCACTTTCCCATTCTTTAGTGATTTCTCTCCCACTTTCTCATTTTAAAGATCTCCCCATCCTTTTATTCTCTACTGTGCCCATTACTCTCTCCATGAAGCTGTGTAGCGGGACGTGATCCACTCTTGAGCTTCACTAATGGTGTGCCGTCCATATACAGCCAACCAGACCTCTCCCGCCCTCCCTCCTTTATATGGGTGCCCGCTGCCCATGTGTTCCCTGACACTTTCCTTAAGCTCTTATGCCCATACTGTACAACACTAGTACACCCACCTTAAACACCACCTCCACTACACACACTGTAGTACACCCACTACAGTCACTATTTAATTACTTTACAATGACACCTAATATATATATATATATATATATATATATATATATATATATATATATATATATATATCTGAAATTGCTCTTCCAATGAAGGAAACCATAGATGGTGAGTTTAGTGCAAGAAGTGGAAGAGTGGAATGAATTTTTCAGTAGTTAGATGGGAATGTGGCGTGAAAGAATCCACAATGCTATATACAGTACTGTACTATTCATAGGTCTGAAGAAATAATGTGCAAGCGAAAGTTTGTGTCTATTGGTGGTCTAGTATCTTGTGTTAGAGGTCCTTCACTGAAAACAAATAAACAAAATAAGTGGGTGATTATGATTAATATGTTCTTGGATTTAAATCACTGCCTAGAAATTTACTTGCCTCGGTATAATTGTATCTAATTTCATAACGAAAATACAAATGCAGTGTATTTTAGTTATAGTATGCAAGTATCTATGAACATTTTCCCCTCAATCCTATTTTCCCACAAGATACTGATTACTTTTGATAAGACAGGACTTTGATTTAAGTGGGGGTTGTTTTCAAGAAAATATCCTTTGCATGTGATGTAGTTTGACTACACTGAAAGTATGAACATCATGGACACTGCTATGTCCAAGTTTAGGGTATTTTAACAATTTATTTGAAAATGAAGTCGTAGCTGTGGACTTTTACTTGACATATTTGTGTCCTTGAAAAGTTGATAGTGTACTGTACCAACATTCTTAATGAATTCAAATATTGTTACTAATTTCAGGTTCCATAGTTCCATCCATTGTGATATACTTCCAAGATTATTGAAACTGTTGACTCTCGGTGCTGAATCAATTTAATGTCATTCCTCCTTTCACTGTATTTTGCCCAACTCCCACATACAATCTGATCATAACTTGGCTTCAGCCCATACAGTATTGTTTAACAGTATTTATCATAACTGACTAACCTGTCACATATAGTCCGTTAAATAGAGGGTTTCACTGTACAGTATATCTCAAACTCTCACGCAAATAAGTTAAAACAAATTTGATCAAGTTCAGCACATTACTTTTATCATAAAATCAATGTAATTTATCTCGTCTACTGAACATCCTGACTTGCCTCAAACTACTCTCGTATCTATTTTACATATTTTGATTTCAGGATAATAAATGTCTTATAAAAGGTCACTATTTACTCAATAGATGACAGTGACATAAATAACATATTTACAATATGCAATAATTTCTCCCTGACTGGGTGTGCACCAACATCATATAATTTTTTAAAATATACAATTTTATCTACAGTTAAAAGATGCATTGTTTTTTCCTTTTGTCCAATTTGTCCAAACTCGGCCATTGTAGGTTCCTTCCCCAAACAGTATTGCCATAACTGATGATTAACTGTCTTATATGCATAGTCAGGGAGATGGAATGAGGATCAAATGGGATAGTAATGCATTAGACAAGTAAATCACAGTGCTCCCGAAATATAAGAGACGAGGTGTGACACCATTGCGTAAGTACAGAGGGGGAACTATTGGCAAATGACATTTACGAGGGGGGGGGTGGGGTACTGTGGGAGTTAACCTGAGATGGACCTCTTGCTTCAGTTTAGTTTCTCTTGTCAACCAGGTACTGCATTGGTAAAACTTGCTGTCTTGTCATTACTAATTACAAGTGAATTGTATGGCCAATGTTTACTTCCAATCCCCCTTGGAATAATCCCATTGTGATGAAGTACCCTCTACAGGGTTTGCACGCAAGTCAATCATCCTCTTCAACTGAGCCTCTTGATACTCGGGCTTCAAGGTTTCAGGAAGTGGAGAGTATACTGAAAGTAATAAGTATAAATTAACAACCAGCTGAGATGAATACTGTTTATACAATTCTTTCATGATGCTGCAGAAACATTAACCTCAAAACATTCCCTCCCTGAATTTCTCGTTTCTCTCAAAAACATTAGTGAGGACTATAATACAGTACTGCTATAATTTGAAAGTAAAGAACAATATCCCTGTTCAGGGTTGCCACAGAAATTTAAGAAATGAATTCCTTGACTGAATACTGTCAAATTCCCTGACTATTCAAAGGAGACAAAATAAGTTGGATTTGTTTTGTATGAATCTGAGGTGGGACAAGGTGGTCGGTCACACAGGAAGAAGTATTCACCCACATTAACGGACTCATTATCAGGACTTTTAGCCTTGGCCATGGGAAGAGTTTCCAGTTCCCAACTGAAGTTAACCCCCAATGAAAAACTACCAATCATCAATAACATGTACTTCATCAAGGGATGTTACTACTGCCCTGTAATAAAGCAAATGACCAAAACCGAATAAAACTAAAGACTCGGTGTGCTACGGTATAAATAATTTTTTAACGGTAATAATTTAAGTATTTGAGACTGCCTCCACTATCAACCCAACATTTTACCATCAGTTTATAATTCATAAGTAAATACTGTGGGATACAAAATGTACAGAGCAAAATAAAATTCTCAAGTGAACACTGTAGCCGTGGAAAAAAAATGCTCGGAGGAGACGACTGTACATTCATGAAGAAGCAAATCTCACCTTTAAATGCACATAATACAGTACAGTACTTTAACTGGCAAAGAAGTTTGTTATGACAGGCTGTGAGAATTCAATGACATGTGACATGTAGCTGTGCAATATGCATTCAAAAATTTTAAACTAGTCTAAGTTTTGCAACTGCATCTTCCAAAACACCTTTAATTTCTATGGACCGTTTAAGTAATGCATTGCACTGACAAGTGCTTTTTGTACTAAATTATCCTCCTCCTTTTCAAATGCATTTTCCCATATAAGCTTCATTTTCTAATTTTTTTTAAGGAGAATCCTGTACAGTACATGTTTCCCAAATTTCCAACCAACAAGATAAGGATATCCCAAAAGGAAGGATCAATGTGTAATCCTCGAGTCTAGTTGGATTCTGGAATTATTGATGGAATATGGTAAAGACCAAGCCTTGACTATAATATGGCTCGAGATTAGACTAATTCTTCCTGCTTGAGAGTTACAGTATAATCTTTAAAAGACAAGACAGATTGCTCATTAAAATTCTTCAGTACTGTCTCCCATAATACATTATACATAATGAGATAAGAGCTTCCTCTTGATTTGATTTTTGGTGGGATATAATGAGTTCAAGGCAATTAGAATAGAACTTAACTGCATGCAGTTATAAGTTTACTTAATCATAACATCAATGATACAAACGAGTTAAAATTATAATAGAACACTGCAGGCATACCTCAATTTATGGAAGGGCTCATCCTGAAAACTTTTTGTAAATTCAAAAATTTTCTCATTTACTCCAAACTAAAGGCAAAGATACATTCCTGTGAGATAGAAATTATGCAAATACCGAAATTATGCAAATACCTTTCTTGTATAATGTTACATTTTCTGGATAAAATTTATCAATGAGTAAGTATTTCTGTATGAAAAATTTCTTCCGATAAGTAATGTACGGCTGCGTGAATAACAAACTTGCTCGAGTACATCATGATACAATTAAGTGCCCTATTATGACTACTGAGCATGGCCTGGAATTCATCATGTGTGAACTCGACACATTTTTCTTTTAATATTGTATTTATTATACATTATTTAATTATTACCATTACTTGTACATTTTTTTTTTTATAAATTTATTCACTATACTGTATGTCAAATTTGTACACAAAGAAATCCATAATGCTGTGGGAAATTAGGCTAGTTTACCATTAATATTCAACCCTCTTCTCATCAGACTATTTCTATCACCTAGCACATCCCCCGGTCCCAATATTGCCAATGTGGGTATACTGGGGTCTGACTACAATGAACTCGATCATGATATTTGTACAGTAATTCAAAGCTATTCCAAAATTCATAAAGACATCTTAGTCTTAAGTCTTTAATACAATCACTGGCAATACAGTGTGGACAGCTGTGGACAAAAAGAATTCAGCAGGGAGGGAGGTGATGTATAGAAGGGTATAAAGGTGTCTTCTATGTAAATAACAGACACCAAAATTTTGAAGAGATATTAAAAGACATTTACCACTGAAGTGAGATCCAGACATAAACCTGCACTCAAAACCCTTCCCCCCAATGATTCCATTTGTATGACTTTACAATGTACTGTACATACTTTATATTTCCATTCTAAATTTGTACTAATTGAAAAGCAACAAAATTTCATGATAAACATTTCACTTTTGTCTTCATGTAACACCACATTCTTTCCAGCATTCAATTTATAACTTTCCTTAATTATCCATCTTTCCTCTCTATTCTAAACCTCACAATACAAAATAAAAATTAATTATTTATGCACATTTAAGTTATATATATCTTAAGTCTTCCAAAACATGCCTACTTACCAAACACCTTCATCCACAGGTATATCCAAACAGCTAAGGAAGAAAGTATTAATGTAACCCCCAACACAGACTTCCACTCTCCGGAAGGTGCGGTCATCTCGGCAAAGGTTTGGCAGAAGGAGGCACGATACAATGCTTTCTTCTCTTCCAAGGTGAGCTTTTTCCAATCTCCCATCTCCTTCTCACGCAACACCTGCAAAAATTATACTGTCTTAATATTCAGAAATGTACAAGAGTGCATCTTGTCATGGAACAGTTAAATTTGTGTCGACTCATGAACACACACAACACATCAGTATATTATACAGTACTGTGTACAATGAAAGACAAAAGTCGTATCGTGAAATTTGGTGAAAACGTATACCAAAGAGCTACACTTTTGGTGCGCTCTGCCTTGTGGTAGGGCTCTCATAATGTTTCACGAGTTATATTTAATCTTCGGACAAAACTGTGACACGACTTTTGTCTTTGATTGTACAATATATATATATATATATATATATATATATATATATATATATATATATATATATATATATATATATATATATATATATATAAACCTTGTTTCTATTGATATTGAATGAAATATGTGCAATTTTCATTATTATTGTATTGTACTATCAAACTACAAACATCAAACCAACCTGAACATCAGGGGTGTCCTCCCTGAAGCGGACAGCTGGCATGGGGAAATCGACACGGTCAACATATGCAGGGGAGCCATTGAAGCCAAATCCTACAACTTCACGATTACCAATTTTTGATAGTGTGGAAGCAGCAGCAGCAGTCTGCTGACGACTGAGCTGCTGGAGGGTCAGGGCCAGAGCCCTACGAGTTACCATATTCAGTGCCATCTGTAAAGTGAAAAGTTTATTGAAATAATTAGTTCTTGCATTTTGAGTCAGCACAAGAGAAAGGACAAAGAATGTAGAACTATACAATATAACTATTTCTGTAAAAGTTTTTCTCTGTCTTGACTCTACGAAGACTGCCAAGCTCCACCTGCCATATTGGTTTCCATGACTGGGTATTTCCAAGGATCTTCAAAGATTCCTTCGGATTTTTTAAAAGATAACTGAAGTGCAGACAGAACCCAATTTAAGAGAATTCAACATTATGGGGAAGAAAAAAGTCCAATACTTAGTTGTATGACAATACTCTATCTCCTTTCATATACTGTAATAGGAGTCAATGGGAAAATGTGCTTACTTTTACTATTTTTATATTTACAAGAGGTTTTCCAGTAATGTTACTCCCTTCATAAATTAGGGTCTACCTTTATTTTACGTTAGGTAGGTTTATTTGGTTATTTTATGCATTATAAATTCTAGAATGTATTAGTATCTGGTACAGTACTTCCAGAATGTTACATTGGTGCTCAGTTGCTAACATTCCAGAAGTAGCAGATACTTTTTTTAAGAAATCATACGCTCCACTTATCAACTTACTAGCTGTCAGGACGGTTATCCAGTACATGCACTGCTTCATTCTATAATCTGTTGTTCATAAAATGAACCAAACTAACGTAAAATATTGAAGTCGCTTTTTTATTTTAATCCTATAAAAAAAATTTTATGAAAAGAACTATCAATGAAGTCTCAAAAATCACAGAGGAAGCTTAGTGGTGTCTCCTCTGTAGATTTAAGGTGAAAAAAGCTTTAAAGGTAATATTAATATTGTGAGTGAGCAAAATTTGTATGTACCTGCACCCTTAAATTTTTGCATTTGATCTCTCCCATCCCACCATATACACATCTTCCTCATTCACAATTACAGAATTACTCTTTCATTGATACATAGTCATTTTTCTTTATGGTTAATAATAAATATTGGCATTTTAAATTATGAATAACCTGCACTGTACTTAATCTTGCTTTATCAGTCAGACAGTATGTTGCAGAGGCTCACCATTTTATGTGGTCCATTTATAATTAATGAATGCAGAAATTATGGTAATTATTGATGATTGACCCACGGCCGATTTTTCATGAAAAAAAATAAAATATACAAAATCATGCAATTTCACTGTTATGGTTCTAGTTTGCACAAATGTGTTCAAAAGTGGTTATTTCTAAATTAAACTTAACCTTAGTCAATATGAAAAACATGCAGCAGAAGCATTGTTAGAAGACCTCACCAACCAAAACCTACCTAACAGAAAGAACTTACTATGATATGGTGTAATTTTACATTGTTTTTGAACATGAGAGCAGCCGTCCATACCAAACGGTTCTTAAGCAGACACGGAGCATCGCTGTTGATCAAGCCCGGGCACCAGTGTGTTTTGAAATATATCAATATGACTATCGTGCAGAACACTGTACATGGTACTTTAATAAGAGACAAACACTAACAAAGCCTCACTTAAGGTAAGTTATATATTCACTATGCCTCATTTCCGATGAAACGTTATGGAAAAAAATATTTTTATTTATTTTTCTATCTAACCAAATGTCTCAATATTCAGATCCCTGGTGACATTTTCCGAATATTGGCCCTATACAGTTTCGTACAGGGTCACTACCTAAGATTTACCCATATTTCTTATACATTTTCCTATTTTTCTAATGCAATTTTCCTGATACTTGCTCTATTGGTAAAAATTTGTTTTTATCCCTATTGGGATAAAAACAAATATTAACCGGGCGACCTAACCTAATCTACTATTGTCATAGAAGAAAATCGATTTCTAACTAAAAAGAATCCTAGAGATAATGGTAAAAAATCCGAAATACCAATTGGGATAAAAACGAAGGTATTGTACTAATTGTAAGTCTCCAAGCACCAATTTTGTTGTGTAAATATTGACAAACCGGTTATAATACTTTTGAGGCAGTCATGTACACTGGGAACGTATATACTTGTGGACAGTTGTTGTTTTTTTGTAGATAAAGTATAATCTAGGATTGATTGTCTCTAACGGGTACCGATTAAAAATGCATGTTAACTAAATTCAAGTTCATTATGCAATATAATAAGCCTGCTGTAAATTTGAGGGAAAATAATCGGTAAAATATAAAGCCTATCAAACCCGACTATCCCCATACCCCCGGAATAGTTCTTGTGGACGGCCGTCAGTAGTAATCAGCTGATATTCCGGTGTGGATTGCGTAGCCAGTTTCATCACACCGGTCCACCTTCCTGATAAGCCTGCTGTACTTTACTCCTCAGGCGTACACATACAGTGATCAACAACAAAAAAAGTCACATATACGTGCTGGACGTGTGAATCTCTACAATATAACATTATAAACATGTTGCACTGCAGAAATGAAAGTATTGAAGCCTTACCTTGATCACGTCTCGAGGAGCCACCGATAGGAGCGACACGGAGCTACAGCAGCCCTGTCCCTCAACCACAAGAATTACTACAATTTTCTTCTCATAAAAGAAAATGATAGAATTTTTTTCATAATTTTACCGAATTATAAACAAATAATTTACACTCTTTATTTGGCATAAAATGGACAGTAAACTGATATTTCTGCATAAAGTTAAGAAAACTGTTTTGTAACAAGATAATAGTAACAGTTGCAACATAGTAAAAAAAATATCTAATGAAAATAAACAATTTATGTAAACTAATAACAATAACTATTAAATGCATAAAGAATTAATACTATACAGCTGTTTTATGTTCTCTCTTATGTATGCACCATAGAAATATTTTTGTGGCAGTATCTTGGATGGTGTTTGGCAACTATCCCGGCGCGTAATTTAAAAATGAGATATCATGAAAATATTGTTGTGCGGAAATAGATTAACTTGTCCGGTGATGGCAAACTGTGCAGTGGTTATTGACTAATATGATCTATTGCGTGCACATCTAGAATAAACGACACCATCCTGTTTTGAATAATTTGGAGTTTCGCGTTAAGATACTGTGTTAAGGCAGAGTATCCTGATAAGCAGGAGTAGTCAAAGTCGGCATTTCTATAAAGAAATCTTATCCAAGCATTACTTTTATTTAATATATTATCTAGAATTAACTGGTGCTCCGATTTACCGTCGACTGAGGGGTTCAAGTAACCTGTCGACTAGTGTTGTATACGGGATAAAATTGGCCATTGTAATATTTAAGCGTGAAATAACCATATATCTGTTGAAGGAGATATTATAATTTAAAAACAAATCTTTTCTGTCAATAGGAGACTGCAGTGTTAGTAAATACAGTAATGAGCTTACTAATTAGATAACAGTTAGACAGGGAGTAAGACAAGGCTGTGTTCTATTTCATAATTCTTAATGAGAGATGTTATGAGTGATAATGAAGAACAAAAAGTTAATGGTAAAGTAATATCAAAATATACGTTATGAAGATGGTCTTATCACAGATAGTTATACTTTTGCTTTTATCCTCTTCGCCACTGATCGGCTCGTTAGCCGCCCGGGCGATCGGTCACGTCTCTGTCACGCACTGTTGGCAATACTGGGCATGCACCGGCTCCTGAATGTACCTGAACCCGCTCCAGTGTTGGTCAAGTCTTCTTGAAAGAGCTCACACACGGCCGTCACAACACTCTCTGGTAGATTGTTCCAAGAGTTTACAACCCTCACTCCGAAAAAGTTTGCCCTCACGGTTTCTGGACCTGCGGCTTCTTCAATCTTGAGCTGTGACCCCTTGTGGGGCGAGCGTCCGCCAGCTCCAAGTAAGGACACTCAACTGAGTAGTGCCCCTGAGATGCTTATACATCAACTAGGTCCCCTGCCCGTCTGTAGTATAAGCTAGGCAAGTTCAGGCGCTCCAATCTCTCAGGGTAGCTGAGGTGCCGAAGTGCAGGCACCAGTCTGGTGGCCCTCCTTTGAACATTTTCAACCAACTGACAGTCCCTAGCATATCTCGGGGACCAGATGGGGTGACAGTACTCCAGATGGGGAAGCACTTCACTCCTGAAGATCGTCACGAGGGACGGACCGTCTAGATAGTGAATAGGTATTACAAACATTTGTCAACAGAATAGTGGAAAAAGGTGAAAAATATGGTTTAAGAGTTAATGCTGTAAATACTCAAGTAGTGTTTGTTTCCAAATTGGAAAATTTGATATATTTGGGAAGTAACATTATGATTGTAGATGTACGCAAGAAATCAAAATAAGAATAGGGTAAGCAAAAGCAGCATATAATAATATAAAATGCCCATTGAAAAGGAATATTAACTTCAATTTGAGAAAAGGACTGCTGAAAGGCTTTATATGGTAAAGATTGATGTATGGGTCAGACGCGCGGACACTCTGCCTTTGAAATGTGGTGTTATAGGCGAGTGTTAAGAATATCCTAAAGTCTTCATTAATACATGTTCATTTCAGTAGTAACCTTGACGCAAGCACCGCTTTTTGGATCCAGAGGATTAGTAATGACATTTTTAAAAGTTAATCGTGCAACTACGAGAAAGTGAAATGTAAAAGTTGATGGGCCACTTGTGTTAAGATGGGTCAACCAGTAGGAAGTTCCTCGACAGATGGCTCCACCTACCTAGCAGACGATACAGTCATTCGGATCCATTCAACCGACTTCATGTACTAATTTGGGGTAAAAGAAAGCTTATTTGGTCGATAATTGCCACTATTGAGTATAATTTAGAATTTTTATTTATTTATTAAGTATACTTAATAGCTAATGAAATTGTTGTGTGGTATTTGGAAGAGAAGGAAAACTTAGGTATGACGCAATACACGAACGCCACTTGGATTTATTTACGTCTGCTTGGCATAAAAGGCAGTGACTGGCACAGTAGACGAAATGACTGGCTAATGAACATATTACACGCTACTTCTATCGCTCATCTACCCTCATAAGCCATCTGGTAAGTTTAAAAGTCCAGTGGAGTATTTGAAGAGTGGAAGTAATTGTCACCTGTAGGTTGAGTGTGACTGGTACATCGGCCAAGTAACTATCAAACCTCAGTCCCAGTCACCTTGGAGATGTGACAACAGGTAGTTTACTTTTCTGCTGGGGTGTACCACTAAATATCGTGTCATGTCAGGTGTGTTTTGCGGGAAACATTTACATTCATCATTTAAAGCTTTATCCACATATGTTAGAACTGGGATGAGATTAAGTTCACAATCTTTTCTTTGTTGCTCTTTATCCTTTGCTTCAGAATTCATGCCCTAAAGACCAGAAGAATTACCTACAGTACAGTATATCGTCTGGAGTAGCTTCAGTGTAAGTTATTGTTTTTTCACATAATCCTTTTACAATGTTGACACTTTTTTAATTGTTTATAGAACATTTACACTTGTTGTTGAGCCTATATTGGAACTGTGAAAAAAGCATTAGTGAATTTACTTTGGAAATAGCAAAACAAGTGGGCTGTAGTCTCCTTTCCTCAGTTAATTGATGAAACTATCACTGAATTCTGTCAGATTTTATTAGGAAGGAATTGCTGAGTATTGCCAATTTTAGTACATCACATAGGGGGGTTATTCTTGCTAAAATAATACAGAGTTTAGTGATCGTTTTTGGCAATGTACCAATGGCATGAAGGTCCTAAGGCTCATTCCATGTCAGATGAATTCAGGTCTTGTAAAAAATAAAATCATGACTGTCTCTGATTCTAATAAAGTTTGGTAAGCTTGTTGGGTCTGGTAAATAAGGTAGATTTACTCCAAAGGGCTGGTAATAGTCATTGAGTTACTGTATATCACTCTCCATTAGTGGGATTTGGTGGATCTTAAAGATTTGGCCAGGTAATTAGAATGTGCTGACTCATCCATAGTTGGTGGTTTTGATGTTTAATTTTTTCTTGCGTTACAGATACACATTTACTGTGTTTACTTTTTCTTGTGAACATTTTATTAATATTCTTGGATTGAAATAATTTTATTTAAATCTTGTCAACTCTCATGCTGAGGGATACCAAGGGTACAACAGGCCTAGGAGGTGTAGAAGTAGTGATACAACACAAGGATGACAGAGCAGAAATAAACACATAGTACACATAATACTGTAAGATATTTGGATGTTCAGGAGAGAGGTCAGTGGGTGCCACTGTAGCGTGTGGTTTATAACGTAATTAGGTTAAGTTACCTTGTAGGTTAGGTTGGACTAAAGATGTCTTTGTAGACCGCATATTATAGTAGCACCGGTTAATGAATACTGTATAGCTTTTGGCAAATGATCCAAATAGTGCATAATTATGAAATATTTGTATATTAATACAGTATTGTATTATTGTTTCAGGTATGGTGATGCATTAGTTAGTGATGCGACGTAGTGGTCCTGGAGGGGGTGGGGGAGCAGGGGGGTTTAGTAAACCTCCACCTGCTCCCCTTACACATGGAGGATCTGGTCGAGTGCGTCTCCACACGCCTGAGGTCAATGGTACACTAGGCAAAGATAGATTTGGGTATGTTGATTGATAAACATTGCTCTTCTTAAAGACCTTATTTAAGTACTTTACCCAACTGATGTGTTAAAATAAGAGATTCCTTTTTTGTTTTATTTTTATTTTCATCCTGGAGGTACACAGAATATATACAGTATACTTAAGATTTCAGAAGGATGGTACTTTTTTAGTTTTAAGATATCCATTTATATACGACCAAAATCTTTAGAAATGTTTTGTGCTTGATATGTTTTTGGTATTCTGTGTGAAGACAGACGGGCACTGTGCCAAACTGTAGAAATGTTGATTGAAGACTCCTGCATACTGATTTGTCATGAAGCAGCCACCATTTACTGGCTGAAAAGATGAAATAAGAGATGAAGTGAGAAGAAGGGAAGCATGAAATGATAAGGGGAGGGAGGAATTAAGAGTTCACAGTGTTTAATGGGGATTAATGAAGTAGGACACTATGGAGTTTGAAAAATGCATGACTGACCATCAAATAATGATACAGTGAATGTTATTGAGTGATACTACAGTGTTAGCTAAGTAGGGAACTTTGGTGGGAAAAAGGCTTATGGCAGTCCCTTTATTTAGTACGTAGTGCTTTGTCTTGGTGACAGAAGCTGACTGACCTTCTCTTTGTAGTATATTAACATTGTATTTATGATATTTTTTATAAGTTTTGCAGTACAGTATTACAAAGTTTGTTATGAGTCTCCTCTTACTTTTAACATGGCAAAACATACCAATCACAGTATACTGTACGTACAGTAGTTGGAGACTGAATGAAGAGAAAGGGTTGAAGGAAGAGATGTGTAAAAATAATATATATGTTGTGTAGACTTGTTTTACTGTTCATCAGATCACCTCGAGAAAGATCACCAAGCCTTGTTAGCAGTTTACCTCTGTCACCGTCTCATCCAAGCAGCAGGGAGAAATCCCCAAATCCTGCCTCCCAGGACCTGCACGACTGTTCCATGTGTTTATCAGCATACATTCAGGTAACTCTTAAAACTTTCCTCACAATACAAAGAAAGAAAAAAAAAATCCAGTACGTATCCTCTCTGATATGTCACATTGCCTATGATGACAAACCTCAAGGGTGAAGGTATGGCTGAATTTGGGCTTTTGACATAATTGTGGTGAAATGTGTTAACACTAAACAGGAACACCCTCCTGCCATGCCTTGCCATAGTATAGTACTGTACCAGACTTTGCAGATTAATAGTGCCAGGCAGCCCAGATGTGCCTGGATTAGAGGCACCGGACAAGTACAGGCAATTTTTCATGTCTGTGTGCCCAGCACTTGCCCAGTGGACAAGGTAGTAGTTTGAGAGGAAAGTACTATACCCAGATGGGAATTTGTCAGGTGCTGCATGACTCCACCTCCTTGTCTATGTTTAACCAGTGAGGTCCATCAATCAGTGAGGTGTGTGTGTAATAATAATAATAATAATAATAATGAACGGTTTATTGAAAGAGCATGTCACCCGTAAGGCTGAAAATATACGGTTGCATAATTGGGGAATGGGTCTCTTGATTGACAAATAATATACAAATAGCATAAGTGATATAAATATGATATATAATGTGTGTGTGTGCTTGACCTGATGTCATATTGTGATGTCACAGCCTAAGTGAAGTCACAGCTGAACCTCCTATTTCTATTAGTTTGTTTTCACAATGACCTGACCTGAAAAACTGTATTCAGTAAAAGCTCCCACTGTTTGCTGTATAAGCAGAGTTGTGCTATACAGTATTGTACTGTATAGTGAAGTGAAAACTTCAACATGAACAAGACACAAGGAAAAATTACCATGTTCTTCAAACACCACTAGATGGAGAAGGGTTAGGGTAAAAGGCATTTAGATGGACACAAGTGATCTGTGAGTTGATAAACATAATAAATTTGAATGTTTTAAAATGTTCAATAAAATTTTCCCATATTGAAATTGGACAAACAAATTTCCTCCAAATTTTGTCAGGGCAAGTAAGCTTCAAAAGTCACTAGCCCAGGACAAGTAAATATTCCACATAATCTGGTCAGCCTACATAGGACTGAACTTATACTTTAGGGCTTATGGATCTAGGGCAGGTATGGATTAATGCACAAGCTAACCAAGCTGTAACTTTGGGCCCTCAAAGAAAGGAGCCACTCAAAGAGTTTGAAAAACTTTTTCAGTAGTTAGAGACTGTGAGTACATTACTAGTCATAATTCCTTATTGCTCTTTTAGTTCCTCATTTTTTTTGCTCCATACATGAGTGTAAGCCAGGTACAAGTTACTGTAAACATGATATGCATCCAACAAGCTTCTTAGCCTTTCTTGATTTGTTTTAAACCTACAATTTAAAATTCAACTTTCCTTGAATTCAGATGACTACAGTACTTACTCCATTTAAGCTTGGGCTCCCTGGGAGCATAATAGGGGCCTCATCCAGGCCATTACCATTTAGAAAACAGAGACATCTAGTAAAAATGGGTTTCATTACAGAATTATATTGAAATTTTTACAACTGAATATTAATGTATTTAATTTAATTCATTGACAGTCTTTAAATACTGTATGTGGAACTGCATGCCGCCTGTCCCAGTGTCTGGCACAAGTATCCTCTGAATCTGGCTTTGTGGATTCCTATGCAAATGCTGGACAGGGAGCTCCACAGCCTGTACGAGAGGCAGCAGATGCCTGGGAAGGAGTCGCTCGAGCTGTAGGGGTGGCTAGTGCAGCAGTCAAGACGCAAATGTTAATGCTATTGCAGGAAGTCCAGTCACGTCAAGATATGTCAGAAAATACAAGGAGACAAGAAATTAATCGAGTAAGTTAATGTCATGCTGCTCCTTGCAAGTCTTGTAACCCAAACTTTGCATTGTAATGTGTAGTTTTTGGTATGGAAAGTTTCCGAGTTGAAAGCTCTTTACTTTGTTGCATAATCATTGTGCTCTCCCCCAAACAGGTAGTCCTAGGGTCTTGAGACAACAGAGGATGTGGAGATGACAACTGAAAGATTTGACAATTGTACTGACGTATATTTTGCAGCTCAATTTGTCGTGTATATTAATGCTGAAGTATTTGGTGGAAATCACAACCTGGAGGACGATAAAACCTGCTGTGATAGGACGGAATTGAACGTAGTCAGATGTGGTGTTAATGTGCATAACTATGGTCTTGGTGTAGTTGATGGTGACAATCTTGAGTTGTATTGTTTACACTGATGCTAATGGTGGAGTAGTCAACAAATTTCCAGTGATCAGAAGTATCCTTCAGGGCATTGTTGATAAAGCAGATAGGTCCTATTCTTGTGCCTTGGGGGAATACCACTGGAAAATAGCTGAAAGCCAGATATAGCCCCTCAGAAACACACAGCTTAGTGATGGTTGTTAAGGAAACCAGTAAGCCAGGAGAGGAGACCCACCCAATTCCAAGGTCAATGGCTCTTTTGATAATTGTGTTATGATGTCAAAGGCTTTGGTGAAGTCTATAGTGATGAGAGCTATAGAGGTCTTCTGTTTGTGTGTGTGAGTGAATGAGAGAGTGGCTTTTTTTTATGTATTCAGTATATTTAATAAGCTCATTTTATGATACATTAATACACAAATGAAGGATGCATATTGTGTAGTTGCCATTTTCCCCTTGTCACAGATTCTTGTTCAACTCTTACATGTTCTTCCTTTTCCCTGATTAGTGGCAGAGTGGATACAGAACTCATCTGTCCTAAGGGTTGCTGGTTTGTGACTAGGGCACCCAAGTCCACCCAGCTCTGAACGAGTACCTAACATTACAGTTGAGGAAGTGATTGTAGTTGAGTACAATGTTAGCCACACTGCCTCCTTGGCTTAGTATGCACTGTATCTGATGGGCCTTTAAGCTTATTGGGCTCACTTCCATCCTCCTTAATTTCTTCTTGTGAAAATAGATGCAACTACTTTTGTAATAGCCAAAACAACAAACAAAACCAGTTCTAATAAATTTTGTTGATTGATGCCAATTACAAATTGTTTAATTCTGTTATGGAAATGAAATATGAAGCTACTGTAAAGTATTTTTCTTCCTGAAATTGTTGAGAAGTATACTTCATTAAACATTGAGCTTCCTCATAATAATAATTGTATAAACAGCAACTGAGCAGTTGTATCAGACATAAGAAAGTGAACTTGAATATCATTTATACGTATTCATATCAGATATCATTCAAATTGTATCCCCCTGAGATTTTGTGAAAGATGGGGCAAATTTTGTAAAGAATACTGTAGATGGACAAAGCCTTGGATATTAATCTGATTTTTATGACCGGCAGGTGACCCAGGCAATGCTGTCTGCCTTCTTGGGCCTCCAGTACCAGTTCTCAGCTGTGGTCATTGAGCGTTTCACTGGCATCCTCCAGGCCCTCCGAGATGACAGTCAGTGTGTTGCCTCCCAGAACCCACCTGGGCTTCAAATGAACAAACAATGTCATTCATCAATACCTATATCAAATCATGTTACAGACGTTTCTCAGCTTTCAGTATCTAGTCAGTATGTTCCACAACTTCCAGGACAGCCAGCTTGGCTTCCGGGCCAACCACAACAACAAGGTGGTATAAAAGGAGTACCGGCGGCGCCTCTCCTGGAGAGCCCTGGGAAAGAGGATAAACCACGGAGTCGGCACCCCTCTGGCGGCCACTCCCGGCACTCGTCTGCTGCCCCTGGCTGGTCCAACCCAGGCAGTAGTGTTGCTTGCCCAAGTACCACAAATTATGGTTCTAATTCAAATTATGGCTCTAGTCTTAGCCTTAGTATGAACAGTGGGAATACCCTGTCTCCTGGGACATGTTACGGATTATTTTCTCATTTGAACGGTGGTGGGTCTGGCTGGCACAGTGATGCCATATCTCGTCGATGGTCAATGGGAGGGCCGAGTGCAGAGGGATGGGAACGAAACTCTAGTTTGGGTCCATTTAGTTTAATTGCAAATAGACGATGGTCAGTGCCCGAGGCCAGTGAACATGATGTGAGTACCATGAGTGAAGCAGACTCGGTGACCGACTTTTATGGCAGTTGTGGCCTTCATGGAGAGTGGAATGGAACTATTGGCGGCAGCACATCTTGGGGCTCTAGAGTTGGACTCCATGTACCTTCACGAGACAGTAGTGTAACTAGAAGCCCCAGTCACAGTCGCTCTGTTACTCCAGGTACTGTATGTGATGTTGCTCAGTATGATGTTTGCTTAATTGCTATGTAAAAGATTGTGTAAATAACAAAGACAAAATTACACAAGATCTTATGTATAATCAGATGATGGTGAGATAATTAATCAGTAAATCAAGGTGTTATCATTGTGCCTGAGGGTAAGCAACCATAGCCCACTACTTCACAAGTTTCTAGCTATCTTTACCAATCCTTCCAGATTTTGTGTGTTTTTGGAGTCCCAGCTTTGTATTACACAGTAATCCATCCTAATTTCTGCATTCCTCAGGCTCCTCCTACTTTCAATTGCACCCAGATAAATTAATTAATACTGTGCTGTATCTACTCTTATCATCTCTTATCATCTCATAACTTATTACAGTGCATGGCTGAAACACAGTAGTACACTTCATCATATTATTTATTCTATAATTTTCCATTAATTCTCATACTATGCTCTAAGGTTCCTCATTTTAGGTAAGAGCAATTAAAAAAACAGTAGACAGATGTTCTTTGTAATAAATAGAGCCATATATTTAATCTCATTCCTACCTATTTGTCATTAACTCTGCTGGAGACTTGCTTGCTTGGGTTAGCCATATTGTTTACGGCTGCCTCAACTTTTTTTTAAGAGTCGTAGCTAGTGCTTAATTATTTCTTAATTTCTTACCTTTAATGTGTCCCTATTGTTCTACAGTCCTGCATACTTTGCCCACCTTCTTTTCACTTCTGCCCAAAATAGAATCTTATTATCTTTGCTTTGGGTTCATGTCTTTGGTTAGTAGAATGGACTTTATTACATGGGCATGTGAGTTGGAAGAATGAGGAAATTTGAGATAATGTTACGGTACAAGATAAAAAAAATGCATCGGTTTGTCTGACCTGATATGATAGAAAGATGTGGAGAGGCAATGGTTGAGGGTGTTAGAGTGAGGCAAGTGAGAAGAGAGAGAAAAATTAAGAGCCTATTGGAAAGGTGATGGAGTACGGAGGAGAGATGCTTTTGAGTGAAAGAAGACATCCTTATACACTACTGTTATTATATCCTTATAAACCATGATGGAGAGAGTTCGTAATTATTTCTGTTATTTTACTGTACATACAATATTTAAAGAATACAGTATATTCTACAGATCATTAATAAATTGCTCAAAAAATTTAAGTGATACTGTATAATAGTCATAAATAAATATATCCTTGTTTGTTTGCATTTACAGATCCCGGACGCCAAGGTTCATTCATCAGTAATGAAGAATTGCAGGACGTGATAGACCTTTTGTCCCTGCCCCTCACTACTGATGCTAATACTATTGAGACTGGAGGAGGTGGTGATGGTGGAGGAGGAAATAGCAGAGGAAGCAGTGGAGGTGGAGGGAGCAGTGGAAGTGGAACTGTAGGTGGTGGTGGTAGTGGAGTTGGATGTGGAAGTGGAGGATTATCAGGAGGTGTAGGGGAAAGTAGTGTAGGAGTTTTAGGTGGTGGTGGAGGAACAGGAACAAGTGGAGGAGGGAGCAGAGGTGGGAGTGGAAGCCGGGGAGTAGGGGGTCCTCAAGGAGCGTCCCCTGTAGGACTAAGTCCAACTCATCACCCCTGCATAACCCAACTCTTTGAAGAAGCCAACAAGCAGCAAAAGCAGCAACAGTTGCAGCTTAAAACACAGCAACAGCAGCAGCCCACAAATCCTCAACCTCCACAAAAATCTTTGAAACAGCAACAACCACCGCCTCAGCAACAGCAATATCGTGAGCAGCTCCAGCAACCTCTGCAGTATCACCAGCAGCAGCAGTACCCACAGCAACAGTCAGCACAACCACCACAACACCAACAGTATCACCGTCTACCACCAAGTAAAGGCTGCACCACACCTCACCACTCATTAGGAGAAGTAGTGGTAGAAGCCCCAGAAAGTAACAGTCAAGTCAGCACTCCTATATGGCCACCATCAGGAATTGCTCCAGGTAAATGGAATGGTTGTTCTCATTTTAATAACCCCAAAGGAACTTTGAAGAATCATAGATTTGATATTGGTAACAAAATGTGCATTGAGTGCATGCTCTGACATCACATTCTGGGAGGCAGCATGACTGAATACAACTGGTGGGCGGGTGATGCGAAGGCAGGAACAGCTCATGCTGTTATAAGAGAAAATAGTTATTTTGAGCTAAGTTTGAATTTAACTTGACAATCAGTGGCAAAGAGGATAAAGTAAACTTAAAGGCTCCACACGTACATTTATCTCTCCCACACGGAATTAACACCCATGCTTTTAATTCTTCTTGTTTCATAGTTTTGTATTATATTTTCCTTATTTATAGGTCACATTAGGGTATTGAAATAATATTCCACATTATTCGGAATATCATTACGTACGTGTAACATTGGCAACAGGCGTAGGTGTAGCCGTCTCACAGGCTACAGCTGACTGGTGACGTGTGTTATGTTTTGAGTTGTGCTCATCGCTCTGATTGGATAAAATAAAAACAAACAAGTATGGTGATGAATCCTTGTTGGATTCCATTAATTTTTATTGTTATTATTATTAATTTTTTAATATTTTTCTTAATTTTATCCAAAAAGAAAAAAGGGGAAGGACGAACTTTGCTATATAAAGGCTTCATTGTCAGAAAATGGTGTAACCTGGATTTTAACTTGGAGATAAAAAAGGAGGTACCCGGTACTAATACTGTAGAAGGTTCTTAAATACTAGAAAAAAGCTTTTAATTAATAAGGCTTCCTCACATCTGTGGCTCATGGGCAGATATTGACAGAGTATGTCATGGATTTTGGACAATAAATCACATCTCTGACCTACTTAGTGCTACCCATGACCATGTCTCTTACAGAAATTAGGTTGATGGTAGATGCTTCGTGGTGTCGCAGGGGCATGGCTGTGGCTCGTACCAAGACCCATGGTTAGTGGGAGAAATCATGTCATGAGTATCACTTTCATACCTTCAATATTTAATGTACGGTATTTAACTTTTGGGCCTCGGTATTTTAAAGGAATTCAGAGAAACTACTGCAATGGCTCTCTGACAACTATGTTTGGTAAGACTGAGCAAGGAGTGAGTGCCGTATGCCTGCTTATTAGTACAATACAGTACAGTACAGTATAATGAACCTAGTCTTGAGTCAGGAAGGAGTACTGTATTTAAAAAATATTTCGAAACCTATAACCGTAGAGAATGGATAAAATACCTCTTGTACAAATGGTGTATTATAAATATACAGTAATGAATATAGTTTGGGGCAGTCAAGAAATTTATAAAGATTTTGATTATTTATACTGTAGTGTACAGTATGCAGAATAATTGTAAATAATGGTCAAACTATTTCCTACACAATTTCAGAGGGAGAGTTGAGGAAGACAATATATTTGAGAAATATAAAATTTGAGAAAAACATACATAGTTCATGAAGGTTGTAGAAAAGGAGGAAGTGAAAGTAGAAGTGCAATAAGTGAATTGAAATAAACTACCAGTACATAGTACAGTATTTTGGAAATATACAGTACCTGTACTGTACTAATATGAAAAAAATATTTAGTCTAGACTTTTGTTATTGTGATGAATATTAATATGAAAATGTAAGACAATGATGACTAAGTAAATAATTAGGATAGATTATTTATATTTGGAGTGGAAAATTCTTGGGATATGGTTTATGTTAAATATTGAGGAGTGAAAGGGTGTCATTAACCCACATTCAGACAATAGAAAATTAGAGTACCGGTACCTTACCTAATAGTAAATTGAGATCATTTCTTGAGTTGTTAAAAGACCATTTGGAGAGTTGAATGATCACACTTCATTCATGAGAAATAGTTTTATCTTTCATTTGGTAGAAAGTGAATAGAAGAAGTATTCCTGATTATGGTTGATTGTCAGATCCTTTACATAGTTGCTGCATCTGGGACTGAAAACTACAGACTTCGTAAGTCTTTCCTTTTTTCACTAGCAGCCGTTTTTACTCTATTGACAGGGCGGCTTAAGTGTTGAGATATTTAAATTTATTCAGCATGGCCTTTTGGAGTCATTCTCATGATCTATTTATGGGTTTTGACATAATGGTTTATCCTTCCCAGTGTTGAGTAGTGTTGTGGTGGGAAGCTTTTCTATATCTTTAAAATCCTTTCTCAGGAGACCTCAACACTGCTGAAACTCATGAGAAACCTGAGTGTTGCACTATATGTACATGTATTGTATGCCTTGTTTTATGTCAAGATGTTCTTTTCATTTTCTGTGATTCCAGGAAAGCAAACTTGTTAGTAAGTAGAGTGTGTATGTAGTCCTTTTAGCTGAATTGCATTGCAACCTCTTACATTTTAGTAGGAGAATCTGTACCCATGAAGGAGTAGAGGAAGACATTATTCCTTTATTAAAATGTGGGATTCTAATCCTTCTCAAACTTTTGTGGAAATACTATTGTCACAAACCTTTTTCTTAACCGAAGCAAAGATTAAAATGTGGAAGTACTTTACCTCTGAATATCTAGTAAGCTATCTGGTGAGCAGAGATTTACTTGCTTAATTCCATTACATAAGTCATGTATATTGAGGCAATTTAACGACACAGTTGTTTTTAAACAAGTAAGTACAATGCAGGGATCCCCAAAGAAAAATGTTCAGGGGAGGTCTCATTTGATGAGTTATTTGTGTGTACAGTAGTTACAAAGGCACATGTAAACAAGATTATACTGTACAGTCATTAGCACATTTTCAATATGTAATACATAAACACGTTAGTTTTCACTTTCGCCCAAAATATCGATTTACATAAAAAATACGCCTGACCTTAGTTTTTGGCACATGGGGTCAAAAATTAGATTTAGTTAAATTTTTTACAAAGGTACTACTTGGATTCACTTGGGTTCACAATTTAAAAATTCGAGTAATTAGTGTTATTTAATGAACCTTGAAATAATTAAAGATACGTACAGGTATTTAAAAAGTCAATTACGCTGTGCCTGTAAGTTTTAAATCATAAATTTTCTTAAAAATATAGACTAATTTTATTATTGATAAATAAGTATGACAGCTGAAATCTGGTAAAATAATTGTGTAGAATTATGCTACTTGTATTAATTATGATTACTGTACAAGTAATTCTCATTTATATTAAGCACTAATTTCCAAAGTGCATTAAATGTAAAATTTCACCAATTTTATGCATTTTCAATTGGACAAGAATTTTACCACAGCATTAGAAAGTCAGCTGTAATGAGATAAAAATGGCACATTGTGGTCTCACCATTTTAAACTTCTCTTTGGCGATCCTTGAATATTGTTTTTAATACTTGGGCTTTCCCGTATCTCTGCTTTCACTAAGATTCATTACTGTATTTAATATTACAGATGGTACTTCAACCCCTAAAAATTGTGTGTGTTTTTGCATTCATCTCGTTATTATTGAGTGTTACTGATTGTTTTTTGTTTTTGGAACGTTCTACTAAGTGATTGTAAGACCAGTAGATTCTGTCAGTTTACTCCCATTGATCTCTTTAAGTGTTCAGAGTACTACTGTACTGTTTATTACCAACATTGTTGTTCTACCTCACTGTTTATTATTACTAGAAGTGAAAGATAGTTTAAGTCTTTGTGAGTGATGTCTGCAGTTGCATACTGACAGTGAGTATTAAGAGTTGACCTCTTTTTATTACATTTTTATTAGGTTCAGAGATTTACTGTATTAACAATATGGTGCTTTTGAATAGTAATGTCTTTTTTCTACCTAAAAAAAAGAAATTAGTTTATGCCAGTAAAATGAGTTGAGATAAGCCTAACTAGTGTTGCAGTATATAAATTTTGCAGTTTCATTTCTTTTATATCATTACAGTACTGTATTGCTATTTTATTTTTATTTTTCTTAGATATGGCAGAGTTGAGACCTTGGCTAGTTAGCTCATAGAAGTTATTTTATCAATTATTTTATTTTCATAAATGTAAATAGGAACTGAAGAATGGGATTTATTTTTTATTTTTTTAACCTCACAAGATTAGCCTTGAAAGGTAGTTTATTTGTCCTTCTCTCTTGACAACTCTTCGTTGTTCTGGTTAGGTCTTTCCTTTTCCTGAAACATGAAATCTAATCCATTTAGTGAATTTCTCGTTTGGGAGAGTTTCGTGCCTCAGTATGAGCGTCTTTTCTAAAATAAATCAGATTGTCAAATTTTCTACCCCTTATAAAAGCTCTTTCTTTGTTGAGAACATTACTACATTTACAATTTTATGACGTCTTCACTGTAAGAACTCCAGAAAGCTCCTTATTCTATATTCATTTTACTTCTTTTAGGAGTTTCTGATTCATTAGCACCTGCAGGTTCATGGTGATATCTCGAACACTCCTGAGATTGTATTTCTCTTCTTGAGAGCTCGGTACTCCAAGGAATGTCTCACACCTTAAGGGATTTCTTTACTCTTGAGAATATTTCATTTTGCCAGGGAGCTTTTTACTCCTTGGAACATCTCTTTTCATGAGGGAGCGCTGTGTCTCCACCAAGAAGAGTTCACTATCCTTAAGACTATCTTATACTTTAGTGCTTAACCCTCAGGAAGTCCTGTACACGTTGACATATAATTTGGTAATATTTTGCCTCGGTGACCTATTAGGATTATAAAACAAAATTGAAAATTTTTCAAGAATTATTACCTACTGAAACACACTGCAGCAGAACTTTGTGTCTTCTGAACAGTATTTGACATTTTGTAAAGAATAAAAATGTACCATAGTTGATGCTATGTGGTATATAATAAATTTTTATTTTTATTTTAGTGAAATAAAACATATATAATTAGTCAAGTTGGTTTATTTGAAAAATATTGCAGGCCCCGTTGTGGGTCGATGACCGTTGCCATGGTGGGCTATCCCCCCCCCCCAAAAAAAATTGCATACATGTTGATAAATTTAATTATTCCATCAGAGGACTGGTTAAAAGAGGGCTCTCTCTCCTTATTGAGTACAATATAATTACTGCAATTCAAGTTGGATAAGAATCATGCATTGTGGATAATTATCATAACTGGTTTAGTTATGACAGTGAATTATTCCTACTACTGTACTGTTCATAGGTACACAGTACAGTACTGTACCTAAGGAGTATAATGAGGTTGTCATGGAAGCTTTTAATATTTATTGTAAGAAGATGTACTGTACACAATGTATAATCCATAGGGTTGTTTTGTCCAGAAATTGTGACAAGGAAAGACAAATCACAATATTCTTTACAAATGGACCTGTCAGTAACTAGACATCTCATCCTAAGTAGAGAAGAAAGTTTAGAAACATTAACAAAAATAAATAAGGTGATGGGTGTGGAAATGGAGAGTAAGTGGTGTACTCTACATGTATATCAAGGGTAAACATACAGTACAGTACTGCACCTGTCTTCACAAAATTCTTAGCTTGTTGAATATTCCTCACTTTTTCTTGACTAAATTTCAAAATCTTTTTTCCCCATTGAATCTATCAAGCTTTCTAAATATTTCAGACTACCCAGCAGTGTTTGTCTGCCTGTTATAACGTACACAGAATGCTATAGTAGAAGCAGGGTGGTTCATTCAGATTCTCCCAACACTAGCAATATATAAAGGAAACATACTGGTAGTTATTGTCTCTATGAACAGTTCTTTATCAGTGTTGGACTTTATAGTCATGTGGCTGAATGTCAAGTATGTTGAAGGCTGACCTCTCAAATAAGCTCCACCTGCTTTTGGGGGAGTCAGAGTCATGTTCTCACGTAAGTAATGTGACATTTGCTGAAGATGCCAAAAGTGGGAGGAACTTACTCTGTAGGTCAATTGATGTGACAAATAAGTTGTAGCTTGACACTTGGGGACTAGCTGGTAAGAATACAGAGAAAAGTAGTGATTTATTAATCCTAGTTACAGAATTAAATAGTTTATCCAAAACTTATTATTTAAAAAAGAAGAAATGGTAATTTAAAAGAACATTTCAAATAAAAAAAATAAATGTTTCATCATATTCTAGATATTGTACTATTATTGATTATATTATTTTTTATTGTGGAAAATTTATGTGTTGAGAAATTATCTTTTGCAATATTTATTCACATACCTATGTATGCAGAAAGTTTTATTTATGCAGAGAAGTAGGCAAGCATAGCTGTAGCTGTAGTGTTACTGCGTAGCCTAGATCTTTTATTGTCCTTTCAGGTGTGACGCTTACAGAGTGTTCCAGTGGGGAAGAGAAACCCACCTTACCACTATGGACAGGTAAACTATTTGCAAGATTTGGGCTCTAGGTTTACATCTGAAGTGCACTGTTGATAACTTTTGAGTGTTTTACATGGTAAACATTATACACTACTGTACAGAATTTCAGGTTCATATAACTGCAATACAGTAATTAATTTTCTAGGTTACTAACAACTATTGGTAATAGAGGTGATCACTTGATGGAGTGCTCTTACCATAGTTGCAATTTCAAGGTTGTGTTGTGCGTGGATTACCGGGTGTGTGTTGAATAAACTATTATTGAGAGGACTGCAACACATTGAAAAGATGATTGATTTTTGTACTTATAACTACACAACAGATGGGATTGGCTGTGAACGGAGAAGTAACCCCTGCCACGGGCGTGATGCACCCAACAGGGCATCTTGGCCGGCAGCTTCTACGTTGCTGTAAGTTTCTTGCATTTGTTGATGCCTTATTGTGGTTTAATTGATACACATTTGTTGCATCAGGGTGACAGTGACAAAAAACAATAAACTTTTTTATGATATTTTTGTGGTTGTTTTGGTGTATTGAGTTATTTACAGCACATTGTTAGTGTAAGCTGTGCCTGCCTCATAATTAAACTAAAAAAATCAAATTGTGATGACAAGAAAAGTGTAGACTTTTCTCTACAACCTCTGTGCCACAGTGCCAAGCATCCACCTACATCTCTACCCTCCCAAACACCTCCCTCCCTCCCTTCTGAATTATTTTTGTCCACAGCTGTATATCTCTTTGTTTAATTCAGTAAGATATGATGAAATATAGATGTATTATTGTTTATGAAGCTGGGTGCACTTATTGTTGCCAAACTGTATGGTGAATGAACTATATGTACTGTACATAGTGACAGACTTGCCCTCTTTGTTTACTGCCTCTGATACAAATAAAAACAAGTAGACATGGAAGATTACCAGGTTGGTTGCTGATACTTTTGTATAAACAGATTCCAATAGAAAAGTACATTTTGGTAAATATATTCTTAAAATATGGTAAAACAGTACAATTTTCTTATGAAATGATAAGTTTTGCTCACCGAATGCAGCGGTGTAATTTGATTTCCTGTATGCTAACGAGAGCTACTAACACTGGGAGGGTTGATACTGTGTATGTGACCAGATGGGATGTGTGGTTGAGATCGGGGATTGTGTGGTTGATGATCGAGCCACATTGGACCTGTTTATATGTATTGATTCATTATTACATTATTATTACAATATACAGTATTCTTATAAGATCAGCGCATCAGCCTCACTGGTGCCCAACGCACACAGAGGGGAGAGACTCACTAAGAGAGCATGTCTTTATCACTCTCTGGACATCGAGCTCATTGCTATACCTCTGTCCATAAATATACTATTACAGTATACTGTATTGGGTATCATAGTGTTACCACGAACAAATTAAAAACACACGGCAATGTTTCAGATAAAATCCCTGCCACTTGCAATAGCTATTATACCCATTTAAATATTGGTGGTATAATTTGAACATATTTTTGGTGCCAGCTAGAGGAAACCTCTAATTATAACTGAATGGTGTGTGCGTGCGTGCGTATGTTTTTTTTTTTTTCAGCTTATGGATAGATAAAATACCAGAGGATTCAGGTAGTGAAAATAGACTGAATTATTGGAAATTTCATGAAAGGCATTGACACTGTATGGATCTTGCAAAATCAAAATAAAGTCATCTTCAAATTATGTTACTTCGTGTATTAAATGTTTATATCTAAATTAAGTGACTTGAACTATGGTTACACATTTGTTTAACAGATGGGCTGGGCTAGATGGGATGGGGAGTGAGGGTGAGGGAGAGGAAGGGGGCAGCATGTCCCCTATAGGCTTGCCTCAGTACCGCCGCCACTCCACTGACACAACCCACCTCGGTCTCAACTCTTCTTCTCCTATGATCGCAAAGACTAGAAGCACCGACAACATAACTGTGGTTTGTTACAACCTGTGTTTGTAAATATTAAGGTGTAGGTGTATTTGTGTTTATGATATACTGTATACTGTATATATACACTGTATGAATGTAGATATACAATTCAAATTACATTTCTTTATAACAAGGTTTTCAGGAACACAGTCTCATCATGAAGTGAGATATACCTATAGTGTATGTTTCAACTGTTGTCGATGTATTGAGCTATCTTTGATTTTTCCATTATATCTTTCAAGTAAATTTTTCTTTTTAATTGCTTTTGTTAACAAGACCCTAAAGTTCTCATGTATATTCCAAGTTTCCTCCTAAACTCACTATACTATTTAATTTTGTCAGTGTAATAAGGAACTCTCATCGGTGATTGTATAACGTATTTTTATTGGTCACTGATTAGAGTAAAGCACCTTTGAGTTAGCTGATTTAACCCCTCCCATTTTTAAGTCTCTGTTAATATGCATTAAATATAGTTTTAAGATGCTTTAAGAAAAAAATACTATTGAGGTTCAAATTTTGTTCTGTGCCATTTTAGTTGTGTATATAAAAGACATAGCTCTTCATTTGATAATAATAATTAAGACTCTTGCTGGTTATAAAAATGATACAATGTTAGTCATTTATTTTCAGGGGAATGATGTAAGCAGTGCTAAGAGTGGCTGTTTAGACAGTAATTTACAGCACCTTTTGCTGCTTAATTCCATCCTGCCAACCTCTTCACCTGCAACACCCACATCGCAGTACTCTCTCTTCAGTTCCACTACCTGAGCTGTTTTTCTTGTGGATATTTTATAAGTGGATTGTCACATTGGGTTACTGGGCCACCAATGGCCTTTGGAACATTGAACTACAATAGCCTGGATTATAAGACAGTATTATGCATATTGTGGTTCATAGTGATTTTTCAGTACAGTATTATGGTATAAGAAGAAGCAGTACCATTTTTATTGTGACAATAGCCATAATATTTTAAATCTATACTGTATAGTAAAGATTTTACATTATCAATATATGAGAATGGTACACTTGTGCTACACTCAGTCTCTGCTTCAATAATTATCAATGAGACATAGTTATACAGACTTGGCAACCTACTGGCAAGGCACATTTGTTTAAATTAACTTGTCTTTATATATACATGTACGGTGGTCAGGATTGAGACTGAGATACAGTACGTGGGTGGTAAGAGATCTTTCTCTGAACGTAAGAAAATCATCAGGATAGAATTAGGGTACATCCTGTAGGTTCAGAAAAGTGTACAGTACTTGATAACTATCCAGTACTGTAATGGCTTAAATACAACATATTTGCTTCTTGAAAATGGTCGGTGCAGAGCATCACCTAACTTAAGTTCTCACTTGGGTGAGACACCACCATTTTGTTTCCCTGTTGATAAGTTTTGTTGTGTAATGGTCCGCCCACAATGTAATTTTAAAATTTTTAAATAGTATTCCAGGTGGATGGCTGGTCCCAGTATATAGCCTGGCTTTTGAAGAGCAGTATACTGTATATGCTTTATCCATTTTGCTCTTTTTTGTAAAATTTCTACAACTTGTTACTAACCAACCCCAGGAAAGATAGCAGATTCTCTTTATAAGAGAGATGGTGAAAGGTGTCTGGTACATGGTTCTGGTGCAGTGCTGTGCATTACACAAATAACAATTAAAAAAAATTAGGTGCAAGCATAGTACATTATTTTATCAGATTTTTTTTTTATTGTGAATTGGAAAATGTGTTAGTTGTATTGACTTGGAGCAAGTCTTTGTAGGATCATACTGTCATGGTAATTTAGATAGATTTACACTGCAGTAAGTGGATTTCCTGTACAAGTGATATATACAGTTCTGTACTGTACTGTACTGTAATGTACGGGGACGTGGTAGACCTGTTCACATACTGCAGTGTCCTTAAACTATATAACACAACTGTATTGGAAAGATATGGCAACTATGGAGTGTTAAATTTTTTTATGTCTGTGCGTACATTAACGTACAGTAGACTCGTAACTTGCACGTATTTTTCTTACGCGGTTTCAACTATACACGGATTACCCCGGGGGTTAGGTTACAATTTCCAATTTCAAACTCAAAATTTTCAAAATGGGTCATAAGCGCGCCAGACGCTAGCCCGCCAAAGCTCCACCCCTGCCACCCAAACTCTGTCTTCAGTTGCCTTGTGGGTATTGTTGGAGTAACAGTTGCCTCTCGTGTGTGTCAATTTGCGCTTAAACCTCTCATACTCGTTTATAATGCCCAAACATAAGCCAACCTCTACCTCTGGTCCCCCAGCAAAGAAACAACGCTCTGTTATGATCTTGGAAGAAAAAATGGCCGTTTTAGATTTAATAAAGGGCGGAATGTCGGTCGCTGCTGTGGCATGGAGGTACGGACGCAACGAATCAAGCGTGAGGTCCATTAAGATTTGGGAGAAGGAAATTCGTGAACCGTGTCTAAAAGTGCCTCATTTACTGCTAAGGTGACTAGCCAGGTTAGAGATGTAACTCTAGTGAAGGTGGAGAAGGCATTAAACATCTGGGTAGAGGATATGAACCAGAAACGTGTCCCCCATCGACGGCAACGTGCTCAGGGTGAAGGCACCGAGTCTTTATGACCAATTTTAATCTGAGGTTCCTCAGGGCAAAGCGATTTAGGGGATTTTTAGGAGTGTCTGATTTTACGTGTTTTTTGGCTTTACGCGAAGTCCCGGGAACGTAACCCCCGCGTAAGTTGCGAGTCTACTGTACTCTTGTGCTGCAAATGGAGCACTCATGAAGGTTCTAGACTTGGAAACAGTATAATAGGTTTAGTATTTAGTATTTTGGTTAATGTGTCACCGGTGGTAGATTATCATATTAAAGTTCCCCAGAGTATCCTGTGTTAACTAAAAGAATCATTATATTATTTTTTTGTTTTATGTATAACTCACTCAACCCATTGCTTGGATACTAGACAGGTGCGCACACATGGGGAGGCACTGAGCTTGTTCATTAACTGGGAACATTGAGGTATGTATCTGGGTGTAGGCTTTTTTTTTCTTTCTTCAAATGTGAGTTTAAAAGGTTCATCATGTAATGTCTTGGTTATAGCATCATAGGTATCATAAGGTACCATTTTAGGTATCATCAGGTACCATCATAGGTATCATGAGGTATCATAATAGGTATGATCAGATACCATCATTGGTACCATCAGGTACCATCATAGGTATTACTGTATTAGGTACTATCATAGACATCACCAAGTACCATCTTAGGTACAAGTAGGGGACCATTTATCCGGCATCCTAGTATCTGGAACACTTATAAATCAGTTATATTCTGGAACAAATTACAAAAGTCCTCGTTTAATGTTGTCCCAGGCAGTGTTGTTTCATTATACATGGTAATGTTATTACTCTTTAGATACCCATGAGTCTGACAACATTGTTTTACAATCCACTCGATTGGTTACAATGTTACCCTAACATTGTCACCCAGCACGGACTACTTTGTATGGCATGTCTTGCTGTGCTATGCTTTCTCTCACACAGCATCACAGAGTCTCCAAGCATCTTCTTCCCAGTCTTTCAAAAGGTTCTACAGCAGACTGACATGTTTAAGTGTTTTTGTGGTAAATACTGTGCTGTAACCCATTGAAATGGCTTCCAGGCCCCCATCAAGTGGTAGTGATGCTACGAAAATGAATGTTGTGGACATTGGTATGGCATTGGACCTAACCCCCACAACTGTGTGTAGTATCCGGACCAACACAGACAAAATTTAAGGCCCATCGGTAAATACAATACAAAATGATTGTTTTATCTTATTAATTAAACATTAATTTAGCTTCTACAGTATTTATCTTTTTGGATGTATAGGTATAATATATATTTTGTAAAAAAAAAAATCCATTGAATGTATATACAGGCAGTCCCCGACTTACGATGGGGTTAGGAACCCAAATCCAGGTCGTAAGTCGAAAATGCGAAAATAATACATAGAAAATCTAAAATGGGTGTCTCTTTTTCTTCTCAGCGCCACAAAACTCTCACTTTTAAGCTTGCCAGCCATTTTAAAGGGAATTACAAACGAAAATTTTGTCAGTACACAGCGCAATCACTAACGTCGGGACTCTAAAATACGTAATTTGAAAAAATTTTGGTACGACTGGGATGGTCGTAAGTCGAGGAGTAGCTGTATATGTAATGTAGTTTATGGGGCAAAAGGAGGCTGGGGAACGTAACTAGTGTATTTTATCTATTTCTTATGAGAAAAATTAATTCCGTTAACCTTGTAGTTTACAAGAACGTAACCATGACGTTAAGCGAGGACTTGCTATATTTAAAGTGAGCGCCGAGTAATTCCCCAGCTGAGTGAGTAAATTTACAATCCTTCCCCACCTGTGATCTATATGTTATATGGTTATATTTCAACTTGTAATTTCTGGTACAGTAGATACATGTATTTTTTTTACTCATTTACATGCTCACACCTGCCTACATAAAGACAGTGCAAAGAGAAATAAAAGAAAGAGTTATAATAAAGTATAAAATTGTAAGTACATTACTGTAGTATCGACTGGTTTCCACTGGGAAGCTGTGTGGTGAGCATGTGGAGGTCATTGGATCCACGGCGCAGAGAACTGTTGTTAGGGATGCTCTAAGGTGAGTGTCAGTGGAGGTTACAATGCAGTGTGTACAGTACAATAACTTGTATCATTTCTCATACTCTTATGGTTTCATTATTGCCATTTAAATGTTTTTGTTATTGTTGTTTATATGCCTACAGTTTTGATGTTACCGTGTATAGTTAAAGCTACTTTTAGGGGTGAATCTAATGATCTGAACAGAAGGTTTACTGTACATTTTATATATTTTAGGCCCGGTATTCCAAGTTCTGGAGAGGAAAAAAAAAATCTGGTAACCTCCAGATCCCAAGTATGCCTGATAAATTGTCCCTTACCTGTATTACCCAGTATCATCATTGTGTCATCATAAACCATCATAGGTATCATAAGATATCATATATCTCATTGTATTCGATAATCATTTTCACAAGATACAGTATCATCATTTATCATCATAGCTATCTTTGTGTATTTTCCTCTACCACATGTATCAGGTATTATATCAAGAGGTCTTCTCAGGTACCATCATAGGTAAGTCATGTAGTATATCATGTGCATCATGTCTGAGTTGGTCTGTCAGAGCACCACCTTGATGTTCTCACCTAAGAATTTGCCGATTTATATTTATGCATTCACATCTGTGTGCACTCAACACTTACATGACTGTGGTTAGGCAAGACAATAATGTACGTACATTCAAGGACATGTATACAGTATATAAGGACCTGCACATGCATTATAAATATGCTGATAAATATGTATACATGAGTACCTATACATGCACAATAAACACTGTTGAATATGTATATGTAAGGATCTGTGCATGGAAAAAGCACACTAATGGACAATGTATACATAAGAACCAACACATGCATATTAAACACACTCATTGGCATGTATACAGAACTTAAATACTGTATTCAAAATAAACACAATCATGGACATATCTATATACTGGCCTTAAAATACATAATAAACACACTTGGTCATGTATATATACTGTACTGGTCTTAAATGCATAATAAACACTCATGGTCATGTATACATCAAGGGCCTATAATATATACTGTATTAAACATTCATGGTCATGTATACATAAGGACTTGCACATTCATAAGAAGTATTCATGCATTTGTTAAATGTTGTTATAATTTGTTCTTTTCAGATCTTTCTAATTTTCTGAGTCGTCCCTGGACTGTACACATGGTGGATAATGCATAAAGCCTGACAGTATTGATTAAACACATTGGCCTTTGTTAAGTGTGGTAAGGTGAACAAAGACTGTTAAACGGAATACTTCACTGTAGTGTAGTGAATAAAGACTTTATCAGCTCAGATACTTCTTTATATTTAGTGTAGCAGAATGAATAAGAGTACTGTATTGGTTAAGATGTTTCACAAAACATTTATGATAGAGTGAATGAAGATTTTGTCATCTAGGATGCTTCTGTATAGTTAGTGTGGTAGGATGAACAGACTTCCTTAACTAGGGTATTTCACATCTGAAATTTTTTTTTTAACTCATGTTTTATAACAGAAAATTCTACATGTGCTTATAATTTCAAATCATTCACCTGGGACTATTATGACGCACACATTACATGTTTGTATACGCACAGTGGATCTTAATAACTTAGTCCTTTTCTTACATGGTCTACCTCTCTTCTGTGCCTTCAACTATACAGTACAGTACTGTGATGAGCTTCGTCCATCCTGCTAACTTCTTTCATCTACAAATTTATTTCAAATCTTTATTTTTAGAATATCTATCATTTTTTGAGTAATGCATAAGTTTTTGATGGGTACAGTATTAAATTTTTAATTCCATACCTAGGAAATCTGTTACAGTATTTTAACTACAGTACAGTAGTCAAGAGTTAGAAGAATACTGGTAATCCCTGATTTATAAAAGAGTTACATTCCTAAAATAACTCTTTTTTTTTTCTCACAAATTAAAGCTTATTTTCCCATTGACTCCCAGTATAAAAAAATATCCTCAAAACATCTTAAAAGGTACAATACGCTACAAAATACGTTTGTAATGAAAATTCTAGGTGTACACAAGGATAATAAACATAGTACACTTAGTAAAATACAGTACAGGTACATGCAGTGCATTACAATACAGCACAGCACTGTACAGTAATAATTTTACAGTACTGTACAGGAGGTCCCTGACTTACGAACGAATGCCGATACAAACGGGGTTAAACTTGAAATTTACAGTATTTTATTTGCTTGGTGACTTAATTTTTACTTTCATTTACTGGGTTTTGTCATTCTATTTCTTCTTTTGTCTTAAATTAAGTGATATTTAGATGTATATAAGGACTTAGGCTATGATATAGTAGGATTTTAAACATTGTTTTATAAGTATGGTATGCATATAGCATGTGTTCTGACTTGTGTACAAATCCGTCTTACGAACGTCCTCACGAATGGAAGTCGTTCGTAACCTGGGGACCCCCCTGTACTGTATACCTGTATAGTATGTACAAGAAACCAGATGAGATTTGAAACAAGGTGAACAGTATAAAATGCTAAGCTAACATCTATAATAATTGCTTTTTTATTAATAAATTGATATTTAAAAAAAATATAACTTTGAATTTTCATAAACTACAGCTATTTACCGTAGATTGGGGACTACTTGTAATTCATGTATGTAGGCCTATTGCATATTACAGCTAATACAGCATATTAATACACATTTTGATCTTACCACACTTAAGAATAGATTAATTTCACATACAGGGTATATGAAGACGTAAGTTTGAACAAGAACTCCAATATGCAGGCTTTATACACACTCCATGCTTAGTTCCCATTTACCAAGACTTTCATAGCATCTTCAAATCCTCTGAACTTACTTCAACCACTCACCGTAGTTTGCTCTTTTGTTATCATCCTTGTTTAGTGTCCTAAGCTGAATTTGGAAACTTAATATTTTATCCATTCGTCTTTTTCTGTCAACACTGTTACACAAAATTTACGACATGAGTCTTGGTTCCCATTTAAAGACTGGACACTCCAGAGAATATGACATTATTGATTTAAACAATAAGTACGGTACGCCATTGCTCGTGTGTCGTACGCCAACAACAGCAGTCACTGAACATAAAATTTATATTTAGATGTGCCTGTAATTGGTATCCCATGTCTTTCTATCAATATGTTTATCTGTATAAAAATTATGCATGTAATATATACACTTTAAGACATGTTATGATTGTAGTGCAGTCTTTTATTTTTGTAATTTTACCAAGTGAGAGGACTAAAGTGTTAATCAAAACCTTCATTACATAAAGTTGTGTCTTCTTTTTGCATAATAACCTTCATCTCACTAAGTAAAGGATGCAGTATAGTTCTCTGAATCACTGGACAGATAAAGCTTGTACTGTACAATGTCTTGTTTGTTCTTTAATAGAAATATTTGTGATTTTTTATAAGACGAGATGCTTTAACTAATGATTACAACCTATAGTGTTATAATGAAAGGCTGTGTCTACCTACATCGTTTATTTATGTAGAATCAGAAATGCTTTTGTTAGACTGATCGTAGAATGCAAACCACTGGGTGATGTTTGTATAATGTAGGTAATTGTTAAATGTAATGTACTGTATTTGTATCCTTTATGGATTACAATCAGTTTTATCTCCTTGGTTCTTCTTTGAACATTAATGTCCGTCATTGAAATATGTAAAATATAAATGATGAACTTTAAGTATACTTAGAGAGTAACAACAAAACACTGGGTCAAGTGAATATATTCACACCCCTCAAAAATGACTGAAGAGTCTATTAACAACTTATTGTTTGATGTAACGAGTATGGGGAGGAAGAGAAGAGAGCCAACTTCTTTATACTGTACAGTACTATATACATATTTTACAAAAGGGTATGTTACAATTGTATTTAGATCTTGAGATATGTGATGTAGCAATGGTTGTATGTAAATCATTTTGTGATAAATTATTGCCAAAGCCAATACAGGTAATATATGGTTGCATAAAAGGATGAAAAATAACCCTTACCATTTTTATTAACAGTGTTGGTTCACATTGGATTCATATTTGTTGCGTTAAACCTCCATATGCTTAAGGTACTGTACCTTCAATTGTCAGTTCACCAAATATGGTACAGTCCAGTAGTGTTGATTTTTTTGTTTTGTTTTTAAGTTTAACTAAATTCTGGTGCCCTTTGATGTACGTATTTAAGCAATCTGAATTTATATTTCTCATCATGAAAAACAATGTTCACTTAGATATTAAAGGAATAGAAATATGTTCAACCAATGTAATACAGTACTGTAATTCAAGAGACCTCATATAGGACTCAATGCAGCTGAGGATGATGCTTACTGTGGAAGAAGTGGTACTGTACCGGTATGTTATATCCAGCATCAGTGAATTTTGGGGACTTGTGTTTTTGTGTTACAATATTAATAACTGAATGGTGACCCAGTGCAGAAGTCTCTTAGATACAGTACAGTAAGTGGTTTTTGTGCTAGTCTTGTCTAAATACTGATTTGATGTGTATATAAGGTACTACCCGTGTACCTTGGAGCCTTTCTTACTATTATGTGCTGCATGTATCATGAGTAAGTACAGTACAGAATATCTTTTTGTTGGTGTCATTGCCTGGAAGTAATGTACACATTCACTAAGATTATTTTTAATGTTTTGTAAATGATAGACTATTTTGCACAAATATGTAGATTAGATTTTATAGGAGACTAACTAGTTACTGTAATGTTGAGAGATAGAAGACCTTTACTAAATTACTTCACTTTATGTTATTAAAGGATGTGCATTATTAATTCAATAAATACTTCGTATTTTTTACATTTCACAAGTACTGGAGTGGAGGAAAGGTTTTAATTTTGTTTAACAACATAGGAATATACAAAAGAAAATTATATATACTAGGGGTCCCCGACTTATGAATGCCCGCCGATACAAACGGTGTTAAACTTAAAATGTACAGTATTTTATTTACCTGATGACTTATTTTTTTCCTTTCATTTACTGTATTTTGTTCATAACTCGGGAACCCCCTGTGTGTGTGTGTGTGTATATATATATATATATATATATATATATATATATATATATATATATATATATATATATATATATATATATATATATATATATATATATATATATATATATATATATATATATATATATATATATATATATATATATATAAAGAGAGAAGTAAAAAGAATGCTATATAAAAGAAAATTTGCTCACTACAAATGTGGATTTAATTTTTTTTTAGACAGCCCATGTACGTTACTGTTGAGAGTGTATGGCATGCTCTACTTAGAACGATACTTGGATGTTTTAAGTTACTTACAGTCCATTTAGTCGCCCCTCTCATTGATATTATATATGATTCACAGTGATGATGCAGATGCTGGCCCAAAACTCACTAATGCTTATTATATTTTCATTTACTCAGTACAACCTCATAATATTCCCAGATCTCTATCTACATTAAGTTTAACATTGACTGACGGTGAGTGAATTTTCATATTTCATTACATAACTGAGCTCAGTTGTGGGCTATTTGTGATGTATCTGTTATTGACAGATCTGTATTACTCTATTTGTTGTCTCCAATTAGGCAGTTAGTGTTGTGCCGATGTATTCAGTCAGGTGCCTGGTAGGGTTTCATGTGTTAGATCATGAGTTGGCAGATTTATACCAAGTTATTTGTTGAGTACTTTATAGTCTCATATCAGAGCATGGGCCAGCTTTTGGAGACAGGCTGACAATTTTTAAGTGGTGTAGAGTGAGCGTACAGTACTACAGTACATCTGGACAAGCACTTTGTCACAAGATTTTAATCATCACAGTGCACTTTATGGTGAAAAAGGGTTGCCATTTTGCTTAGAGTGATGCCCTGGACTCTCAACCTATGAGATAAAAATTGAATTCTTTGGCCTGATTGAGTTAGAAGGACATCATTTTCTATAGCATGCAAAGAGCCAGTCTCACTTTCTATTTAAGAATTTGGATTATTCTATCCCTCTTATCCCAAGGAGGTGCACTCTAAAATTCAGTGAAAATAATATATGATAAATTCTATTACAGTAGTTACAAGTGAATTCTCTCTCAAAATTGACTTTTAAAGGGGGAAGGAATTTTTGGAATACATGTACAGTACAGTACATTACTGTAATCTGTTTGTTTATAATGGTTCAGAGGAAAGATAATAGGTCTTTTAATATAGATGTTTAACATTATTGCATATTTGTAGAAGATGAACAATTTTATTAGTTATTTAGTGAGGAAAATATAAAAAATTCAGAGAGAATAAAAATAATTTTGTTAACAACTGTACAGTATTCTCAAGGATATTATACTTACACATAATAGGTAAGCTGGAGGTTACAGCATATTATACCCTTTCCACATTAACCTGGCCCGTAAGGCCCGCCCCTTGTCTATAGCTACAAATAGCTGATTGGTTCCCTGAGCATCTTAACTCCCCCTGGACTCTGTGTGTGTATAAATGCGTATTTATATCGACCTTTTATGATAAATATTTAAGATCTTCTAACATCCTCTCTGAAGTGCTAATGCCTTGAAATGATTTGCATTTTTATAGTTTAGATATTTAACATTGTTTTAGATAATAACAAGTCAGGTTATCAATTGTGAACCCATTTAGTTTGAATTTTCTATGAACCAATCTGTTATTACTATGGAAGAGAGGCGTGGCTTATGGTCCAGGTTAGTGTGGAAATACTATAGTTTAATTCACTCATGTTATTCTGATCTAAGAAGCATGTTAATACATATTTGTACAAAATAACAATAATCCTATGCTGTAAAATTAGGGGTAAACTGTCTTTGTGTTGGGTTCTTGATCACATTAGTTGCAGAGTACTGTATGGGAAATATTTGTCAGCTGTAAAAAGTGAACTGTGTCCCTTCCTTGTAATAAAACAAAGGCTTGTATTCATGAATAATTCATAAGCAGCATTTGTAAATTAGTGATATTTACCATGAAATCTGATGACATTGTAAAGGATTTATAAATCCAGACATATCGGAAAATGACAGTGTTTACAGCATTATGAACCACAAATATCTTAGAATTTATAGATCCTGGTAGGCACTTAGAATGAGAAATTTTTTTGATAGCTCTAGAGTGTTGTGACACTACAGTATAAAAGACTGTAGATGACAGTCAGGAGTTGGTCATATTTTTACCACAGTTAATTTCAAGGTGTTGTCCTTATAACTGAACTAGTGTCTGTACCATATGTGGTGTTGATGAACTCGGTTTCAGAATTGGAGCTTTTTTCTCATCTTGTATTATATGGTTATAGTATATTGGACAAAAATCAGGAAACTTACTTCATTATTTTGTGTCCAGCGACAAATTACTGTACTGTAGTTTAGTTATCACTTACAACACGGTACAATACTAATATGTTTCTGAAACTTGTTTTATTTTTTTAGCAATACTGGCAAAACAAAATGTTATACAGTTAATGTAATTTTTGAAAGCTAGATAAGGCCTTTATTACAGTTCTGTACAGTATTTTGAAAAGTTAGGTGTGTGTTGGTGTGTAACTCTTTTTACTCTTCAGCCTTGTTATTCTGTACTGTATTTTTATTTGAATTTTCTCCTCCCATTAATATTAAATTAAATTTTTAGAAGCTACTTAATAGACAGGAGCAGCTTGTTCTTATTTATGTATGGTATGATTATAATTCAGATACTGTACTATGTTAATCAGTTTAAATTATACTAATGATGCTCTCTGTTGAGGATTAATTGATTTAATTTATGAAGTGTCTTTACAGTGGCACACTTTGCACAACCTTATAATGTAAATGTAAGTGCCAACTAAAGTGAATGAGTAAGGAACTGGTGCAATAATGTATTAAGAAGAAACAAAGGTTTTCAGAAGTGGAAGGAAACTGTGACCCACAAGTACTCTGCTGACTGTCAAGCTGAAGGTGTTAGAATGGTTAATCCCATAGTTGGATAAAAAAAAGCATTGTTATTCCTGCAATATAACAAAGAGCATTTCTTGGGTGGTTTGAATGTACCTAGTGGGAAACATTTTAACAAAGTGCAGCTCTTTAACAAGAAGTAACTACTGTACTGTACTTAGTGTTCGTTTTTTTTTTGTATAATTACTGCTACTTAGTTCTGATGTTTTCTCTAGTGTCATACTCTGAGTGTGAAATGTTGCACCAAGAAGTACTTGCTTCCGGTGGTATTTCCTAGCATCAATAGTGCTTACTGGCTCCACCTATACCACATGGAACTACTCGGCAATACCTAAATAAGTGCCAAACTCCAAGTGTCTGGCTGGCCAGATATTACATGTACTGTATGTACTTTACACACGTAAATGGGAGTCTTTGTAAATACTAATAAATGGAATGTTCTTTGTTAATGTTTCATTTTGAAATTTTTGTGACTACCCTGGGAGCGCTGGCATTTCTGGGAGGGCACTTTGCGGTGCAGCAGTCCCTGTAAGGGCCCCTGGGCGCTCCACTGTCCCTGGGATACCCCGTGGGGGTGCCACCAAACCTGGCAGAGCCCCTGAGGGCGCCGCCATCCCTGGGAGGCCCCCTAGGATGGTCGCTGTTCCTGGGAGAGCCAATGGGGTCGCCCCCGTCCCTGGGAGGGCTCCAGCAATCCTGGTAGGGCCTTTGGGAGCACCGCCCTACCTGGAAAGGTCCCTGAGGGCGCTGGCGTCCTTTGGATGGCCCCTGGGATTGCCGCTGTCCCGCTGTCCCTGGGAGAGCCCCTCGGGGCGCCTCCACCCCTGGGGGACCCACCGCCCCTTAGCAAGGCCCATGGGGGCGCCATGGCCCCTAGCAGGGCCCCTATGGGCTCCACTGTCACTGGGAGGGGCCTTGCTTGCAGTAGTTTTGGCGCTATTTAGAGCTCTGGGAGAAGCAATGGTTAAGTAAATACACCACCGCCCACCACATTTCCAGTGTCATCGCATTCTGAATGAAGTAATGGAGAATAATATCCAGCAGGAAAACATTAGTTGGTGTGTTGTGCTGACTGACTGTTCTCTGCTCCTATTGGCTGTAATTTAGTGGGTTAAAGGAATAGTCCACCAATCACAGTAAAGTAAGGGACTGGTGGAGGTATGAAATATATATGACACGACAGACAAGTATGCCATAGGGCCCCTGGGGACCCTTGGTACGGTCCCTGGCACTACCTCTGATGGCACCACCGTCCCTGAGAGAGATCCTGGGACTGCCGCCATCCCTTGTAGGGCCCATTGGAGCATTGCTGTCCCTGAGAAGGTCCTTGTGAGTGCTGATATCCTTGGGAGAGCCACTGTGGGCGCCAGCGCCCATGGCAGGGCCCTTGAGGGAGCCAGCATCCCTCGCAGGGCCTCTGTAGGCGCCAGCACCTCTGGAAGGGCACCTGGGAGAGCCACTGGGGTCGCTGCCATCCCTGGGAGGGACCCTGAGGGCGCTGGCATCCTTTGGATGGTCCCTGGGATTGCCACTGCCCCTGGGAGAGCCCCTCGAGGCGTCTCTACCCTTGGAATGGCCCCTGAGGACGCCAATGCCCTCTGAGGGCACAGGTGCCCCTGGCTGGGCCCCTGGGAGCGGTGCCGATTCTGGGAGGGCCCTTTGTGGTGCAGCGGTCCCTGTATGGGCTACTGGGACGCTCGGCTGTCCCTAGGATAGCCCCTAGGGGTGCCACCGAACCTGGCAGAGCCACCTGAGGGCGCCGCCATCCCTGGGAGGCCCCTGGGCCCGCCGTTGTTCCTGAGAGAGCCACTGGGGTCGCTCCTGTCCCTGGGAGGGCCGCTGTGGGCTCCAGCGCTCCTGGCAGGGCTTCTGGGGGTGCCACCCTACCTGGAAAGGTCCCTGAGGGCGCTGCCGTCCTTTGGATGGTCCCTGGGATTGCCGCTGTCCCTGGGAGAGCCCCCCGGGGCGCCTCTACCCCTGAGGTGGCCCCTGGGGGACCCACTGGCCCCTTGTGAGGCCCATGGGGGCGCCATGGCCCCTAGCAGGGCCCCTGTGGGCTCCACTGTCACTGGGAGGGGCCCTGGTTGCAGTAGTTTTGGTGCTATTTAGAGCTCTGGGAAAAGCAAGGGTAAATAATTACACCGCCACCCACCACATTTCCAGTGTCATCGCATTCTGAATTAGGTAATGGAGAATAATATCCAACAGGAAAACATAAGTTGGGGTGTTGTGCTGACTGACTGTTCTCTGCTCCTATTGGCTGTAATTTGGCGGGAAAATGAATAGTCCACCAATCACAGTTAAGTAAGGAAAAGCTGGAAGTATGTAATATATATGACATGGCGGACAAGCATGCCATAGAGCCCCTGAGACACTTGGTACGATCCCTGGGATCGGCGACAACCCTGAGAGGGCCCCCAGGAACTCTGCTGTCTTTGGCATTGCCCCTGGGGGCGCCACCGCCCCTGAGTGGGACCCTGGGAGCGCTGCTGTCCCTGGGAGAGCCCATGGGAGCACCACCACCCCTGCGAGGGACCCTGGGAGCACTGCTGTCCCTGGGAGGGCCTCTGTGATTGCAGATGTCCCTGAGAGAACCTCTGAGGGCGCGAGCACCCCTGGGAGGGCCCTTGGGGGAGCCAGCATCCCTGCTAGGGCCCCTGAGGGCACCACCATCCCTGGGAGGGCCCCTGGAGACCTTTGGTACGGACCTTGGCAGTGCCCCTGGGGGCGCCAATGACCCTGAGAGGGACCCTGGGAGCGCTAATATCCCTAGGAGAGCCCCTGGGGGCGTTGCCGTCCCTGTCAGGACCCCTGAGAGCGCTGCTGTCCCTGGGAGGGCCCCTGTGAGTGCTGATGTTCTTGGGTCATCATCCCTGGCAGGGTATCTGCGGGCGCTGCCATCCCTGGGGGGGCTACTGAAAGCGCCAATGTCCCTGGGAGAGCCACTGGGGATGTCACAGCCCCTATCACGTCCCGTGGGAGCGCTGCCATTCCCTGGGAAGGCCCCTGGTTGCAGTAGTTTTGGCGCTATTTAGAGCTCTGGGAGAAGCAACGTTAAGTAAATACACCGCCACCCACCACATTTCCAGTGTCATCGCATTCTGAATTAGGTAATGGAGAATAATATCCAACAGGAAAACATAAGTTGGGGTGTTGTGCTGACTGACTGTTCTCTGCTCCTATTGGCTGTAATTTGGCGGGAAAATGAATAGTCCACCAATCACAGTTAAGTAAGGAAAAGCTGGAAGTATGTAATATATGGCACGATGGACAAGCATGCCATAGGGCCCCTGGGGAACCTTGGTACAGTCCTTGGCACTGCCCCTGGGGGCGCCAATGCCCCTGAGAGGAACCCTGGGAGCGCCACTGTCCCTGGGAGAGCCCATGGGAGTACCACCGCCCCTGAGAGGGACCGTGGGAGCACCGTTGTCCCTGCAAGGGCCCCTGTGAGTGCTGATATTCTTGGGAGAGCCTCGGTTTGCGTCATCACCCCTGGCAGGGTATGTGCAGGCGCTGCCATCCCTGGGGGGGCCACTGAAAGAGCGCTGCCATTCCTTGGGAAGGCCCCTGGTTGCAGTAGTTTTGGCGCTATTTAGAGCTCTGGGAGAAGCAACGTTAAGTAAATACACCGCCACCCACCACATTTCCAGTGTCATCGCATTCTGAATTAGGTAATGGAGAATAATATCCAACAGGAAAACATAAGTTGGGGTGTTGTGCTGACTGACTGTTCTCTGCTCCTATTGGCTGTAATTTGGCGGGAAAATGAATAGTCCACCAATCACAGTTAAGTAAGGAAAAGCTGGAAGTATGTAATATATATGACATGGCGGACAAGCATGCCATAGAGAGACACTTGGTACGATCCTGGGATCGGCGACAACCTACGGGCCCCCCAGGCCACCGCCCCTGTGGGACCCTGGGAGCGCTGCTGTCCCTGGGAGAGCCCCCACCTGCGAGGGACCCTGGGAGCACTGCTGTCCCTGGGAGGGCCTCTGTGATTGCAGATGTCCCTGAGAGAACCTCTGAGGGCGCGAGCACCCCTGGGAGGGCCCTTGGGGGAGCCAGCATCCCTGCTAGGGCCCCTGAGGGCACCACCATCCCTGGGAGGGCCCCTGGAGACCTTTGGTACGGACCTTGGCAGTGCCCCTGGGGGCGCCAATGACCCTGAGAGGGACCCTGGGAGCGCTAATATCCCTAGGAGAGCCCCTGGGGGCGTTGCCGTCCCTGTCAGGACCCCTGAGAGCGCTGCTGTCCCTGGGAGGGCCCCTGTGAGTGCTGATGTTCTTGGGTCATCATCCCTGGCAGGGTATCTGCGGGCGCTGCCATCCCTGGGGGGGCTACTGAAAGCGCCAATGTCCCTGGGAGAGCCACTGGGGATGTCACAGCCCCTATCACGTCCCGTGGGAGCGCTGCCATTCCCTGGGAAGGCCCCTGGTTGCAGTAGTTTTGGCGCTATTTAGAGCTCTGGGAGAAGCAACGTTAAGTAAATACACCGCCACCCACCACATTTCCAGTGTCATCGCATTCTGAATTAGGTAATGGAGAATAATATCCAACAGGAAAACATAAGTTGGGGTGTTGTGCTGACTGACTGTTCTCTGCTCCTATTGGCTGTAATTTGGCGGGAAAATGAATAGTCCACCAATCACAGTTAAGTAAGGAAAAGCTGGAAGTATGTAATATATATGACATGGCGGACAAGCATGCCATAGAGCCCCTGAGACACTTGGTACGATCCCTGGGATCGGCGACAACCCTGAGAGGGCCCCCAGGAACTCTGCTGTCTTTGGCATTGCCCCTGGGGGCGCCACCGCCCCTGAGTGGGACCCTGGGAGCGCTGCTGTCCCTGGGAGAGCCCATGGGAGCACCACCACCCCTGCGAGGGACCCTGGGAGCACTGCTGTCCCTGGGAGGGCCTCTGTGATTGCAGATGTCCCTGAGAGAACCTCTGAGGGCGCGAGCACCCCTGGGAGGGCCCTTGGGGGAGCCAGCATCCCTGCTAGGGCCCCTGAGGGCACCACCATCCCTGGGAGGGCCCCTGGAGACCTTTGGTACGGACCTTGGCAGTGCCCCTGGGGGCGCCAATGACCCTGAGAGGGACCCTGGGAGCGCTAATATCCCTAGGAGAGCCCCTGGGGGCGTTGCCGTCCCTGTCAGGACCCCTGAGAGCGCTGCTGTCCCTGGGAGGGCCCCTGTGAGTGCTGATGTTCTTGGGTCATCATCCCTGGCAGGGTATCTGCGGGCGCTGCCATCCCTGGGGGGGCTACTGAAAGCGCCAATGTCCCTGGGAGAGCCACTGGGGATGTCACAGCCCCTATCACGTCCCGTGGGAGCGCTGCCATTCCCTGGGAAGGCCCCTGGTTGCAGTAGTTTTGGCGCTATTTAGAGCTCTGGGAGAAGCAACGTTAAGTAAATACACCGCCACCCACCACATTTCCAGTGTCATCGCATTCTGAATTAGGTAATGGAGAATAATATCCAACAGGAAAACATAAGTTGGGGTGTTGTGCTGACTGACTGATCTCTGCTCCTATTGGCTGTAATTTGGCGGGAAAATGAATAGTCCACCAATCACAGTTAAGTAAGGAAAAGCTGGAAGTATGTAATATATATGACATGGCGGACAAGCATGCCATAGAGCCCCTGAGACACTTGGTACGATCCCTGGGATCGGCGACAACCCTGAGAGGGCCCCCAGGAACTCTGCTGTCTTTGGCATTGCCCCTGGGGGCGCCACCGCCCCTGAGTGGGACCCTGGGAGCGCTGCTGTCCCTGGGAGAGCCCATGGGAGCACCACCACCCCTGCGAGGGACCCTGGGAGCACTGCTGTCCCTGGGAGGGCCTCTGTGATTGCAGATGTCCCTGAGAGAACCTCTGAGGGCGCGAGCACCCCTGGGAGGGCCCTTGGGGGAGCCAGCATCCCTGCTAGGGCCCCTGAGGGCACCACCATCCCTGGGAGGGCCCCTGGAGACCTTTGGTACGGACCTTGGCAGTGCCCCTGGGGGCGCCAATGACCCTGAGAGGGACCCTGGGAGCGCTAATATCCCTAGGAGAGCCCCTGGGGGCGTTGCCGTCCCTGTCAGGACCCCTGAGAGCGCTGCTGTCCCTGGGAGGGCCCCTGTGAGTGCTGATGTTCTTGGGTCATCATCCCTGGCAGGGTATCTGCGGGCGCTGCCATCCCTGGGGGGGCTACTGAAAGCGCCAATGTCCCTGGGAGAGCCACTGGGGATGTCACAGCCCCTATCACGTCCCGTGGGAGCGCTGCCATTCCCTGGGAAGGCCCCTGGTTGCAGTAGTTTTGGCGCTATTTAGAGCTCTGGGAGAAGCAACGTTAAGTAAATACACCGCCACCCACCACATTTCCAGTGTCATCGCATTCTGAATTAGGTAATGGAGAATAATATCCAACAGGAAAACATAAGTTGGGGTGTTGTGCTGACTGACTGTTCTCTGCTCCTATTGGCTGTAATTTGGCGGGAAAATGAATAGTCCACCAATCACAGTTAAGTAAGGAAAAGCTGGAAGTATGTAATATATGGCACGATGGACAAGCATGCCATAGGGCCCCTGGGGACCCTTGGTACAGTCCTTGGCACTGCCCCTGGGGGCGCCAATGCCCCTGAGAGGAACCCTGGGAGCGCCACTGTCCCTGTGAGAGCCCATGGGAGTACCACCGCCCCTGAGAGGGACCGTGGGAGCACCGTTGTCCCTGCAAGGGCCCCTGTGAGTGCTGATATTCTTGGGAGAGCCTCGGTTTGCGTCATCACCCCTGGCAGGGTATGTGCAGGCGCTGCCATCCCTGGGGGGGCCACTGAAAGCGCCATTGTCCCTGGGAGAGCCACTGGGAATGTCACAGCCCCTATCACGTCCCGTGGGAGCGCTGCCATTCCTTGGGAAGGCCCCTGGTTGCAGTAGTTTTGGCGCTATTTAGAGCTCTGGGAGAAGCAACGTTAAGTAAATACACCGCCACCCACCACATTTCCAGTGTCATCGCATTCTGAATTAGGTAATGGAGAATAATATCCAACAGGAAAACATAAGTTGGGGTGTTGTGCTGACTGACTGTTCTCTGCTCCTATTGGCTGTAATTTGGCGGGAAAATGAATAGTCCACCAATCACAGTTAAGTAAGGAAAAGCTGGAAGTATGTAATATATATGACATGGCGGACAAGCATGCCATAGAGCCCCTGAGACACTTGGTACGATCCCTGGGATCGGCGACAACCCTGAGAGGGCCCCCAGGAACTCTGCTGTCTTTGGCATTGCCCCTGGGGGCGCCACCGCCCCTGAGTGGGACCCTGGGAGCGCTGCTGTCCCTGGGAGAGCCCATGGGAGCACCACCACCCCTGCGAGGGACCCTGGGAGCACTGCTGTCCCTGGGAGGGCCTCTGTGATTGCAGATGTCCCTGAGAGAACCTCTGAGGGCGCGAGCACCCCTGGGAGGGCCCTTGGGGGAGCCAGCATCCCTGCTAGGGCCCCTGAGGGCACCACCATCCCTGGGAGGGCCCCTGGAGACCTTTGGTACGGACCTTGGCAGTGCCCCTGGGGGCGCCAATGACCCTGAGAGGGACCCTGGGAGCGCTAATATCCCTAGGAGAGCCCCTGGGGGCGTTGCCGTCCCTGTCAGGACCCCTGAGAGCGCTGCTGTCCCTGGGAGGGCCCCTGTGAGTGCTGATGTTCTTGGGTCATCATCCCTGGCAGGGTATCTGCGGGCGCTGCCATCCCTGGGGGGGCTACTGAAAGCGCCAATGTCCCTGGGAGAGCCACTGGGGATGTCACAGCCCCTATCACGTCCCGTGGGAGCGCTGCCATTCCCTGGGAAGGCCCCTGGTTGCAGTAGTTTTGGCGCTATTTAGAGCTCTGGGAGAAGCAACGTTAAGTAAATACACCGCCACCCACCACATTTCCAGTGTCATCGCATTCTGAATTAGGTAATGGAGAATAATATCCAACAGGAAAACATAAGTTGGGGTGTTGTGCTGACTGACTGTTCTCTGCTCCTATTGGCTGTAATTTGGCGGGAAAATGAATAGTCCACCAATCACAGTTAAGTAAGGAAAAGCTGGAAGTATGTAATATATGGCACGATGGACAAGCATGCCATAGGGCCCTTGAGACCCTTGGTACGGTCCCTGGGATCGGCGACGACCCTGAGAGGTCCCCCAAGAGCTCTGCTGTCTTTGGCATTGCCCCTGGGTTCGCCACCGCCCCTGAGAGGGACCCTGGGAGCGCTGCTGTCCCTGGGAGAGCCCATGGGAGCACCACCACCCCCGAGAGGGACCCTGGGAGCACCGCTGTCCCAGGGAGGGCCTCTGTGAGTGCAGATGTCCCTGAGAGAGCCCCTGAGGGCGCGAGCACCCCTGGGAGGTCCCTTGGGGGAGCCAGCATCCATGGTAGGGCCCCTGAGGGCACCAGTACCCCTGGCTGGGCCCCTGGTAGCGCTGCATATTCTGGGAGGGCTCTTTGGGGCACAACGGTCCCTGTAAGGGCTCCTGGGCGCTCGGCTGTCCCTGGGAGTGCCACTAAACCTGGCAGAGCGCCTGAGGGCACCACCATCCCCGGGAGGGCCCCTGGGAGAGCCACTGGGGTCGCCCCTGTCCTTGGGAGGGCCGCTGTGGGCTCCAGCGCTCCTGGCAGGGCCTCTGGGGGTGCCACCCTACCTGGAAAGGTCCCTGAGGGCGCTGCCGTCCTTTGGATGGTCCCTGGGATTGCCTCTTTCCCCAGGAGAGCCCCCCGGGGCGCCTCCACCCCTGGGGGACCAACCGTCCCCTGGCAAGGCCCGTGGGGGCGCCATGGCCCCTAGAAGGGCCCTTGTGAGCTCCACTGTCCCTGGGAATGCTTCTGGTTGCAGTATTTTGGCGCTATTTACAGCTCTAGGTTAAATAAATACACCACCGCCCACCACATTTCCAGTGTCATTGCATTCTGAAGTAGGTAATGGAGAATAATATCCAACAGGAAAACATTAGTTGGTGTGTTGTGCTGACTGACTGTTCTCTGCTCCTATTGGCTGTAATTTGGCGGGAAAATGAATAGTCCCTGAGAGAGCCTCTGCAAGTGCCGCTGTCCCTGGGAGAACCGCTGCCCCCCCTCTGTCTTGCAGGGCCCCTGGGGGCGCCACTGACTGTGGGAGTGCTTCTGCGGGCGCCAGCGCCCTTACCAGGTTCCCTGGGGGCACCACAATGTCTTGTCTCGTTTTTCAATGCAGCGAACTGTTGATTCGTTCATCCCATACGCCCTAGCGCATTTCGCCTTAAATTTTCTTTATTATTTTGACTTTCTCTACTGAAGTCAACACTTTTCTTTATATCTTAGGCTTTTTTGGTGTGTTACCGCCCTTGTCACCACTTCTCGAAGGATGTTTTGGAGAAATGGGATTTTCGAGCACAAAACACAGACAGAGAAGCAAAATTTCAAGCAAAATTCAACCACATATGAAGTCAGTAATACCCATTGCAATGAAGATATATTTCTGATGAAAATCCGCCAATAGTCAAAACCACAAATAAAAAATCCGCGCAAAACGAGGGTGCACACAACATATACAAAGACTGTTAATCCTCTAGCCCAGCAAATTTCAAGTCGCTTTTAAAACTGCACTGAATTTATATACGTACAATACGTACCGTATGAGTTGAAGCTACTTTATGTACTGCAAAAATCGGTGTATAAATTAGTCTTAAAAATAAAATGTTTGGGGATTAGATGTGTAAAAGGTGGCCACTAGCACCAACACCCTCAATATACATTAGTTATCTTTTCTACTGCATTAGTCAGTATGTATCAGTACAGATCCAACTTTTGTCTTTTTCCATAGTACTGTACAGTAATAATAGAAATTTAATGGAAAATCACGAATTTATGGAAAAAGTTTCCATATTTGTGTTTGAACCTTGTTATATGGTATTTAAGGGACAGTTGCATGAAAGTTAACTCAAATATGCTCAAGTAACTATTTATGCTCTCTCTTTAATGTGCACATACTACAGTATTATGAGCTGCAGTGGGCAATACATTAAGGTTCCAGGATGGTGGTAGTCATATAAACAGTGGGGTCCTGGAGGACAAGAAAATGCCTCACAGCAGTTCTGACTAGTGAGATAACTGTGACAAAGATCAAGGAAGGACTTAATGAAGTGAAATCCCACTGACACTTAATATGATCTTTTGGCAGTTCTTAGTGAACAAAATCAAGACAGTAGTCACTGAAATAAAGAGGAGCCTGAAGGTTAAAAAGGTCACCTCACTGCAATAAAACTTGAAGATAAGGAAATCACCATCATAAAAAAGTAAATGAGAGAACCATTACAGTTTTATGATAATGATGAAAAAAAAAAAAGAAAGAAAATGGAATGTCCAATATAATTTGTTGACCATTTAATTACAAAATGGAAAACTAAGACAATAAAACAAGCTAGAATTAATACATCACAGCTGTCGACTAAACTTAAAAAACTTTTGTGATACAATAAACAGTACTGTATTTTGGAACACAAAGGATGTACAATAACAAACTTCAATATCAAATGCCTTCCAAGTTTATAATGTTCTTCCCTTAATCAAAGTTGATGCCTGAAAACATAATACAAGTTTGCATTTTTAAAGAAAATAATAATTTTGTTTTTGTGGTAGTAAGCAGAAGGTGGTCATTATGTTACTGTTTACAAGTTGGTCTTCATGGTAACAATCAGACAAATAAGCTTCAGTTCTCCTATCCATAACAATAGAGGCTAATGAAGACCCAATGAGAACTTTCCTTATGGAACAACAGTAATAAGATTATTACACATCTGCTTCTGGAAACTTACCAAGAGCAGTAGCTGACCAAAAACTTATACATGTTCCTTCCCAAATTAAATGACATACCAGGCAGATAATTCTTCATCTACTGTCCCAAGACATATATATATATTTCTTTTCATTAAAGGTTTACAAGACATTGCACCACTATAGTACTGTACACCATATGGGCTATCTATTGCACATCTAAGTGTTCCAGATTTCTTATATTAGCCACCTATAAGAAGTTGAACTAATCTGTTATCACAAAGTCTGTATGTACACTTACATAAACTAGTTAACCTGTTTTAATAATTATATATTTCAACTTAAAAAACATATTGCTACATCCAACATAACCATCAATGTAATTCCATATTCTAATATCAAAGACTAAGATATACAGAGATAAATGTATACAAATATATATATACAACTAATTATATTTGTGCATTGCAATGACCTTCATACAACCACATATCAGCCTTAATTATTTAGAAAAAAAAAGCAAAGCATATCCCAGAACTGCAATTAAAAATATCCTTTGAACAACTTATTCCTTCCTATAAAAGAGACAAAAATATTCACATACATCAGTTTGTCATGGGTCTCTGGGGCTTATTTTATCTTTCTCTTATAAAGAGTCCAAGTAAGAGGGTTAAGATGATGAAGTACATACAGTACAAACACACAAGGGAATCCACTGATGTTGCTCGAGTGATTTTTTATCATATTCCAACTGGCTCCTTGATACATACTAGATATTCCATCCTGCATCACATATTTGGGAGAAAAAAAGGACAGAAAAATAATTACTGTACATCCAGCAACCACATTCATCATACATGAATGAATAAGAACAAAGACCATCCATACGGAGCTAAATTAACATGGCAACTAATGGGTACTGAGCAGTGTTTTACAATATTAATACAGTAGGTAGTTAACAGGCAAAAGGCTTAAGCTATATAAATTTTGTCTTGTAGCCAACAACTAAAGAGTTGGGCACAGCCAAAATTATTTCTGACCAGTTGCTGAAGTGTTGAGCTTGGCCAGTGTGTCACATGACTGGCAGGTAAACAAAAATAGGTTAAAAGTTACCATCATAACTGGAAGCTAACAAAATCCAAAGTAAAAACTGACTTATAAATATCCAAAGGCATTGTTTAAATTTGTATTACAGTAATATATAATAATGAGCAAGAACAGCACTTTGAAATGGACTATGACAAAGATGGAAATCATGAATGACTTCTTCCAGTGGAAGCTAATGGTTTAAATTCTTAACCCAAGCAATTATTATCTGTGCCATCTCTAAAAAAAAAAAAAAGTTTTAAATCTTACACAACTACAAATCAAAATGAGATGACAACTATTGTACAACAAAAACATTATGAGAATTCTGCCAAGCAAATATTGCTAATATCTTCAAATATGAAATATTTGTCAAATATACAAGGCAGTAACATAAAACATTTTAATTTGAGATAACTATATTTGCGTTCAGAGAAACACGCATGTCCTGCGTGTGCTGTGCTGTGCAACGTCTATATGACCTGTGATCTTTGTGACTAGTGAGGTGGTATGCAAAGGTTAAAGTCGTCAGAATATACTCCTTGTGCATGAATAGTATGCCTGACAACCATATGCATGTCCTTTATGAAAATCCCTCAGTTGTTGCTGGGCAACTTCCACAAAGTGGTAGCCAGCCATCAGGTTGATGGAGAACCCAGGAACATAATCCTGCTATACTGTACAGTACTGTGCAGAATGGAAAAATACACATGTTAAAACAAATGTATACATAGGATTGTGCCATTATCTATGATCTTTCATCCCAAACATAAAAATAGTACTGTACTTAACAATCCCCATACAGGTATGCATTTTTCAACATAAAAAAAATGTGAATTTACTTTTTTAAATGTACATATTGTTTCCCTGTATTTATGAACATGGGATATTCTTCTGCAGAGGAAAAGGTTACTAGTATTCCCAGGCCAATGGTCATAATATAATACGTACAGTCCTTATAAGTGCCATGATGACAACTTATGTTCACTATAAACAATCTCATAAACCAAATGAACTATTCCACTAGTGACAAAACAGTCGTAAACTAAACCTGCATCATATACAGTACTGTACACACTCTTATGCAAACATACCACAAATTTCAGCTTTAAAGAAAAGAATCAATTACTAATATCATATCTCTCTAAAATGACCTGACCTATCCTCACACTGATATCCTGATAAAGAAAGCTACATCACATCTGAGAAAGGTAATGATAGTGAAGCAAAGTTTTCCTTAAGTAAACCAAATCCAAAGAAAGTCCAAACTTCTGCACCTAGATGGTGCCATAGAAATTCTCAACAAGATTAACAGAGTTCAGTAATATGAATCAAAAATGATTCTATAAAAAAAGGAAAAAAAAAGTACTTATTGCCCTAAATACACCTTTTCACATATCCGTTGAGATATTGTTACATAACTATTTGACAAATTTCATAACCGAATGACAGAACACATATCAAATGATAATCTAAAATAACTGTTCGTTCATGCTAACAGAAGTGATTGACATAAGTTATGAAGTTGACAGATGTGAACAATAAACCGACAGTCTACATATAGTTTGAGAATGTAACAATTGGAGAATGACATACGACCAACTGTTATTTTAGATTGTCATTCGATATGTGTTCTGTCATTCGGTTATGAAATTTGTCAAATAGTTATGTAACAATGTCTCAACGGATATGTGAAAAAGTGTAGTATATCATGTTATTGATGTAGCTACAGAATAATAAGTGATGGTATTGCTGTGTGATTGAAATGACTACAAACTACGGCATAAATGATGCTAATAAGTTCAATTTAATAATTCTAAAATTCAAGGAGTTGCACTCACTCCCTCCCTCTACCCATCACAATAATATTACTCTGGATACTGAGATAGATATGCATATTTGTACAGTACAGTATACAGCTTGACATTTTCTTTAGTACACTATCACGTTACCATTTCTTTTTTTAATGGCATTGGTCTTTCAATAATGATGTACAGTAACCTACTTTGTGGTCTGGAATTTTGGAAAGAAACAATAACCAGGTTCTAGTTATCTCTTCAGTACTTCTTTAACAAATTGTGTGGGGCAGAGAAATGTCAAAGAGAGAGAGGAAGAATAGTGGTACAATAATATAGTAAAAACAACAGGTAAAGGGGGAAGACAAATTAAAATATTCCATATACATTCTTAATCATATCCTAAATTTAAGAGAGTACACATCCAATTATGAAACTCAACTGTGAATGCCCGTACTGACAACACCATAGTAGGGTGACTTTCTCCTTACAGTATTTAGTAATGTTAAAAATAATAAATACCGTAAAGGAAATTATCATTCATGGTTTGTGTAGAATTGTTAAATCTATTAATGATAATGCAAACAGGATACAGTACAGTATTAGCAAAGATAAGAACACTCGGTGCCATCACTGTAGTGGCAAATGTGTACTTATCCACACACTGTACCATCTACAACATAAAATTCCAAGAGATAATTATACAAAATAGTGTAAGTTCTTCATCCTCGGAGTAAAAGTGTGTTCCTAATTTCCAAACTTGAATCACAGCCAACATGTTTACTAAATCGCTACCTACTACAGTATAGAATTTCGACTTTCCTTATAATTTGCAAAATTTCTCAAATTAGCAATTAACTTTTTATAGGAAAGGTTTCTGTAAACTCTTTCTCAACATAAAGATTATTCAATATACAGTACATGGAGTACTGTACTGTATACAATACACCCCAAAATCACAATTTGAAAAGCTGTGACTAACCAATGATTGTAATATCCATTCATACTGCTTTGCTATACTGTACATAATGCTAGGAGTTATGAGTGAAAAATGTAATACTGTCAAGGTTACTAATGGGGGATTCTGTCCTGAATGAAGCCAAACTAAAATTAGGTATTTACATAAATCATGAAAAAAAAATATAGCATCAGGTGTAAATATGGTACAGCAATAAATTTAATAAAACTAGTTTCCCATGAGTGATCAAGTGTCATCACTGACAGCCATGTTAGTTTCATTTAGTAATGAATATGTAAAAACAGAAGCTATTATAATCACACAATATCAAAAACACTAGGAGAGTACTATATGTGATATGTGAAGAAGACCTGGAAGTGTGAGGTAGACAAACACTACCATGAGAGACTACCAAACAAGGCTGGCCTGGACCACATTCTCATTCTGAAACATTGAAAATATACACAATAACCTCAAAAATGTTCATGTTAAGGACAGTTGGGTTTTATTATAAAATTTAGTGAGCTGGAGTGAAGAAATACAGGTCCTGGAATGTATCCCATTTTTCTCAAGATTTTTAAACTAATTACCAGGTATTCTCCAGGAATTTAACCCCCACAAGAATGAGAATTTACAGTACATAAAATAAAGAAAAGTATTTAGAACAGAAGTGGGAAGACAGTGTCTGTCCTCATCTTCTATGCATGAGCCAAATTAATTTAACTTTGACTTTTAAATTCCCCTTCACCTATTCTGATAATTTTCTTTAATTGATGTATTATACACTTTTATGCACCCACCGGTAAAATATATTAAATGTGTATTAATAAAATAAAAGAAATTTTTGCTTTTTCTGATAAATATTGAGGGCAAAAATGAAGACCAAACCACAAAGACAGAGAATAATTCCATCCCAAACTAAACTAGTAGCAGAGGGACTTAAGAGAAATTGTGGAGAGAGAAACTGTACTACCTATAAAAGGCATTAGCTGTCTAGCTTTTCCTTTGTAAGAAAGTGTCTTAAGAATGTTCACACTACAGTCTATTGCCTTCATTTGATTTGCTTTGGCATACAGCAAAATAGGCCATTTAACTTTAATCATCTCATAATAAATCTTTTGAAGAGCTTGTATTATTATTCTTTCTTACTCAGAAAATACCCCAAGATGATTATTAAAAGGCTCCAAAATTCCCCCAAAATAATGACATTTTAAAAAAATAAGAAATGGTGACTTATTTACAGGAAATGTAAGCTTAGCAAAATTAAGATACGACTGCAGTCGAGTTACAACTGGTCAGAACCACTTCAACACTGTTCTGTTATATTTGTTAATCTATAGATACATGATTAAGTCTTCCACTACACCACTACACAAAAGGGTGGCTCATGCAAATATCCTTGTACATTCAAAATTTAGCCCCCACCAATTCTATTCAGAAGCACAGCAGGACAGTGGACATGCACTATCCAAGTTAAGAAAATACACCTTTTAATTTAACCCATTGTTTATGTCACAAGTATGACTATTTAAACTGGTTTATGACTAGGACAACCTGCCAACATTAATAAAATGATGAATAAGCTATGTTTGATAATGGCAATGTGGTTTTCTTAAAACCCTCAAATCAGTCCTGCTTGTAATTTATTAATAACAATTTGAAGAAAAAATAACTAACTACAGCATAGGCAGGAGTCTCACACCTTACTACAGTACTTACAGACCATACACAACTAGAAAAAGAAAATACAAAAAAGTGATCAAGTGCACTTACTAAGTATAAAATTGTTAGTCTATTTTGCAACTAAAAAACAAATTCCTGTCTTAGTGCTGTTGTGCCACAAACCTAAGTAACCTATACACATGGCAGTGACCCAGCCAGTGGGACTCGCTAACATTTTATTAACAACAGTTTGAATTCTAAATTGTGAGATACATGGTATCCAATGTACAGCATATCCTCTACCACACACCTACTAATACACTTAGACTAAGTCAAAATCCTCTTCACTGTGGACAACTACATTAAAAATTTTCATAATGAACTGCAAGACACCTTTGGTAACATTAACAGTCAAACAGTAAGGCAATCATTTGAGGCTTTATTAGTTAGTAACTGTGCTAAAATTAAAGTGCAGAGTCTATCAGTTGGGTATCTGTTGATTCTACTGATTGAGCTAATTAGTTGGAAGTCTCCATAGACAGCCTCTGTACGTTTCACTATGGTTAAGGGTAACCACAACGGTGATCATATTGGTCAATGTTAGTGTTGGTAATAGTTGTAGTGATGGAGATGATGGTGAGAGTGTTGTCTGTCATACTGGTACTGCTGTCTTTCATACTGGTGATGCTGTCTACCGTGCCGGTGGCTGTGAAATTGGCAGTAATGGCGATGGGGATCATCGTTGCTTTGGTGGTTGGGTCAAGAAGAGGGCGTTGCAGTTTCTGTGGTAAAGGTGACATAGTAGAGGAAGCAGACATTACACACGCGTACAGCCTTCCAGATCCCGTAGTGAGGCAGAGGCACAGCGTGCTGGCTGCAGTGTGCACAGAATACCTGCAACAAATTATTTTCTAATTTATATCACATTTTTGTGTCTAACTTCAAAACACCCTGGAAGGAAGGTATAATCAATTGCATTGTTTTTATGAACAAAGTTTGTATATACAAACCTTTCCGCAATTTCTACAGTGGTGACGTCTGCGAACCATGGTGAATGCTGCTCCACAGGCCATACATCTTGGGGCTTGCTGGTCAGGTACCCAAGCTGGAGGTTCCTGAACCCTGCGGCGGCGGCGACCTGACTCATTGCTTCGTTCTCTAGGACTGCTCGGTGAAACTAGTTCAACGCCATCCCGAGACCCCATTGACTGCAAGGAAATGTTTGCAAGAAAGCATGTACAGGTATTGCTCTGTTGGAGTATGACCACAGCAAGAAAATTAAATTTCCAAGATGAAACTGTCAGCTAATCAGAATGCACACATCTATTAACGTGTGGACCTATGAGTACTGTATCACTCAATCTAACTTGCATCTCATGATAGAAAATCATTTTAAGGTGTTTGATATGAATTACAATGATTGCAGATCTGAATTGGATTGACTATGGATCTGAATTACACTGACAAAGGATTTTAATTACTCCAACCCTAAGGCTTTGAATTACACCTATTCTAAGGCTTCATATTACAGTGGTTCTGACACACATTTATACATCAGCTATCTGGCCTCAACTAAACCTGACTCACAATTACACCAACTCTAAATCAAAGTTATACAGAATTCTCACCTGGACTAAGTACCTAAGGAAGGGATCAAAACCATGCTTGCAAGCCAAAATAATCTGTGATCTGTAAGTATATCTTTAAAGCTTATTCCCTGAGACATGAATCTACCAGGTGTAAATACAGTCCATCTTAAAATAACCAGCAATTAATAAAAAATTCTGGGACTCTTACAAAGATGTACTATAATGATATAATACCATGGGTAGTACTGATAAGCTTGCAACTATGGCACCTCCACGCAAAACAAAGAAGTATATACGAGTTGGTGATTGTTACCTGCTCCTGTGGGGACAGAGTGAAGGAGTCAGGAGTGATACCAAAAGACTCGGCATGCTGCACTTGTGTGGGAGGAAGCAGCTCAACATTTGGAGGGATGGATGCCTGCAAAATAAGTGTTAATGAGTATATAGAACTCACTTCAGTATGAGCATTCCTTTTCCTTCTTCAATAATATACATCTTATCATCTATTCAATTATCTTTCCTCCATTCTTATTAATGTGTGGGACATCAAGGGAACTATATATTTCTCCCCATCACCTTTCTCTTCCAAATTCATTCACTCACATTTGAAACTTCCCTTCTAAATTACCTACAAGGGCAGTACCATCTGCAAACAGCAACTGCCTTATCTACCATTTGAATCCTGTATTCTTCTTTACCAAACTTGCTCTATGCTGTACAGAATTTATAAAAAATAACACACACACACACATATTCTCAGTACTATATTGACCTTACTCCTACCTGAGTAACTTCTGAAAATTGCATGAGAGCATGATCATTAAAGATGGCAGCTGGGACTTGTATGGACGGAGGACACATAGGTGGAGATGTTGATGCTGGAAATGTATCTGTCGGAGATAAGGGGATGTCTGCTGGAGAAATGTGAGATGACTGCATCACCCGTGGGGGTAATACTATGGATGAAGCCGAGGTAGATATTGGGGGTGCAGCAAGAGGAGATATTGAGGAGGTAATAGCTGATGGGGATGATGGTGGGGACGAGTGTGGTGATGAATGAGAAGATGAATGAGGGGAATCCCCCATGGGCCGATCCTCTGTAGTTTCTACAGGTGAGTTGCAGCGATGTTCAGGAGTCCCTATAACAACAAGGGCATCCTCAGCACTCTCAACACTTAGCCGTTCCGAGTCTGTGGAAACAAAAGAACAACTCGTTAAATATGATATATGGGATTTTCAGTTTCCCATTATGATAATAAAAATGACATGCTCAGTACCATAAGAACATAGGCAAGTAAAAGGTCCATGAAAAAATCCAGATAGTGGACATCTTGGGGTAACTGGGTGATAAGTAGCAAGAATAAACAATCACTAAATGTGATTTTAGCACCCAATAAAATATTCAAGTCAAACTGGGGCCATAATTGTTGTAAACATTTACCAAAAATCCACAATGCATTTCTCAAACTGTTTGCACCTCAACAGAGAATGGCCAAGATATAAATGAAGGATTACCATAATTCCTAAATTCCCTTTTTTTATAATAAAGCGAGGTCTGAGCAACTCTGATTAACCTGAAGTCTATGGGGAGAAAACTATCTAAAAATAATTATTTATTTACAGAAATTCTTTTGAATCAAAATTAAATGGATTAAGTTAAGGGAGCTGCTATAAGGCAGTGAAGCATGAGCAGCTAAAGAGGATAACATACACAGTCTTGACCAAGCTGAAATGACAATGGTAAGATGGATGTGTGATGTTGTGATGTTGAGGGATAGGAGAACCTACTCCGAGCTAAGGGACCAGTTGGGTATTAACTCTTTCACTATGGGATGCCACTTAATATTATATTTGACTAAGAGAAAAAATTGTGTTAAAAGAAAACAAAGATTGGGTTCAGCAAGGAAATGGTTGAGCCAACATCATTATATAAATATGAAGCATGGAGATGCAAGAAGAAGGAGCAAATAAGAATTAATAGATAAGATGTGCAAGAGCAATAAATGGAGTAAATTGGATGCAGGGAAAAGGAAATGAAGAAATATGATGAGGAAAACTACGAGGTATCAGGCGTCTACTCAAGTGGTGGATGAGAGAAAGACCAAGGAGATGGAAGTGAATGGGATGGACATCAAAGAAGCAGCAGTGACCACAAATGAGAAGACAACATGGTTTCAAGAGATTTTTTGGAAAGGACATGTTGCTGGTGGGTGAAGCAACAGGGGTACACCAGATTTGGGGTATTGCTGTAGAAGCAGAGTAACTTGTAAGATGACAACCTTCACAACACTAAGACTGAGCAAACGATGATGTATGAAGGAGAATACGTATGTGTTTTCTCCTTTCTGGCTGCCATGCGTATGTGAAATTGGAAACTTGATAAAAATAAAGCGAAGTGATGAATCATTCAACAAACCATTGCCACCAATGGAGTTCTCGGCAATTTCATCATCTTCATAGGAATGTATTGGGGAAGACGCAGACCATTCGGGTTCCTCACTCTTCGGTGGCTCCTCTGGGGGACTTTGGTTCATCAGGAACACACATTTAAGAATTTTCCTCAAGTCACTGGCATAGTTTGTTTGCAGCTGATCAGCAACACCAGAGATGCACACAAATAGACGATGAATCAAATCCTGAGCATCAGAAAATCTGAAAAACAATATCACCAATTTTTCTTTTATCTATACCATTTTAAGTATTCATATCCAATGATCTCCTTCCTTTAAAAAGTATATTTGATTATCTATTTATAAACTAATAGTCCCAACAAGTATTAGCGTCCTTTATGCTTGCAAGACATAAAATGCTTTCTACTTTTACAATTTCTTTTATATTTACATTTGTCTGCATTAACTCTGAATTAAGTAAATTTCTGGTAAAAAACTTTATCAGTAACTCCCATCACTATCCAACTATTTAATATGTAAATCAACATTGAAAGTATTCAGCAATAAACTAATTTACCTTGCACGAGGCCTCCAAGTAGCAGCAACTTCTGCTGCTTGAAGAGCCAAGGCTACTTCTTCATCATCTTCAGCACCAGAGTTATAAGGTGATGTTGATCCACTTGAATAACGTCCACTCTGACTCTCTGGGCTAACAGGATCTACAGGAGCTGAAGTGGTTGTCTGACCAGGAGTTTGATAATTTCCTTGGCCAGTTTCTCGTGTGCAAGATATAGAAGATATTTCTTTGCAAATTATTATTGTTTGTTCATGCACCTCTTCAGATGGAACAGACTCTCTTTTCTCCATCTCTGATATTTTTTCAGCATATTCACAGGGATTTATTTTGTCTGCAACAGTTGGGTTACCTGAACTGTCTATAGAAATGTTCTGGTCATGACCTGAAAATGTTTGAGTAGTTCCACACATTTCACAACAAGAAAATATGCAGCAACCAGTGTCATCAAAAACACACAGTTGTGCTGTGGCACTTGCTAGAGCCTCAGTATCCTTGTTCTCATTATCTTGAATTTCAGACAGAGAACCAGGAGAGAGGGTGCTCCGGTCCACCCCTTCTATAGTACTAACACAATCACTAACATAAGAAGGTCCTGCCTCCCCCCATCTACTGTCGGCCTGTACAGTTACATGAACGCTATCACACAGACTATCACAATTTGTTGAGGCAGTGCTACAGTGGGGATGAGCAATAGGAGACTGAACTGATGTCACTTCATAATGAACCTGAGAAGCATTATAGTGAGTGTCAGGTTGATGGGGTCCTTGCTGGGATTCATCAAAATACCCATGTTCATATTCATTAACAGTTCCACAAGAGCAAGCGATGGTTTTGATTCTATCAACGGGCTGGTGTCTCGATCGTCTGGGGCGGTGAGCGTGTTGTCGCTGGTGTTGGTGGCGATGGTCTGATTGGTGTTGCTGATAATGGTGTTGATGATCATAGGGGGGTGGAGGTGGGGGAGGAATGTTTTGATGGTGAGGCTGCTGCTGACGTTCAGTACGAGATGACGTTCTTGACTGATTGCGCTGGGAATGATGACTCTCTTCCCCACTGTCACTATCTGGTGGGGGAGGAGGAGGGGGATTTTGATGGTGGCGGTGGGAGTGACTACGGCGTGATCTGCGACGTGCTCTTGGCCTTTCATCTACAGTGGCATTAAGGCGAGCAAGAAACTTCTCACTCTGACGTTCTTGTCTGGCTCTGGAGCGTGATCCTCTACTTTTTCCAGAAGTCCGTTCTCGTTTTCGTTCATAGCGTTCGGGTTTCTTTCCAGGTTGGTAAAGGGTACTCAATTCTGGAGTGAGATACTTACATGATGGGTAGCTAGCATAGAATTTTTGAACAAAATCAGAGGTAAAGGATGCCTGTCCATATGCATTTGGTGGTAAGCTGTCATCATTTGGAATCTGTGAGGTGTTTGGATCAGGTTCATCCATGGAGCATAAAGCTTTCTCCAGTGCTGCCAACTCACTTGTGCTCATCGTCCACAGAAGTTCCCGTATTTTGCTTAGGAGAGTCTGGAAAAAGATGTATACAGTATACATTAAACTTATCAGCTGTGAGAATCAAATTTCTTGCTAGATCTAAAACAATGTCTTAAGAGATATTAGAAAAAATTAAAAATAAAAGGAAAGGGATTATAAATATGTAAAACAGCGGTTCCCAGACACAGGGTCTTTACCCCTAATAAAGTCGCATGGAGGTTATGGGTCGCTGGAGTCACCTGGGGTTGCAGCAGTCACATGTGACTTTTTTTAAGTTCAGGTGTCAAGTACTGAAGGACATGACCAACAGGTGCTGTCTCACTAAGTCAGGACCATATATTATAGTCAAGGGAATAATGCAGTTACTGGAGGTTTAATTCTGTTATTAAACAGCGTAACATCCAACGTTCTAAGCTACAACTCTGTCATATGTCGTATGTTACAACTATGAGTTTCTAATTTCCTGCTACTACAAGGACAGAGTTTTGAAAAAATAAGGTCTTATAAATCAAAGAAGAACATTCAAGACACAGTATCTAAAACAATTATTACAAGTACAATATGCTAAATGCAATACTAAATATCAGCTCCAGCTAAGGTCTCTTCACAAGTTTTTTTTTTTTGGTTACACGACACATATACAGGTAAGTGAGAGCAGCTTTCATTAAATAATAAAAAGGTGTTAAATTAGGACATTTGTATGAAAAAATTTCATATATTGAAGGTTCATAAAGTGAAGGATACCAATAATTTGTCTGCTCCACTGACAGTTAATATTAATATTTATCTTCACTGCTTACTTGTTTCAACTGTTCATTTTATTGTTTCTACTGTAGTGTACACACAGGTACACTCGGTAAAAAAAACAATTTTAAGGAAATGAGCAATTGTGTTGTCTTGCTAAGGTTGGTTGGCATGATTGAGAGATATTTCCTACCTATTAATGTAGGCCTAATTCAGTTATTTCAATTGAAATACAGGTAGTATAAAATTAGTTCATTGCAATAACAGTATGCCTCATGGGCCTGTATCAAAAACTTCATTCACTGTGTCATTTTGTTTCTCACAACAATTGTAAAGACGGTTTTTTACCGAGTGTACGTTAAAATGTAAAGTATTAAAAATAGTTAATAAGTGCATTTTACTTATATTTGTTACATTATAGAGCAAAAAATCTATTTCTGTGGTAAATTTTATTTCATATTAAGTAATTTCACATAAATAAATGTTTTACAGGATTGCAGGTACTGTACTGACAGTACTGTATTATGTTAAGCAGGGTATGCTTGTAGAAGCATTCCTGAAACTTTTACTTCTCTTAAATTCACTGGCATGAATAAAGAAATCTATTTTACCGTAGGCATCAATTATGCCCCAATTTATAATAAAATTATACAAAAAAATAAATAAATAAAAAAGACAGCCGAGATGATGGGAGTCTCAGATGATCAGAGAGAGAAATCCATCAGCAGGTAAAAAGGAATGAAGACAAAAGCAACAGACTTACTCTAAACGGCCGGAAGAGTTCTGACAGACTCCTGGGCTCCCGGTCCAGGTTCAAGGGGCCATCAGGAAACATAACCAGACCAGCAACAATGGCCAGGCGAGGAATTGTAAACATCAACGCTGGGTCATAATCATCAATCTGGTCCTGGGAAGTAAAGCCCAGTTTGAGAGCCCTGTGGAGGAATTAAAGCATAAGTTAAAGTAAAAAATTAATGAGGAAAGTCGAGTCTAGAAATTTTAAGGCGAGTTTTTGAGTTTGTCCATTTGATCCTTGACAGAGAATATGGTTCACTTCCATCGAGTCTCCTTCATGAAAAAATAATCATCTACTGAAGTTAACTCTTTTATTATGAAGCAGAAGTTAATGGACCAACAGACAGACAATGCCTCCCATTAAGACAGGTATATATAAACTTTAGGCCTAGTGCTGTAAATAAATGTCTTTCAGTATAAAATAAAACATTATTTAGTTTGGTCTCATTACTTAACTCACCTCTGAACAGTCTCCGAGAACAGGACAACCACATTCTGTTGGACGTCGTGTTCCTCAACACTCTTGACTGGCACCATGGCGCTCACATAACTCAACTCAAAATCAGCAAAAAATCTGTCAAAAATCTTAAGAGATTCTCGAATCTTCTCTGTGTACTCAGGCATAGGTTTGAGGCACTGCAAAAAACGAGAGAAAAATTAATTCCTGATTCACATAACAATACAATACTTACATAGTACAAAAATTGTATATACTACAGCATGAAGTTCCAACTAAATCTGCAGAAAAGTACAACACTTCCCAAAAAACAATAATAGTACTGAAATGTCAGAAACCCAATGAGTATCTGAGCTTGGCCCAGTGAACTACCGGTACAGAAGTTCTTTTATAAGAGAAAAGAATCATCCTTCATTATTTGAGGAACAAACTCATTTTTTCTCATAGCTGGTGCAACTATGGTAACTGGTGTACCACAAACATTCTCCCTTTGACTGACTTTAGTTTCCTCTTAGATGTTCCAGTTACTTCTGGGAGAGCTACACCACTACTTCTTTCTCTTATAAAACTACTGAAATTTTTTATTTTCTACTTTTGGTCATCATTTCCTATTTCCTTAAAACTTGTCCTCCATGATGTACCTTAGACAGTATTGTACTCTTAAGGGTTCTTATTTTTATCACTTAGAAAAAGGAAATGATGACTCTTACATTTATGTGATCATCACCCATGAAATTCTTTGGCAAACATTTCAGACAGTGTTGGGTATTTTCACTTAAAAGGGTGAGAGCAGCAAACTGAATTCTTGTTTTGAAAGTGTAAAGCAGGTTAAAATACACTGTACAGAAGGTAACTAACAATAAGCGCAGGATTAGAAAGACACCTAGACCCCCAGACAATGAAAGGCCTTTTAAAACAATCCCTGCATTCTGAATATAAATAAGCACTACTTTCTTACCTTTGGAAATCAATAAAAAAAAAAATCACAGTACCATACTTGCTGGCTTATAAGATGTACTTTCCCCCAGAAAAACAGCCTGCATCTTATGTTTACATATTACAAAACATTGTTGGGAAACCCTTTCATTGCATCATCAGCTTTCAATGTCGGTTCCCAATAAGTGTCAATCCTTCATCAATAAATGAAAGTGTTCATATGAACTTTTTAATGCCTTTTCTAATAAGAAGAAACCCTTCTATATCTGACACATACTTTCTTTGAAAACATTATTACTGCAAATAGTGAAAACTGATTTTGATCATAAAAGTGAGGGAAAAAACATATTTTTATCCACCCATGACTCTCTGTCAGGGCCAGAGCTTAAATAATACATAATTAAATAAATATTAATAATCATAACTCTAGCAATGTTATGTACCTGTTCTCTGAGGAGGTTCCTGACAGTCTCAATGGTCTTGGTGACAGCCTTGGCCAGCGGTCTCATGCGTGAACTTTCAGCCTCACGGTTCATGATGCTGCTCCCAGCGGCCAAACACTGCAACAATAATCCTCCGTAAGTATTTGAAGTATCGCTTAAACCAGCCTTCAATTTATTTCAATTATCCTTTTAAAAGCCATGACATGAGAAATACATTGATGTGTTCTCAAATAAAGCTAAATCTGAACATTATTCCATTAATTACACGAAACATTCGAATTACTCAGACACAATATTATCAACACATTAAAAGTGTATATGACTTTACATACTTCAATTAGGAACATATATGCCTATAACATAAGTTAATACACTCTTGTAGACATCAGTGATCTATCAACAAGGAGTTCCTAACTCTACAGCTCAGCTGATAATCCTTGCTTCCCAGGTTTTTAATTTTCTGCAATGAACTTGTTGTGCTTGTCACAATAATGACATAGTATAGTGTCAAAGTACTGTATATGTAGTTATTATAGTTAACACAGTACAGTGCTACAGAGAAGAACAAGTGTCCCAGTACCTTACCTCTGCACCAAACCACAGCTGGCCTGCTAGGTTCTCCTGCATGACATCATCAGGGAACTTCACACGAAAATCCCGACTGGCCCGTTCTCGAGGGATTATCTCATCCATCATCTCTATACATATATTTAGGACCTGAAATATCATAAAAACAGCACTCATAACTCCAACTCTAAGTTACATGGCTGTCTACAAGGTAAGTCAGTTCACCTTCTCTTGCTAGGGATTCTTTTCGAGATCATCCTCTGTCCTCACCCTTCCATCTCACCTGTACCAGATGATATTCCACCACCATTTTCACACTCACAGGTGTACCGTACAGTACTTCCAATACTGTAAATACATGCAGGTATTTCATCCTCCACCTTCTCTAAGTGTTTCCTATTACAGTATTTATGACTTTCTTTTCTTTTACATTGCCTGTTAGCAAAAGAAAAGCAACCACTTATCATCCATACTCCAGCCACATTAGTTTTGGTTACACACTTATGGACACCCCAACACTGACCAACAGACTAGACGACACCTGTCATTTGGCGGGAAGCCCACCTGGCAGCTACATCCCATACTCATACAACCGAAACTTCTTCCACCTTGGACTACCCAACCTTATCAGTTGAGAAGACATCAACATTTGCAGGTTGAGCCAAATCCTCACCGTGGTGTCTCCACAATACCTTGGCCCTTCCTACTACAGTACAGTATTTCCACGCTAACCTGGCCCATAAGCCACACCCCTCGTCTATAGCTACAAATATCTGGTTGGTTCCCCTGAGCATTTTACCTCCCCCCAAACTGTGTGTGTATAAACAGGTATTTATATTGACCTTTTATAATAAATATCTAAATTTTTATAACATCCTCTCTGAAGTGCTAATGCCATGATATGATTTGAATTTTTATAGTTCAGATATTTAACATTATTTTAGATCATAACAAGTCAGGTTATCAATTGTGAACCCATTTAGTTTGAATTTTCTATGAACCAATCTGTTATTACTATGGAAGAGAGGCGTGGCTTATGGTCCAGGTTAGTGTGGAAAGGGTACAGTGTGGTGGTCATACTGAGGGTTAAGTGTTCATTGGGACAACCTCTCAGGTTTTTATTATAATGTATCTTATTATTAATATTATATATCTCCAAACTTCTATAGTGATGTTGATTTTGATCAACAAAAATTCATTCACCCTTAACGTTCATGAATATTAACATGTGTTATAATCAGTGTTTAATTTGTAAAATCAGATGGTTTGAATCAAGTGTGCATGCACACACACACACAAGTTATCCTTCATATGCCGTCATTAAATCATTCTTACTGATATAGCCGATACAACTAAAGAATAATTCTCTAAGAGTTAAACCTCAGGATTAAATAACTAAAGTATTAATGAAAGAAAACAATACAGTATATATAGACCTCACTCTATCCTTGGATTGGAAGAACTGGTTTATAAAGGTGGAGCATTGAAAAGTAATACTGTAATTATTCTAAAAAAAACATAAAAAGATAAATACTGAAATGAAAATTAAATCTCACCCTATCCTGGCACTGGCGGAGCTGGTTGACAAGAGCGGTACATCTCTCGGGGTCCTTCCTGCCGTCAAAACTGTCCAGCTCCGCAGCTACCATGTTCAACTCATCGTCAGCATAATAAAACTGTGCCATCAATGAAGGATCATCTTTCTGTAAGACAAATAAGAGCCAACACTTAAGTCAAGCATAAGGCACCAACACAATGCAGTTATGGGGTAAGTGGGAGAAAGGAGTGGGGGGGGGGGGGATAACTTCATCTAATTATGAAGTAGATTTATCCAATTACACATCATTCAACTGTACTGCACCAGGAATAATTAGTCTGCTACACCACTGCACTACTGTTTATTTAATGTGATTAAAAATTGGCTTAAAATGTCATTTATAACAGAAATGTTCTGGTAACTATTATTATCATAACTTGTCTGCTGACATTATTTTTACCTTCAATTGAAGAACAAAAAAATACATTGCAATTTGGTAAAATTTGTTATACTGACCTACTGTACTATGTATGTTTTCAGGTTTCCCTCTTCCCTGACTATTTAAATGAATATCATGAATTATAAATCAATAAATTCTACTTTAACAAGGTTTTGCTTCATGAAGTTTTAAAACAAACTAAGATTAGCTACTTATATTGTGAAGACTATGATAAAAAACATGTATATGTAAGTCCCATTCTGTTCTGTATTTAGTATATACGGTATAGGTTTACAGATCCACTGGTGAATATCCTGACGACATGTTAACTAAGCTGAAAATAAAATGCATGTTGTGATTTAGTTATCATGGCAGACAGGATCGCTATGTGAAGCAGTGGCAAGATACTGACTCAAATTATTTCGACTGGGAATGTTGATATGTTTAGTACCCCAGAATTTGACATCATGTGAAAGGAAAGGATACAATGTTAAATGGATAAGTGTAGCATATCTTCTTCAAATAAAGCCATATAAAATAAGCAAATTTACCTCAGAATGTGTGTGCACAGTACAGCACAGTACAGCAGACTCTGTTGGTATGTCACTCCAAAATTAAAACCATACTGGTATGTCTTGGCTGAGCCTCACCTGAATTACAACCATTGGTGCAGTTACCAGGTAAATTTTGTTCTCCAATGAATGTATTTTACTTTATATGTTTAGTTTTGGTTTATAATCATTGTGTACACCATTTTTTTTTCATTAAAACATGTTTTGTAACATTTTAAGATGTTTTAGGAAGGATTTTCTTTTGTAGCAATTCATCTCAACTTTTATAATAGGCATCTATCAGAAAATGTGACTCAACCTATGAAGAAGCGAGTTAATAATTTTTTTTTCAGAAACAGAGTCCTTTTATAAGTCAGGGAATACTACCTGTATCTTTTTAATTTTGTATTAAATGACTGCCAGTGTGGCAGCAGTTTGACAATACAGTACACATATTTCTCAGGAAGAAAACCAGGAGAAAAACGAGCATACAGTATATAAAGTGTAATACCTAGAATAGATGTGGGCTACTCTAGAGGTAAAATAGCATTTTATATAAAAATATATTATATTAAATACAGTACCATGTCTAGTTAAGGCAGAGCTGTTAATACAGTAGCAGCATGTATAATAGTGATAAAAACAAAGTTTGGTCCAGTGATATGGTACTTTATGCAGTCACATACCCACTCTTATGCTCAAATAATTCGTCATATGGTGAAATATACAAGTGATAGTATCTTTACAATAAAATATATCAATGGTAAATAATTAGATGATTCAACTGATGAAATCCACTAAAAATTTTGTACACCTGAGCTGAAAATGTTTGTGTCTGGACTTGTGGTCATTGCATAAGAAAGAACAGGAACTTGCTGAGTCATAGTAGTAAATATTGAAACTGAAACAGGAAATTGTTGATTCATAGTAGAATGAATACACCTATACTCCAATATTACAAAGATCAACCAAAACAGACACACATACTGAGTGTTTCACATAAACAGCTTTCTAACACTTTTATAAATCAAGTTCCGTCACAAGAATAAGATTGACATACAAGTTCATCATTACCAAACACTGTAGCCTCAACCTTCTTCTGTATGTCACCTGAGATTTAAAGATAAAATTGAATTATGTATTAAAGTAAATCCTTTCATAACAAGAGTATAAGTCATCTTGAAGACTTATTATGATAGTGATAATCTATGCAATGAATCTGCACAACTGATAAGGTTTACTCCTGGGTTTTTTTCCTACTGACAGCAGCGTCAACAATTAATAAGTAAAGCTTGGTGGATGATATTAAGTGATAGGCAGGTCTTTAATGGTGTTCAATTGAGAGGGAACAAGTGGACATCTGGACATCAATAGAAATAATAATGCAACAAAGACTTTTTAGTGGACACGGAAATGAGTTCGTCTCATGACTCAAGGACACACTTGGCTGCCTGCTTTCTCTGACAATGTAAACAACGTTATTTTCCATTATTTCACGACTTACCCGGGGTCTGTAGAACCATTTCCGGAGAGAATTCATAGCTATAGTCCATGCATAGGCTTAGTAAGTCCTAAGAGTACGATAATATGGTAAAATAAGGCAATATTACGAGAATACACAACTCCCTTGGGGTTGACCCTCACTGTCTTGTTGATAGCTCACGCCCCTACAGCTTTTCAAGGAGTAAATCTAACCTATATTACCTCCGTAGACAAATATTATATTACATTATAATATGTAATATTTAATAAACTAAAATAATATTCTATTCATGAGTTTATAAAAGAAAACATATTGAGTAAATACTTTTTACTCAAGATGTGATGGAAATCGTGGCGTCAAATTTAAATTCACGAGAAGTGTAACCAGGGAGAGATTTAACCAAGTCGGCTGGTGTATATACTGTATATACTCCATTTAAAATTCACGATGTAAAAGAATTCAAAACTGTCCATCTTTAATTTGTAGAGTGTGTCATAAGCGACTTGAGGTAATGAAGGAAGGAGAGGAAGCTTAGTGAGAAATCATGAATCAAAAGTCTCATGGGTGGGTGATAGTCTTCAAACTAAGACAAATTCATAGAATAATCCACCAGGAAAGAAGTAGGGTATCTTATTAAATTAAAGTTTTCGTCCTGTAAATTGATATGCAACCATATATGTTGGTTAAAGAAGACATTTGATTAAGGGGTCACATTGAAGTTTCAAAGTTAGCAGCACGATACTGTTTTGTCCAGGTCTTTTTTCCAGAGCCACTCACTGTTCCTATGTTAAACTTGGCGCATCTCAAAGCGACGTACTCAGTTTCACTTTTTTTAACGTCCTTATGAACTCTGTCTGCTACTTCAACTGTAGTGAGTCTCGACACCTCACACGCTAACACTGACACCGATATCGAATCAGTGTATAGGGGCTTACATGCCCTGGGTCACCACCTACGTCCTTAAATTTGCCTGTGTGTGCAAAGTTAATTACTAATAAATTACTGAATTCACAGTGAAAACTATCTTGTTTGTGATGTGGGATCTGTTTAGGCTAAGTACAGTCCATAAATATAATGATTACGTCATGTAGGTCGGATTTCCTGCTACGAAAGAAAACGTTTATTATTTAGGGGAAGCTTAAACATATTTTACGATGTTGCGACTAACCCTTTTACTTTACTTTTATTCTGGCGCTATTATTACACACCTATTATCTGTCAGACTCTATAGTTAAATATGGTAAAACTTACAACATAAATATATTATCTGGATATCGTATACACAATCTTCTGAGATAACGAGTATTCTTGAACGGAATCTTTGATATGGTAAACTCTCCTGCAAGTTATTTCCTACTCGCTCGCCCCCTCCAGACACCGTTCTCAAGACAAAGACAAAATTTAAATGTACAGCGCCCTGTCTTTGGAAGCATAAGCTGCGTCATCACTCATCAGTGGAATACACACAATCATGGTGGTTCAAAAAAATTCTATTGAAAACATAAATTATAAAAAAAAAGAAACAGTGAATAATGGCACAAACCAATATCTTCTGAGTGAACTGTATTATGATAACATTATAAGTTCACTATATCCAAGCAAAAAAAATATCTTAAAATAAGCTAATTTAATGTAAGTATTTCTATCTTGTTTATGCAGTATTGAAGCTTCATAATACAATAAGCTACAGCAACGTGCAGTTACAACTTTGATAGGTAGTTCTTACAGCCAGTCATTGTAGGAAGAATTTGTTTTTATCTTTTTTATTTAGATAAAAAAATCTTAAGGAAATTCGATCACTAAGATTAGACACTCCAGCTTATTTCACCTTAAGATTAACCACCCTAACGCTAATGTAACACTCAAATCCAGAAAAGTGTTTTACATCTTGCTTTAAAGCAGCGATGGCAAAAACCACTGGTTTAACATTTTTTTTTATTTTTTAATGCTATTATAATGGTTACCCCTCGCAGTATGCTTGTTGAATTGAATATGTTTTAGGTATCTCTAGACATTTATATAACTTTTTAATATGCTATTAATAATAAACATTACAATCAGAATGATTTAGAAATCGCTTAGACGCTTTTCAACCTAAAAAAAATAAATGTGAAAAAGGCCAAACTTGAAAAACAAAAGCTTTGATCAGTGATCCAGACACATCCTTCATGCTTAAAGGCAAAAACTAAGTTTAAATTCATCTTAATGCATGGAAATCTTTTCTACTTTTACAATTGAAAGTTTTGAAGAATTCATTAACATTAAGCAAAGTGAGAGAGACAGGCAGTGGCACCTTGGCTCCCCTGGACCCGTATATGTGGTCTGAACACATTAGAATCAGAGGCTCAGAGCCCAACCATAAACAGAAGCAGTCACCAGTGGTAACTTGGCTCCCTTATAATCAGGATGTGAGATGTGCGCAGCCCTGTAAGACAGCTTATTATCACCATGGGGACATAACACATCCCTGTCTAACACCCACAGTTATTTCAAATGTTTCACTACTCATTTACTCCTACTGTTGTCAGTGAATGCTTTTACTGCATTTAATAGCCTTCCTCCCACTTGTTATACCTCCCACAATGCTTTCCTGATCACCCTATCATATGCCTTTTCCAAATCTACTATAAATTATCAAAACCATCTGTAAGTAATAAATACCACCAAAACTTATTAAAACCAAGAACAAGGCATAGATTAAAAAACAAACAGGCTCTTTGTTTGGCTAATCGACCTACCCTATGGTTTGTGTGTCGAGCTAGTGGTGGTCGGGAGATGTTTTGACCACCAGACTTTAAGCTTTGTTGACCCTTTGACGTCATGATGTCAAGTGATTGTCATTAATGAATAAGTTTTATTCTTGCCAACATTCTCTTTATTTCTCTTCACCTCCTTTATAGTATGAAAGAAATACACACAAAAGCTATGCACCATCAAGATTTATTACAACAATTGTTTCACAGGATGTCACCAATGTCTTTATCTTCCAGCAAAAAGTACAAATAAGATGTGTGTTCATTATCCCAGCTCACTGATGTATACACTCACTCGCTAAACAAACAGTAAATACAATCATGTTTAAACAAACCAATTGTTATTCTTTTGTTCGTGTTTTAGATGTTACCACCTCTTAACATTATTCACACGTTTAATAATACAGTATTCAGTAATCTGACTCAACATGTTACAGTGCGTTATGTCAGTGAGTAAACAATCATCTGAGAATAACAAATATAGATCACAGGTAGGTGGAAATAACTGAATAACCCAGATACACCATGACTCAGATATTCACTCTGTAGGTTATCAAAACGTAACCGTCTAATGTTATAACAATAAATAAGGTGGGTGACCAAGGAGCTGCGTTAATGAACAGAGCGTAGCAGGTTTATAGAGAGAAGCTGGTGGTATGAGTGTAGGCTAGGGAAGCTTGAGGAAATTTTCAGCGGTTGGCAATGGTTTACTGAGCTGACGACCACAGCTAAAGTGCGCGAAGATTCATTCTATTTTTTTTTACTCCTCAACTGTGCCAATCAACACCATAGATTTATTGTATTATATCACTGATAGTTTGTGATGAAGAAAACACAATACTATAGTTAGATATGCAAGGAACGCTTCATAATTTACAGACATACGAGGAAATACACAATTACCTCTCGTCCACCAAATTCTGGAGACTATTGACAATGAACGGGTTTAAAAACTAATTCCTATATATACTTGATTTTTTTATTAATATATATGCACAGTATTACGATTTTCTCTGTTTTCCATCTATTTTTTTTATCCTGCTGTGTTTGAATGATTAATTATGACTACGAAGCAATGTTCTGTATTGATGATGCGATATTTCAAGAACTTAAGAAGCCGAATTGATACTGTTTATATATAATTTCCAATACTTATTGATTTTAGTGTTGAACTGATCTCACGGTTTTTTAACAGGGCGCAAATTATTACAAACTGGAAGGAATGGTGGAGATTGTAGGGTATAAGCTTGGAGGGAGGAAGTGGAAAGAAAGAGAGGTAGAAGTACAAGCCGAGAGAAAAAAAATGTTGTAAGCAAGGAGACAGAGGCTAAGAGGTGACGATTCTACAACAAAAATGGGGTTCTGAGTAAATGAGAATGTTACAAGTACAGAGGAGAAAACTATAAGTCAGTTAGGAGGATATAAAAGGAGGTGGGTGGGGGGGGGGCTACAAGCAGGTAACGCCTATAAACATAGGTGTTATGAGTGAGGCAGGCAAAATGGGGCTAGCAAGAGGTAGTGAGTGACTAAGGGCTATTAGTGACTAGCAAGGGGTTATGAGTAAGTAAGGAGGCACTACCAACAACAAATACAAGTTAAGGAGCTCCAAAGTACCCCATAGAGAGCATGTTGGTCCTTGTTGGTGAGACAGGCGAAAATCCTGAGGGGGTCTTGGCAGCACCGAATGAGGCCCCCATGGCCATGAACGGAGACACAGGAACGCTGTTCATGCAGGCCGTCTCCAAGCAGGTTATTAAGTCAGTAAGTCTGTAGTCTACTGGTTCAGGGCAGAATGGAATAACAGCGGCCACAGCAGCAACCATAGTAGGAGTCACCAGGGCCGAAGTCACTCTAGCGGCAACGGCGGTCCGGTTCAGGGTTAGGTCAGGATTAGCCTGTAGATGGATAAGGGTCTTGATTATGTTGTACGATGGCTTGATGCAGGGTTAAGGTGATTAAGTATGGCGATTAAACTGTTAGATCAGTAAAGATCATGATGTGAGGGGTGGGGGTTAACTCACTAAGCCGGTAGCATTGAAGACACAGCGACGGATGGCGATGGAGGCAGAGGGGTCAGAGGTCACGTGGTCAACCAGGGTTTCAGGGTTACCTTGTGCGAAGGCCATACCTGGGGAGCAGAGTGATGGAGATGTGTGAGGAACATAATAAAGGTGTGACGCTTGGAGATAGATACCTTGGGACGTCACAACTTACGATGGGATGGGAAATTTTTGGACCGTCAAAGAGCCGGAAATTTTGACTGAATATGAGAATGACTTTGATGCTTCCTAAAATATTTGAAATGTGAATAAATAGTTTGAATGTCCAACAAATATATAGACTTTTAGAAAGATATAAACACAGGTACAGATTTGGACATTCTGAAAGACTTGGAGCGTTTTGGGAATGTCTGAAACTCTCAAGCATGCAGTGGTGCATTTGGAAAGAAACTTCAATAAATTTGAAACTATTGGTAAAGTTATGAGTTCTTACGTGAGATTTAAGAGAGGGTTCAAAACTTATGGGAATATTGAGATAATTTAGAAGAAAACAGATCCTCCCTAAAACATTATATTTCCCTGAATGGTTTACCGCCTTGGAAAAGTTTTGCTTATGTTTGACAGTTCTGAAACATTTGAGAGTTAAAAACATTATACCTGCCTTGAACTCTTTATGTTATATTATAAGCCCAAGAATTACTGATCGATGCTTAGAAGTGGGTACTGAGGGACGCCCAAGAAAAGGGTAGAGTGATGCCCGAGGAGAACAAGGTACTGACCAATTCCCATGAAGAATAAGGGATCAGGGACGACGCCGGTGGTGTTGGCGCAGGTGAGGACGCTGTTAACGGGACCTGCAGGACCTATCAGAGCCTTGCTGATGGGCACACACTTACTCTTCTTCAGCTGGCACACTGCAGGGGGGTCACCGGGGCTACACAGGGACGCTAGGGATTACATAATACATGAACAGAAATATAAAACACATGAACACTGAGACACATCACATATGAACACTGAGACACACACTGTCCATAAGGGGGGTAGGAGGTGAGGTTAGGCTAGGAGGTACTTACACCGCACCGCCCATGGGGAGGCGCCAGAGGGCATAGGGCTGACCATCCCTACCAGCGCCAGGACCAACAACACTACTCGCTCCATCCTGCAACACAAGGTGATAATATAAGCTATCTTGCAACACTACCATTAACTGCAACACAATATAAACAAGGAGGGTAATTCAGTAGGTACGAACCATCTTGATGAAATAATTAAAGCCATTTGGTATCGTCACAAGGTTAATATAGACGTCTAATTAGATATGACGTTTTGTGAGTAATATATAAACACTAATTACTGAAACTAGGGAATCAACGAGAGAATACACAGGGACCCAACTCACCTTCTCTGAGAACCTATGAGTAACTAGAGAAGCTGAACTAGTGGGAAAGTTTATATACCAGCCGTCAGTCAGGCGGCCATGATGCGCCAAGCGATTGTCCTTTGTTTGATGACGCGGCCGACCTCAACACCCAGCGGAACAATAATCTGACGAAGGTGTTGAACGTCACGAAGCAGGCGTCCCGTCACCTGCTGCAGAAGGTTAGGTAAGATGGTGAGTAGATGTCTGTAGGACTAAAGTGATATAAAAATGTATAACTAAGTGTTCTTAAATAATATACATAGATTTTATACATATACTGTATATACCTGTACAAGTTGGCATACTAAGTTACACATACAGACATACATACACAGGAACCACAAACACACTCACTAGTGGACAACACATACATACACATACACACGTAAATTCATACATACACATCACACACAAAATTTAGTTACACTCACCTACATAATACACAAACATACACGTATGCAGACACACACAAACAAATCACACACACATACACACACACAATGTAGTGACACACATACATACACAAAACACACCTTCCATCTATCTTTCTTTTCTCTCTCTCTCTCTCTCTCTCAATCATCCTATTCATCTTTTTACTACAATCTCAGTTTCTTTATCAATGTCTCTACCTTACCTCATTCTAATCCCAATTTACTATTCATTGTTCACTCTCGCTTCTCTCTATTCCTTTCTTTATCTTCTTTCATCTCTGCCTCAATACCAGACATGATAGGTTAAGTTAACTGAGAGATGAGGTAATCTTATTGACACCTGGATACAACACAGGTATACACTCACCCCCAAAATTTATCTTCACGGGTTTAAAATACAATATGATACAAAATTAAGATCAGGAAGATATATTAATTAAGAGAACCGAGCAAAGTTAATAACGTCTCCAGTGTGTCTCCTAGGGCGTGTTAGACAGTCATCCACACTCTGACGGCAAAGGTTCGGTGTCATGGCTGGACCTTACGAGCTCCCTGATATAGGTTTCTTGAGTTAGTAGAATCAATAGGTTCTGGAGAATAAGGAGACCTATACTTATACTTACACTTATACCCCGTCACTGGTCTCTTCTATGAGTGGGAGGTGATCTTGCTAAAGCCACTGTGTATTGGATTGATTCTGTAATGACGGGGAGAGATGGTATATTTAAGAGATGGTATTGTGATATTTCTTCTGGTTCATCGTGAGTGCATGGTCCTCCTCATTCTTGATCCACAGTGCACGCCCATCCTCATTCTTGATCCACAGTGCACGCCCATCCTCATTCTTGATCCAGAGTGCACGCCCATCCTCATTCTTGATCCAGAGTGCACGCCCATCCTCATTCTTGATCCACAGTGCACGCCCATCCTCATTCTTGATCAACAGTGCACGCCCATCCTCATTCTTGATCCACAGTGCACGCCCATCCTCATTCTTGATCCACAGTGCACGCCCATCCTCATTCTTGATCCAGAGTGCACGCCCATCTTCATTCTGATCCAGATGCCCATCCTCATTTGATCCAGAGCACGCCCATCCTCATTCTTGATCCAGAGCACGCCCATCCTCATTTGATCCAGAGTGCATGCCCATCCTCATTCTTGATCCACAGTGCACGCCCATCCTCATTCTTGATCCAGAGTGCACGCCCATCCTCATAATTTTGATCCACAGTGCACGCCCATCCTCATTCTTGATCCAGAGTGCACGCCCATCCTCCTGAAACCACAGTGAACGCCCATCCTCATTCTTGATCCACAGTGCACGCCCATCCTCATTCTTGATCCACAGTGCACGCCCATCCTCCTCAAACCACAGTGCACGCCCATCCTCCTCAAACCACAATGGTATCCTTAACTGCCACAAGACCTCACACCACAGCCTGAATCATTTCGGCTCTCCACTACGCCATTAACACCTTCAGTACGGGCACGCCACCTTCAGTACGGGCACGCCACCTTCAGTACGGGCACGCCACCTTCAGTAGGCACGCCACCTTCAGTACCACCTTCAGTACGGGCACGCCATCTTCAGTACGGGCACGCCACCTTCAGGAGCACGCCACCTTCAGTACGAGCACGCCACCTTCAGTACGGGCACGCCACCTTCAGTAGAGTATTTAGGTAACGTCTATTTTATTCAACACAGAAGCGACAGCATATTGAAGGAGCTAAGGTTAGGTTAGGTTAGGTTAGGATAGCTTTAGGGTACCTAATCATCAGGTGAAATAAGCTGGGGTACCTAATCAGCATGTGAAATAAGCTGGGGTGCCTAATCATCAGGTGAAATAAGCTGAGGTGCCTAATCATCAGGTGAAATAAGCTGGGGTACCTAATAACCAGGTGAAATAAGCTGGGGTGCCTAATCATCAGGTGAAATAAGCTGGGGTACCTAATAACCAGGTGAAATAAGCTGGGGTACCTAATAACCAGGTAAAATAAGCTGGGGTACCTAATAACCAGGTGAAATAAGCTGGGGTGCCTAATCAGGTGAAATAAGCTGGGGTGCCTAATCATCAGGTGAAATAAGCTGGGGTACCTAATAACCAGGTGAAATAAGCTGGTGTACCTAATCATCAGGTGAAATAAGCTGGGGTGCCAAATAATCACCTAATATACAATAAATTATCACTGATTTAATTAAGATGGCCTCCAAAATTACACTCACACTGGGAATAAATAACTTTGTCTCTCCTTGAAAGTTAAAACTGGGAATAAATGTAAAAAAATAACAATAATTTTCCTAATATTCATTTTTTGTATTCAAGTCATTCAGTACACGAGGTTGAACACTTGCCAACACGGCGTGACAGTGGCGAGTGATGTAAGGTAACACAACACATAAATGGTTTATCTTCATCAAATGGTTAAAATTGGACTATTACTATCACTGTTGTATTAGTATTGGGGCTACTACTACTATTAATCCTACTACTACTACTGTAACTGCTTCTTTTAACGACTATTACTAATAATAATAATAATAACTACAATAATAATAATAACAAAAACCACAACAATAATAAAAATAATAAAAAATAATAATAAAAAAAATAACAACATAATAATAACAACTTTATTACAAAATAACTGGATATAAAGGAATTAGTGGCATCTTTAACAACACTCACAAACAATATTTTACGTAAACACAATTGTCGTCCGTGTTTACAGACAGACAGACAGACATAAGAGAGGATGGTGTCGCCTGAGGAAAAGTTGATAGCGGTGTCACCCACGTCAGAGGAAATGGGACATCTTGGCGCCCGATTCTATTTCACCACAGAAAACGTAATGCAGCTTTATGGAGTATGTCTTAGCCGAGGGTGTGACGGAGCCGAGGGTGTGACGCCTGGGCCATAGGGAGGATCTTAAGGGCTCAAGAAGGGCAGGAGGACGGGCGCCTTGAAGAGTGACTTATGGGCAGGGGCAGGATCCTTCGTCGGGGAAGAGGAGAGGACGCCCTTGGCTCGACTCACTAAGGGGGACTTGTCGGCGTTGGTAATACACGCTGCCTTCACACACGACAAGAAGTTCTCCACGCTGAACGCCACAGGTTCAGGGCAAGTCTGTACGCTGGAGGCCACGGCGTCTCCAAGCTCCGGGGAGGCCAGGAGACCGCGTGCACTTGTGGCCACGGCGCTGCGGTTGAGGGTCAGTGTCTCCGGGTCCAGCTGCCGAGGTCAAGACAGGTCAAAGGTTAAGAAGTCTGGCTTTTAACGTTGATATTTGAGCTTTTTTGTAGCACTAAACAAGATAGGTTGTTAGCGTTGAAAGTCCAGGCTGCTGAAGGTGAAAGTTAAGACATTTAGCGTTGGCAATAAAGCTTTTAGCATTGAAATTCTGGTTATCAGCGTTGGATTTCATGCTATTAGAGTTGAAAACTCACCCAGTTAACGTTCAAACATCGAGATAATAGCGTTGAAGATTCAGATTGCTAGTTATGAAAGACTAGACAGTCGGCATTAAAAAAGGCTATTGGCGTTGAAAGAAGTCAGGGAAGTTAGATTGAAGAGGTCAAGGAATCAGCGTTGAATGAATCAGAGCAACAGCGTTGAAGCAATAATAAAAACAACGTTCAAAATATAAGCTTGTCAACGTTGAAAGGTCATGCTGTTATCGTTGAAAGATCAGGCTGCTGGCGTTGAAAGAATGAAGAGAGAGGCGTGTAACTTACTAATCCGGTGGCGTTGAGGACACAGCGGCGGAGGGCGGTAGAGTCTGTGGGGTCAGAGGTGACGTGGTCAGCCAGCGACTCAGGTTGACCATGTACGAACGCCATTCCTGAAGAGGGTGAGGGAGGGTGAATGGGGTAGTTGGTGCTCTCTCTCTCTCTCTCTCTCTCTCCACCATCGTCATTAGACTGTCCTCACTCACACACACACACACACACCTGTACACATACCTATAGACATGAAGAAGCGTGGAGGGAGTGTGAGGCTGGTAGCGTTGGCACAGGTGGTGATGGCATGAAGTACTCCACCTGGCGGGGACAACAGCTGGTTCAGACCCCCACACTCGACCTTCCTCATCTGGCACAGGGTCAAGGAGTCCGTCGTCGGGCACAAGGACGCTGCAAGAGGTCAGGGAAGGTCAAAAAATGGCTTGGTAAAGAGGTCATGTTCTGTGAGGTGAGATGGGGAAGGTTAATGAGATGAGGAAGGTGAGGAAGGTATACTCACTGTCCATCCAGGGTGAGGCAGGTGGGCCGGGAGGGGTGAGGGAGGACGCACCCCCCCCCACCACCACCATCGCTAACACCAATACCTGCATCTTACACCACCACCTGTAAAACAAACGCTGTATTTAACCCCTTCTGGCACCATAAAAACATTATTTACATAAAATTTACACAATATATAACAGAGACTATAGAGAGTTTCACCTGGAGCTTGCAATCATCAAGTAAAATAAACCCCAAGACTCGTTCTATATACAGTACCTCAAAGCTGGACGGGGAGTGGCCTATATCAAGCTAACCAATGAGAAACTGCCATGTCAAGATGTACACATTCTGTTATTGGTAGAAGTTTCTGTGACCACGCCCCTCTCGACATAAATATAAACCAATCATATGTAAAGCCTTCCTTTGTGTGTCTTGCCTTAGTGACTGGCGCGTGTTGACAGGGGTTACACGGCACCTTATCGGATCAAAAAACGTGACCACCACAATATGTCATAAAGGAACAGTAGATTCCTCAGAAGGTTTACAGATGAAAGAAATTAAGAGGAAAAAAAGAAAAATTAGTAATAGTGTCTTTTGTAAGGTAATTCCTATTGAATACTGAACTCTCGGCGTGAAAATGATCTATTCACTATACGTAATATTACCTCAATAACTGAAATAACTCTATTGACTTAAACAACTAGGATTAAATATTAACTCTACTGAATATTCAACAAGGGAGTTTATTAAGTTCAATTATACTGTAGAGTTAATAAAGGGATGAGGTAAACCTAACATGACATATTTCCTAACACACACACACACACACACACACACACACACACACTTTTTTTGCATTCACCAATATTATGCCTAAATAAAACTCTAATACTCAGAAATAAAAATTGATGAGTTCTGAATTTTGCACTACAGTTCATTTTACCACCAAGCGAGATGCACTCAACTATGGTGAAAACACTAGAGTGAACGATGCCTAGGTGCAGATTATTCTAGAGTGTGTTTCACCCTCAGGCACCGTGCACTCTAGAGCTCAGCCAACCTAGAGTGCTTGACGTCTGCTACACCGGGTCTAGTCAGCGAACCGTAGTGTAACCGCCGCTGCAGGTTAGTGTGTATATACCTACGGGATTTTAGTATCATAGTTCATTAAAGACTAGCGTACATCAAACAACCTCATTATATTATATTTTAGAGGGGAGGGGGGGTTGTGGAGGGTGTGGAGGGGGGAGGTGGAGGGGGAGGGGGGGTGGAGGGGAAGGGGGTGTGGAGGGGGGAAGGGTGTGGAGGTGGAGGGGTGTGGAAGGTTAGCGTTTTCCAGGACTGCTTGGTGATGTCTGTGTGGACTGAAGAGTGTGTGGAGTGGAGAATGTGTGGAGTGAAGAACGTGTGGAGTGAAGAACGTGTGGAGTGAAGAACGTGTGGAGTGGAGTGAAGAACGTGTGGAGTGAAGAACGAGTGGAGTGAAGAACGTGTGGAGTGAAGAACGTGTGGAGTGAACTTCTTTTAGTCACGGAACTAAACTCTCGATGGAACAAAATCAATCGGTAAGGAAAGACGACCATAGAGCCGACTATAACAACTAAACAAGGACATGAAACAACTAAACAAGGATAAAGTCAGGTCAGATGATCCAGGTAGTCTACGACCCTCTCTAACCTGACTTGTAAACGAACGAGTCACCAAGCACAAGTTAGTCTCCTGATGCGCGGGGACACAAATGACTGTGAACCTGACGAGTGATCTCCCGGCACGTCTACCACCTATCTGAACACTCACTAAAACCCAGAGGTGGAGCTTAAGAGTCTCACGAGGCATAAATGCGTCTTAACAACAAAAAATCTGAACAGTATTGACGACAGCTCACACACACAGAGGATAATGCAAATAATGGTGAAGTCTTCTGATATTTTCTACCTATATTTATTTAGTTTTTTCGTTAATTCATATCTGGAGTGTTTTAATTAGTCACTCTACTGAATGTTGTTGATATTAAGAGTATTTTGTGGTATTGTAAGTTAGGGTGTGTCAGTTGAGGCTGTATTGTATATTTGTCTAACTACTGCCAGACAATATCCCAGTATAATGGTCGTTATGGAGAAAATATAAATTAATTTGGCCAACATACTTAACCCTTTAAGGATGATGGTTTAACCCTTTGAAGACAATGGTTTAATATTTTGACGACGATGGTTTAACCCTTTAAGGATGATTATTTAACCCTTTGATGACGATGATTTAACCCTTCAGGACTTAAAGGGTTAACTTAGGTTGGGTCAAGGGGTAATATATAGCTGAAAGAACCTGAACAAAAATTATGTATAAGATATTTAATTTATCTTTGAGGGAGAGAGGAGAGAGAGTGGGGGGGCGGAGAGTAAGGGGGGGAAGGCGGGGTGTTGACGTCACAGGCAGTCACGAGTGATATAAAACAGTGGAGGTTCTTACACGGGGTCATTTGTCTGTGTACTGTGTTACCTGACGGACGCACCTCTGGGCCCTCGCTACAAGTTATATTCTGGGTAACTATATTAACCTTTTGTTTCGTGTTCCTGTATAGTGATGACAGACAGATTAATACTGAAGTGAAAAGCCCCAATTCCTCAAGGACAGTATTCTATTTAACCTACAAGAGTCAAAGGATAATGTGTTTTGGTTTACACACAGATGACCTTCACGTCCCAGGGAAGGGCGACCATGCCTGGGAGGTCAACTTGGGTCATGTTGTGGATGATGATGATGGAGACTTGCTTTCAAGGCTCTACTGCTTTCGTCTTAACAGGTAAATTCTTTCTTTCTTTAGCTCTCTCTTTTTCTCTCTCTCTTTCTTTCATCCTTAGTTTTTTTCGTATTTATTTTCCTCGCTCTCTCGTTTTTAACATTCGCTTTCTCTATTTTCACATTCTCTCTCTCTTTCTCGTTTTGTTGTTGATGAATAACCTTTTAAATGGTCCAGTTGGGTAATTGAGTTATGGGCAGGATATATTAACCACATTAAAGTCAAATTTTACACCAGTGAACGGATCCAATATGGCCGGCCACAGGTTCCTATAATCACTGTCATCACATAAATCAACACAGGTACTGACCCGGCGTGTGGTAACCTGGGCCCTGGATCATGTCAGTTCAGGGCCGCCAAGTGTGGAGTGGTGAAGGAGCTACCAGGGCAAGAGCGGCCCCGTGAAGGATGTGTCTGACTGTGCTACAACACTTGGCATCCCGAAGACCCAGATTGTTCCTGTGATCGGTGAGTGGTTTAGGCTTCGTGAGTGGTTTAGGCTTGGTGAGTGCCCCATGCTTGGTGGGAGTGGTTTAGGCTGGTGGAGTGGCCCATGCTTCGTGAGTGGTTTAGGCTTGGTGAGTGGCCCATGCTTGTGAGTGGTTTAGGGCTGGTGAGGGCCAAGCTTCTGTGAGTGGTTTAGCTTGGTGAGTGGCCCATTGCTTGATGAGTGGTTTAGGTTTGGTGAGTGGCCCATGCTGGTGAGGGTTAGTTTGGTGAGTGGCCCATGCTTGGTGAGGTTTAGGCTTGGTGAGTGGCCCATGCTTGAGTGGTTTAGGCTTGGAGTGGCCCATGCTTGATGAGTGGTTTAGGCTTGGTGAGTGGCCCATGCTTGATGAGTGGTTTAGGCTTGGTGAGTGGCCCATGCTTGGTGAGTGGTTTAGGCTTGGTGAGTGGTTTAGGCTTGGTGAGTGGCCCATGCTTGATGAGTGGTTTAGGCTTGGTGAGTGGCCCATGCTAAGCGAGTGGAATATGCTAGGTGAGTGGCCCAAGCTTGGTTAACGCCCATGTTTAGTGAGTGGCCCATGCTTGGTGAGTTGTTTAGGCTTGGTGAGTGGCCCATGCTTGGTGAGTTGTCAGTGTTACGCAAGTACAGGTTACATTACGTGTGTTGCAAGTTCAGGTTATACGTATTGCAGGCCCGGCTTTCGCGTCTGGTCACCCGGAGACCATCGTGGACCGCATCACAAGCGACCCAGCCACCACTCTTAAGCTCCGTCGCTGTGTCTTGACTGCCGGTGGTCTGGTGAGTGATGTTTACCAGTCAGTGAAGCAACAAACACACACACTTGTACACAGAAACATTAAAATCAATACCTGTATCACGTAAAGGTTAGGTTTGGTTAGGTTAGGTTATATCTGTGTTGACAAGAGCCACTGCCGCCTCAGGTAACAATGAACGGGATGCTGGACCGGGCAGCCATGGTCACTAGGCTGCAGCAGGAGACCTTCTCAACACACCCCCTCGTGATCGACACCATCGCCGCCGCCGTCACCCAGTGCCCTGAACCAGAGAACCTCCAGGTGAGTCCTTGGCCACAGGTGAGTTCTGACACAAGAGTAGTAGTGGTGATGGTAGTAGTGGTGGTGGTGATGTTTGTAGTGGTAGTAGTGGTAGTAGTGGTGGTGGTGATGTTTGTAGTGGTAGTAGTGGTGGTGGTGGTGGTGGTAGTAGTGGTGGTGGGAGGAGGAGAAGGAAAGGACAAAATAAGAGAAGAGAGAGGAAGGAGACAAGGAGAAGGGGGGAAGAGGAGGAAGAGTGTTGCGCCAAATCTGATAAAAACTGGTCGATGATTTTTCTTTTGCAATTAATTGAGACGAGAGCCAAGGATACCTGTGGTGTTTACCTGTAGGGTGTACCTGTAGTATTTACCTGTAGTGTACCTGTTGTGTGTACCTGTAGTGTGTACCTGTAGTGTGTACCTGTAGTGTGTACCTGTAGTATTTACCTGTAGGGTGTACCTGTAGTATTTTAACTCGTAGTGTGTACCTGTTGTGTGTGTACCTGTAGTGTACCTGTAGTGTGTGGTACTTAGTGTGTACCTGTAGTATTTACTCAGTGTGTACCTGTAGTATTTACCTGTAGGGTGTACCTGTACTAAGTGTGTGCTACAGAGTATATTAACGAGAGTGAGTGTGTTAGTACCCACCACATTGTAAACAACCAAATCGTCCTCACTACACACACACGTTCCTCTCCCTCCTTCAGATAGCGAGCTTCCTGACGTGTGTGCGGTCAGCGTGTATACAACAGATGCCTCCTGACGTGGCCAACCTCCCCATCTTCTCCTACAGCGACGACGACGATGATGATGACCACAAGAAGAAGAGAGAAGGGAAAGAAATGCAAGAAGCACTAACAGATGACGAGAGAGAGAGTCGAAGCATCAAAACCAAACATTATTATTATTATTATTTTATTTCATCTGTGTCTAGCAGTTCTAAAATAGTCTTATGAATTATTCGCTCTAGTAAATACCATTATAATTTAAAGTTAGTTATTAATACACACTTATAACACTATTACCCGATAATTATATATCAACTTAACAATATAATTATCTTAAGTGTTAATATAAGAAGCTATAGACTGTAATAATGATATACTGTAATTATCATCTGTAACATCGCTTACAGAACTGAGGCGTGAATTCAATGTCGGAAATAAAGGCTTTAAAAAAAATCTGAAATAATGATGAAGAATGTGAGTTTATAATTGAAGAGTCATTTAATAAATAAACAATAATTCTGGCTGTTTTCCTGAATAAATTTGATTTTCCAAATGTTATGAAAGTATGTGTGGTAGTGGTGGTGGTACGTGGTGGTGGTGGGACGTGGTGGTGGTGGTGGGACGTGGTGGTGGTGGGACGTGGTGGTGGTGGTACGTGGTGGTGGTGGGACGTGGTGGTAGTGGTACGTGGTGGTGGTGGGACGTTGGTAGTGGTACGTGGTGGTGGTGGGACGTGTGGTAGTGGTACGTGGTGGTGGTGGGACGTGGTGGTAGTGGTACGGGTGGTGGTGGGAGGTGGTGGTACGTGGTGGTGGTGGGACGTGGTGGTGAGTGGTACGTGGTGGTGAGTGGTACGTGGTGGTAGTGGTACGTGGTGGTGGTGGGACGTGGTGGTAGTGGTACGTGGTGGTGGTGGGACGTGGTGGTGGTGGTACGTGGTGGTGGTGGGACGTGAGTGGTGGTGGTACGTGGTGGTGGTGGGACGTGGTGGTAGTGGTACGTGGTGGTAGTGGTACGTGGTGGTGGTGGTACGTGGTGGTGGTGGGACGTATTGTGAGTAGTGGTACGTGGTGGTAGTGAGTGCGTGGTGGTGGTGGGACGTGGTTTCTTGACGTTCATGGTAATAATACGTGGTTTGTTTACTTCACCCCCCCCCCCCTCTCTCTCTCTCTTCCCCCCCCCATCTGCTGAGTGAGGTATCCATTGTGGTGAGAACTACTGGCTATGTTATCAGATGGCTAAGAGCAGTATCGAGTGTCTGTGATCTGGAGTCTTTCTCACGATGAGGTTTAGTGAGAGAAGGAGGGAGACAGAGGAAGAGTGGAGAGATAAAGAAAGAAAGACAGATATAAAGAGAAAGAGAGAGAGAGGTGGGTAAAGTTACGAGTGTCAATAACAGTGTAGCCACCTACGGACAACTAACATTCATCTGCCCTTCTGTTTTCTTTCTCTTCTCTTCGTTTCTCTCTTATCATCTCCTTTTCTATCTTACCTCACCCCCCCAACCTCTCTTCTATGTCTCTCTCCCTCTCCTCCCTGTCTCAGTCTCAATTTCCCCACTCCTCTCCCCCCACCCCTCCCCCCCACCCCTCTCCCCACTCACCCCTCCCCCCCACCCCTCTCCCCCACTCACCCCTCTCCCCCCTCCCCTCTCCCCCACTCACCCCAACAATAGTGGTGGCTGTCATGGTAGTGTTAGCTCATAAGACAACTTTCAGCATCAAACGGTTCTCAAGTTATGTTCTGCCAGTGTTGTTGTGCTTCTCTCTCTCTCCTTCCCTCTTCTCTCTCTTTCCTCCTTCCCTTCCTATTCCCCACTCTCTCTCCCTCCCTCTCTTTGTCCCCCCTCCTTCCTCTTCACCCTCTCTCCTCCACCCCCACACCCCCACCTGGCAGTAACCGATAAGTCCCTCCTCACATAATACCCATTTTCTTTGGCTCACTTCACCCCCATTGGCTTCATTTTCCTCTGCCGAATGTTATGAAGCTCCGAGCGATACATTTCACACATCTTAACACCCTGAAGTGGATTTAACGTAATGCATATATATATATATACATCGATACAGTCTCAGTAGAGTATCGAGGCCATTTGGTAGCAGGAGAGAGAGAGAAGAGAGAGACCCGTGCCTCCTGGTGGTCAATGGGGCGTAAATGGCAGTGTTATCCATTCCCCGCCACCCAGCTCTTGGACCAAGTGGCTCCATCACTCGACTCCAACGGCTAGCTAGGGACGCTCCTCACTGGACCCTTCTCAACGGATTAATTCTATACTCGACTAAAAAACAAAACCCACAGTAATTCATCCATAAAAGCGTTAATTACTAGAGGTTATCGTTATGGAGTTTAGTTTTATTTAGTTTATAAGGAAAGATTATATGCCCATAGTGATCAGGAAATATCAACTCGTCAATCTTTCTCATGTATACTTTCAAACAGAGGAATATCTTCACTATATAAGGTGTAATACTCCTCATTTTTAGTCATTATTAAGGTTTATGGTCTGTTATATATTTAAACATGTAAATAAAAAATAGTCACATTCTCCATATAGGAAGTTAATGGTAAATAATTATGTGTCAAGACGCGGACAAAGAAGCTCCTAAATCTGGCTTCTGTCCCGGACGTCTCTGTCAGCCCCGAAATATTTTACGTGGGACACTGAAAAAAAAAACTAATTTATTTTTCTCTATAATTCAGAACGACACAAAAGCTGCCTGGTGACAATAAATATTCCACTTATGATTATTATAACATTAAGCTTCCTCTTACCGTTGGGAGAAGTGATAAAAGTAACACAAACTTTGAAACTATATAACTGACCAACTTATGAACCAAATGTCTGCAGATTCCAAGAGGGGTACAATTCTTTACTTTCTAGAGCCGAACTTGGAATCTTGTGGGCGGGAATGGGAATGAGGGGAGTTCAAGACCATAACAATGCAGGATGTCTCATTTTCTTTACTTGTTTTGGTGAGAGAGAGAGAGAGAGGAGGGGGGTGATGCTGGCGTGGGAGAGGGAAGAAAGGATGTGGGAGGAGGGAGGGAGGGAGGCAGCAGCGCTAAAAACTGCACTCCCAGTCTCCCACTCTCCCAGAAGACTCAGTATGTGGCCGACCATCGTGGGGTGAGGACATCTGCTGGTCTGTGTTACCAATAACTTTATTCCTCCCTCAGTGGTGACTCTGTGGTGTTGCTCGTTCACAATATTACCACCAGGACCCCGTGTTACAAAAAAACTGGCCAGTATTACCACGAATATTGCTGTAATAGTTATAATACTGTACTCCAAAGGCGATAAAACAAGTGAATATCGTGGGAAAACAGACCTATTGTATTGTAACTTAATTAAACGAATTTTATGGTTTATCAATCAAGAGAAATATGTTAATAACTTTCAATTACTTATTATTTTTTTGTAATTTATATAAAAAAGACGCGAAAAAGTAATTATTAATTTATTATTTGGTGTTTGTTCATTGATCGTTTATATAGTACAGCGGATGGTCTAGTTTATACAGTTGATTTACATTATGAAATTTAGTGTATTCAACATCACTATTTGTTCCCTCCCATCTACCTACATTCCTTCCCTCCCTCCCTCCCTCCACACCATCTTCCCTCCCTCCCTCCCTCCACACATCCATCTTCCCTCCCTTCAATCATCTGTCTTCCCTCCCTCCCTCCACACATCCATCTTCCCTCCCTTCAATCATCTGTCTTCCCTCCCTCCCTCCACACATCCATCTTCCCTCCCTTCAACCATCTGTCTTCCCTCCCTCCCCTCCACACATCCATCTTCACCTCCCTTCCAACCATCACCTGTCTTCCCTCCCTCCCTCCACAAACATCTATCTTCCCTCTCTCCATCACCCAACTTCCTCCCTCCCCTCCACACCATCTTCCCTCCTCCTCCACACATCCATCTTTCCCTCCTTCAACCATCTGTCTTCCTCCCTCCTCCCTGAAAACATCTATCTTCCTCTCCATCCACCCAACTTCCTCCTCCCTCCCACACAAGCATCTTCCCTCCCTTCAACCATCTGTCTTCCCTCACTCCTCCCTCTACCTCCCATTCCCTCACCCTAGAGCAACCACTCATGACACATACTGTATTGCCAACCACAGCAGTCAACGCCACTACATTACACACGGGTTTGGCTACACACGGGTTTGGCTACACACGGGTTTGGCTACACTTGGGTCTGGCTACACACGGGTTTGGCTACACTTGGGTCTGGCTACACTTAGTTTTGGCTACACTTGGGTCTGGCTACACTTAGTTTTGGCTACACTTGGGTCTGGCTACACTTAGTTTTGGCTACACTTGGGTCTGACTACACTTAGTTTTGGCTACACTTGGGTCTGGCTACACTTAGTTTTGGCTACACTTGGGTCTGACTACACTTAGTTTTGGCTACACTTGGGTCTGGCTACACTTAGTTGTGGCTACACTTGAGTCTGGCTACACTTGGGTCTGGCTACACTTGGGTCTGACTACACTTAGTTTTGGCTACACTTGGGTCTGGCTACACTTAGTTTTGGCTACACTTGGGTCTGGCTACACTTGGGTCTGGCTACACTTGGGTCTGGCTACACTTGGGTCTGACTGGGTTTCACTATACTCTTGGGGCTCTAAAACACAGTTGAGTTTCTTGCGGTATTCACAAATCTTTCTTCTTACTCTGAGTGTGTCTGTCCCTTTGTGTGTGTGTGTGTCTTTCTGTGTGCGTCTCTTTCTCTATGTGCGTGTCTGTCTTTTTCTGTGTGTGTGTGTCTGTCTGTCTGTACACAAACCATGACAAGATAACACATTAACAAAAATAACAACAATAATAACATGACTAATTCAAACCTTGTGATCTTATCTTTCCCTGGACGTTTAACAAAAGGTGGAACTAACTAAACTAACTTAAAACAATTGAGGTTAAAACAAAAGACAGTAGGCCATCTTGAAGACAAATGGCTAGGTGAAAGACAAGGGCGTGGCTGAAGACAAGAGAGAGAGGATTAAAGACACAAATATACAGTTGTCTTGATGAAAGTGAATTAAGTGCGGTGTTTCTCAAGCTTTGTCCACGACCAGCTGAGGTAAGTTTGTATTCATATTGTCTTTGTCAACATAAACATCGCCACAATACAGTATACAATATGGACTTACGCTTAGGTTTAATATACAAAAAAAAAAGAATCGTATATTTCTTTTTAATTGTTAATAAATATAATGATAAGGCAACTGTACTGGAACCCTTAAGAATTATCCTTAATACCACTCATAAACTAGATAGATAGATAGAGAGATAAATAGATGGATAGATGGATAGATAGATAGATGGATATAGATAAGTCTATAGATAGAGATAGATAGAAAAATATGAATAAATAGATGCATAGATATACATTCATAATTATTCACTAAAATCGCCATACAAATTACATTGGCTCAGCATGTATACTGTATATGCAATGCGGATATCTAATATACTAAGACAAAACAAATATACAAATATACAAACAAAATTCCGAGTAAACTTATAAAATCCCATTAAACGATCGAGTTCATTAAATTCACAGCAGAGTTCATGATTTTTCTCCTAATGCTTGTGAGAAATACTTTGAACTGAACTGGTACACACAAACACCATTAATTGTATAGGTATTAGTGTCTCAGTCTTCCTCTTTTCCCTTTTCTCTTATTTTTTACTTGATCTTTTCTATTCTCTTGGTTTTTCTTCCATTTCTCTCTCTCTCTCTCTCTCTCTCTCCTCGCCCCTACACTTATACACTCTAGGAATATTATCATAAAAGCCTGACTAAAATAACCATTAGCTATTCATATAAGAAACACCATCTGCATAATTTCTCCTTCATTATTATTCGTATTATTATTTTATTATTTTATCATTATTATTATTATTACCAGAACATATATATACAAGTACATCAATGCCTCCCTCCATGAGCTGTTATTAAACCACTATATAAAAGTTGATGCTCCCTCCCCCCCAACACAAGTACAGATCACCTCCTAGTACACCCCAGCACCACCTCCTGCAGTAGTACCCCTCCCCCAGCACCACCTCCTGCAGTATTACCCCTCCCCCAGCACCACCTCCTGCAGTAGTACCCTCTTTAGCACCACCTCCTGCAGTGGTGCCTCCCCCAACACCACCACCTGCAGTGCCCTCCCCAGCCCACCTCCTGCCGGTGGTGCCTCCTCCAGCACCACCTCCTGCGTAGTGCCCCTCCCCCAGCACCACCTCCTGCAGTAGTGCCCCTCCCCAGCACCACCTCCTGCAGTGGTGCCTCCCCAGCACCACCTCCTGCAGTGGCCCCTCCCCCAGCACCACCTCCTGCAGTAGTGCCTCCCCAGCACCACCACCTCCTGCAGTGGTACCCTCCCCAGCACCACCTCCTGCAGTAGTGCCCTCCCCCAGCCCCACCTCCTGCAGTGGTGCCCCTCCCCAGCACCACCTCCTGCAGTGAAATGCCCTCCCCAGCACCACCTCCTGCGGTAATTTTTTCCTCTGGCCCACCTCCTGCAGTATGTTACATAAGTGCTTCCTGGAGGCTCATGGATGTTGGCTGCTTTTTCTCGGATAGATTCCAGGTGACCAATACTAACAAAGAAGTGTGTGTGTGTGTGTGTGTGTGTGTGTGTGTGTGTGTGTGTGTGTGTGTGTGTGTGTGTGTGTGTGTTGGCTGTGTGTGTGTGTGGGGGAAATGTTTTGGACAGCCTATGGTACTAGTCTCTCTCTCTCTCTCTCTCTCTCTCTCTCTCTCTCTCTCTCTCTCTCTTCGTGTCTTCGTTTCTCTGTTGGTCTATCTCTCTTTCTCACTCAACTACAGTATCTCTTTCTCGACTATCTCTCGTTCACTCTTGACTATCTCTTTCTCTCACTCTCGACTCCCTCTGGCGAAGGTTCCATGTATACCCGAATTCTTTATGTATAATGTATCCATGCATAGTCTATGTATACATACTGAACCAATGTGAATTAGTATGAAGATGTTATGGAATATCTCTCCATTTATCTATCTATATAATCAAATAAATAATTCCCACACACGTACAACAAATATAAATTCTCCCGGCAAAAATCACACGAGAACCGACAAAAGAACGTATAAAAATATCGTACGTGTAAAATAAAGTATCGTACGTGTTAAAGAAAGTATCGTACGTGTAAAAGAAAGTATCATATGCACAAAAGAAAGTATCGTAGCCCTGAGTGAAGAGCAACTATCGTACGTATCGTGTGGGAGTTTATGTGACAGTGATGGTCTGTTGTCTTTAAAAATCCGTTTTCCTAAGTGTTGGTTTAAACTGCGGATTTCCCCCCCCCCTCCCCTCCCAAGAACGCCAACATACGACCTTGTACATAACAGCAAGGGGGACAGCCAACCCAAATGGCCCTCACATTCATTCTTTTAGTTTGACGTTATGGCCGGGCGGGTGGAAAGTTTCAACGGGGTGTGGGTCTTCTCTCGTGTTGCCAGAAGTGTTTCAGTGGGATGTGGTTCCTTTGAGGATTGTTTCAGTGGGATGTGGTGCCTATGTCGTGAGGGTGGTGTAGCTTTTGGTGGTGTTTCAGTGGGATGTGGCTCCTTTGAGGATTGTTTCAGTGGGATGTAGTTCTCTTGTGTGGCGTTTCAATGGTGTTTTAATGGTTTGTGGTTCCCTAGTGGCGGAGGTGTGGAGCTTGGTGTATGTGAGAGGTGGGTGTGTGGCGTGTCATTATTATTATTATTATTATTATTATTATTATTATTATTATTATTATTATTATTATTATTAACAAAACAAAAATAACAATAATAAAATAATGAAGATAATAATAGTAATAATAATAATAACAAAAACATCAAACTAAAAAATAAATAAAAAAAACTGATATTTTTTTCATCATTCCAATATTTATAGAACAGAAAAAAATCACAACACCTCCATTTAACCCGGAGTTCCTATCCCACTGAATTATGCAAACTTTTAATAAACTATCTGGTAAACACACACACGGGTATCGGGTCCCTGTGAATCTTTCTAAAACTCGATATATTACGACTTTTTCAATACACACTACTGATAATTGACTTTAACTTAAGATAATACAACTTTTAAATATACACCATACATTTAACTCAATATAATACGACTTTTAAATATACAGTCACACAGACAGACAGACAGACTGGCAGATAGACGAACTAACAGAGACAGACCTACAGACATCCAAAGCAGACACACAGACACAGGCCCAACCACGCACACACGCACAGACAGACAGACACACACACACAGACAGACAGACAGACGCCGCTTCTCTAACATCACTTAGGGACTAAAACTGTTTAAGGAATTGCTACATCAGGCTGTGTGTCCCCGGTTGGCGACGCCTGGGGTAAAACCTGTCTGACATATATGTTGTTTTTCGTGGAGAGAAGTAAGGGAGGTGGGAGAAGTGGGGGAGGGTGGGGGGCGGTGGTAGGGGAGTGAGTGGTATGCTGGTGAAGGTTAGATTAGGGAGGGAGGAGGTGAGGGAGTGAGAGAAGAAGTGAGGTTGGGAAGGAGGGATAGGATAGAAGGTATGTAGGGAGAGTTGAGGGGAAGGAAGGAAAGTAGGGAGGGTGGAGAGGGAGAGGTAGGAAGGAGAACTTAGGGATTAATGAAGACAGTTGAGAGAGAGTGTCGTGGGGAGACCTCCACAAATTGGTGTAAAATTATTCATTTATTTCATCACTACAAAAAATTCATCGCTGAAAGAGATATTAAACATATTATTAACATTTCATTGTATGTATGTATGTATGTATGTATGTATGTACAGTATGTGTGTATGTCTGTGTATGTATGTAAGTATGTATGTATGTATGTCTGTGTGTGTGTATGTATGTATGTATGTCTGTATGTATGTTATGTATGTATATTATACGAACCAGTAATATTATCTCCGTCTCAGGCAGGCACAGGGTGACAAGTATTGGCAGACAGCTCACAACCTTAGTAGATTACTCTGCCTCAGAACTAGGTCGTGTACACCCTAACACACACACACACACACACAAACACAAACACACACACACTCTCTCTCTACTAAATCTTCCTCCTGATCAACATCTTTTATTTCCCTTTTATCTATTTCCTCATTCTCTCTGCTTCTCCTCCTCCTACTTCCCCCTTCTTCTTCTTCTTCACCCCTCCTTCTCTTCTCCTCCTCCTTGTTTCTCCCTCCCTCTCCTTCTCTCTCCTCCTCACCAAAACAAAACACCTCCAGGACGACACACACATATCCGACACGAGGCAAATTCTCTCAATAAAATCTGCATATATAAATAAGTTGACGTCACACACACACACACACACACACACACACAAGCACACACACACACACACACACACACACACACACACACACACACACACACACACACACACACACACACACACACACCTCAATGTATAATAATTCTTTCTTTTTCTCATTTTCCGCAGGATAGAAGGCGAGAGAACCCCAGGATACAACAGAAGCCGGCAGGATATACCACAAGAGACCAGGATAGACAACAACAGCAACCAGGATAGATGAGAAGCAACCCCAAGATAGACAGCGATAGAATAACACAATAGACCAACTAACAGGATAGAATAAACACCCAAAACAGGATAGAATTAAGAAGAAAAAACCCCACAACGAAACAAGGAAAGACGAGATTTCTATAAACCATGATGGGCGTGCGGGCGTGGCGGTGGGCGGCGATGGTGATGACAGTGGTGGTTATGGCGGGCGTGGCTGAGTCTTTACGCTGCTATAAGTGTAACAACTGTATTAAATATGAACTGAGTCAATCCCAAACCTGCGGCCCTCAAGACACACATTGTATGGTAAGTACTAGTGGTGGTAGTGGTCTGTGTGTGTGTGTGTGTGTGTGTGTGTGTGTGTGTGTGTGTGTGTGTGTGTGTGTGTCTGGGTTTAAGGCAGCAACCGCATGATTCTTATATGGAAGGGACGGGGCCCATATCCACCCTTCAGTAGAGCCGACATATAGATGGAGGAACCTAACATGAGAAGAGGTACAGGGAAGGAGTATACAGCTCCTGGAGAATTAAATAGAGTTAGGTTGAGGTTGTATAGACTAGAGGGACAACAGAATGCGGAATAATGTTTTTGTTTTTGGGGGTAGGGGTGAGGGGGTGACTTTACTGGGGGAGGGAGGAGGGTATAGCCTGGCACAGTATGGTGGGGAAAAGGGGGGGGAGGGTTCAGTATCACTAGTTAAGATTAATTGAGATCTCTGGCCTTGGATACAGCGTAAAGAATATGTAACCCTGATGACGAACCACCACCACCCCACTCCATCATCTGTTGTGATCTGAGGTGGGCACTGGCGGGAGGTAAGAGGGTGTGGTACATATATCCTTGTCCTGCGGGAAGAAAACATCCTATCTTCCTTGCGGTGCCCTTGGCGAGGGGAGGGATACAGATACAGACCGCCAGCAGGAGTAGACATGCCATGGATCGCCAGCAGGAGGAAGAGACAAGCCGATGCTCTTGGATGTGGACTTACAAGAATTGACTGCCACATACATACACAGGAGGTAAATTGGTCTTGGTCTTCCAGGAGATGAAGGGAGATTATACCCCTTTTGGTTGACTGAAGTACAAGGAGATGGCGCTGTCAGTACCACAAGGCTGAGGTTTAGTGATGGCGTCCAGCAAGTCACTGAGAGAGAGGAGAGGAAAGGAAAGGAAGAGAGACATTTCTATACGAGATGGAACAGTTACGATAGAAAGACAGTGAAGGCAGAGTCGATGGGGGTTGATTGTGACTGAAAACAACACAACAATCACCAAGATCAGAGCTGACTTAATGTTTACTTCGGTGAGCTCATTTACGGCCCCAATTCTCTCACCTATTACCAAAGAATTAATGACTCTAAACCGATAACATCCATCAGGAGGTCACAGGTGGTCATGTGTCTGGCGGAAACCCTACTGACGCGGCCGGCCATTTAGTGGAGAGGAAGACCCCGAGATGAAGAAGAGGACCTCCTTAAGATAATGTTCTCTATTACGGCGCGGGAGGTGATGGGTGTGGGTGGTGCGGTAGTTGGGAGGATTTTGGGGAATAATCCTTCTTGGAAACTGAACTAACAGCGGGGAGTTTCTAGGATGAGATGAGGAGGATCAGGAGGAGGAGGTGGAGAGGGATGATGATGATGAGGAGGAGGATGAGAAGGAGGAGAGGGGGACGGGGAAGAGAAGGAGGGGAGGGGGAGGAGGAGGAGGAGGAGGAGGTATTTCCGCGTCCAAGTTTTAGCAAGATTACAGGAACTCCTACAGAGTCGACTAAAGTTTGTTGGTGTGAAGTGTGACGCAACTCACCTGTTTGATGATGGAGGGACGCCACGGCACTCAAGACAACTAGGGACCACTCAAGACAACTAGGGACCACTCAAGACAACTAGGGACCACTCAAGACAACTAGGGACCACTCAAGACAACTAGGGACCACTCAAGACAACTAGGGACCACTCAAGACAACGAGGGACCACTCAAGACAACTAGGGACCACTCAAGACAACTAGGGACCACTCAAGACAACTAGGGACCACTCAAGACAACTAGGGACCACTCAAGACAACTTTACTGGTGGGTGAAGACTGATGCTTGACCTCTGTACAGTGGTGCTTGAAGACAGTGGTATACTTGTCGTCATTAAGAGACTCATCAACTGGACAATTAAACTCTGAACTTCCATAAAGAGAGAGTTTTACCCAGAGGAGTTGGAATCCTTAGAGAGTCCGAGAATCCTACCTTAAGAGAGTTATTGTACCATTTATATCCTAAGTTAACATTTCATCAACCAATCAACGCCTGAGTTAACATTTCATCAACGCCTGAGCTAACATTTAATCAACCAATAAACGCCTGAGCTAACATTTCATCAACGCCTGAGCTAACATTTAATCAACCAATCAACGCCTGAGCTAACATTTCATCAACCAATCAACCCCTGAGCTAACATTTCATCAACCAATCAACGCCTGAGCTAACATTTCATCAACCAATCAACGCCGAGGCTTTCAGGAGCGGATACCCATTAGCGTTGAACATCAATGAAGTTGATTAATGAAGAGAGAACAGCGAAGGAGCGAGGATAAAGGAAAAGCGAGGGTGTAAAAAGGAACGGAAGGAGAGGAGATGGAGGGAAGAAAGAGAGGCTAAGGATCACGGGACACAGAGAATAGAAAGAGAAGTGATGGAAGATAAAAGATAGAGGAAATAGGGAGGTGGGGGAGATTACACACCACACCATACGCACCACACTACACCACATCACCACACCACACACACCCACACCACCTCACCACACCACACACCACACCCAACCACACCTCACCACACACACCACCGCCCCACCACACACCCCCCACCACACATTATCAACATCAAAACCAAAATGCTTAACGAAAAGGAAAACTCCCCCTGAATATGACACCAAGACACCTTAGTACGTAGGAGTAATTACCTGCCAGCTAAGTGTGTGTGGGTCCTCGTCAACACCAGGTAACACACACACACACACACACACACACACACACACACACACACACACACACACACACACACACACACACACACACACCACACACACACACACACACACACACGCACACACACACACACACACACACACACACACACACACACACACACACACACACACACACACACACACACACACACACACACACACACACACACACACACACACACACACACACACACACACAGGTATGATGAACAAATCGTAAGTCACTTTTGGTCGCTTATCCTCCAACACAACCACCAGACTCCATTTTCTTTTACCATTATTCCACTCCAATAAATGTATCTGTTCCCCCCAACTAGCTTCCATCCACTACAGCTTAAAAGATGTGTCAGAGGAGTCAGCCAGTCAGTCAGTCAGTCAGTTATTCAGTCAGTCAGTCAGTCAGTTATTCAGTCAGTCAGTTATTCAGTCAGTCAGTCAGTTATTCAGTCAGTCAGTCAGTTATTCAGTCAGTCAGTCAGTCAGTTATTCAGTCAGTCAGTTATTCAGTCAGTTGTAATTCAGTCAGTCAGTCAGTTATTCAGTCAGTCAGTCATTCACCTGTATAAATAAACGCATCTAACACACTATCACTCAAGCATTAGTTCACATCCTGACTTGTTCCTTCGTCAAGTTAATCCTCGAGTCAAGATTTAGTTAAGGTAGAGTCTCGGTTTAATTTGGACGTCATTTTCTCGATGGGTAACTGTACTGTATCTCAAAATCCCATTAACTTGGTGGGTGTGTTATTGGTGTTGAGTTAAGGAGGAGGAGATTCTGTCATTAGGGGGAGGGAGGAGATTCTGTTAAGGGGAGGAGGGAGATTCTGGTGGGAGGAGATTCTGGAGTTAGGGAGGAGATTCTGGTGTTAAGGGGGAGAAGGTTCTTGGCTTAAGGGGGAAGAGACTCTGGGGTTAAGGGGGAGGAGAGGCTCTGGCGTGCTGTATGAGCCCCTGTAAGAGTGACTCCGCTGGCTCCTATAAGACGAGCCTTAATGGATTTCTCGAGGTGGAGCATAATGGAGACTCCCAGGAGGCTCTTGGGTTGCCTGAGGTACGGTGTTGTGGTACCAAGGTGACTGATTGGTCAAATGGGCCCCAGTCCTAACAGACCCCTAACTTAATCATACGGGAAAAAGGGTCAAGTTCAAATAGGAGCCTTAATAAACCCGTAGTTCTAATGGGCCCTTGTCATTCTTAGACAGACAGACAGAAACGTACTTTAATTAATACAAATTTATGAAAGGTTTTTTTTCAGACCAGAATTGATTATATTTCTCAGTTGTGTCTCACTTCTCTATCTCTCACTTGTCTCTCACTTCTCTATCTCTCACCTGTCTCTCAGTTCACTTTTCCTACGTTAGTTACCCCACCATGTTAAAAGACCTCACCTACCACACTCGCTATTACTATTACTGTACCGCCTCGTCATCTGGGTACAGTATCTAATCCACCGACGCTGTATTTGTCCTGTATCTTGCTGTAATGTGAGTAAAGGTGGAAAAACTGTATTATTATTGATATTTTACAGAGTTATTAATAGTATATTTTTGTAGAGTTAATTCCTATTTTTATTTTTATTTTGTTTGATAATTCGATTGTATTATTATTATTATTAGTAGAAGTAGTAGTAGTAGTAGTAGTATTAGTGGTAGTAGTAATATTGTTGTTGTTGTTATTATTATTATTATTATTAACCCTGACATTCCTAACCTGGCTCTTGAGTGAACCTGAAGGTGTGGGTGCTGAGTGAGGAAATGTGGAGTAGGTGTGTCAGGTAAGGAGTAAGGAGGAGGAGGAGGAAGAAGAGATAGTAAGGAGCAAGGAGCAAGGAGGAGGAGGAGGAGGAAGAAGAAGAGATAGTAAGGAGCAAGGAGCAAGGAGGAGGTGTGGGGGGGACAGCTTTAAGAGGCAAGCATAAGGCTTTTCCACCTGCCTGTCCAATGTTATTTACCGCAACTCACCTGGACAAACGGCCCCTTCCACAATCTTCTTCATTCCCTCTTTCTCATCTCCTTATCTTCTTCCCCCTTTCTCGCTCCTCCTCCTTATTTATCTACCTCCCTTCCTTTCCCTTTCCTGTTTTTGTTACTCTTTCTCCTCTTCCCCTCCTTCCTCCCCTCTTCTTCCTCACTTCTCCTCTCCCTCTTCTTTATCCTCTTCCTCCTACCTCCCTTCCCCTCTCCTCTTCCCCCAGGCTATGAAAGCAGAGATCTCCCGCTAATGCCTACCCCAAACATGTTGTTATGGACGAAGGAATGAGATGAGCAAACTCTCTCTCTCTCTCTCT